CCCCCCCCCCACTGAGCGACTTTTTGGCCGGCGCGATTTTCAAATTTTCCTGAGTCGTTGCGAAATTTTGGACCCGATTTTAAAACCCCCCCCTTGAAAAAATCCTGCGTACGCCACTGGCTACATCTGTGTAAATTAATCCCCCTCTCTTACTGAAGTAAAATTGTTTGTCTCAAGTTATATTTTCGTGCAATAAGCCTAATATTCCTGAACATATGATTAATTGAATCTATCCTTGAATATAATGACATTGCCTTGATTGTTTTGGTGACTGGTTATCTGCATCTTTGATGCAGTTTTCTAAATCTTTTATGATATTAGTGTGTAATGTTACCATTGTTATCTTGTTGTATTGCTTTTGTACTTCGACACCGTTTTCTTATATTGTGAATATCTGATCAATCAATCAAGTAATAATTCATGTTTGAGGTAATATGCCCCATTTGCAGGGTAAACAAATGAAAAGTTTAAATTCCACCGGCAATTGAAAGATAATACTAATCTAGAACTCCCTCAAAACGAAAGGGCTTGAAAACGTCATTTAGTGGGAAAATAACAACTGCTAGTTGTCGAATCAACTTCAGGTATTGCAGTCCTTTTAGTAAATAGTCTGATTTTCAGACCCTTGTACGGAATGGTGGTCATTTAGTGCTGCGCAAAGATTCAATCAGTTTAATTTTGGCCATTACAAGAAGTGAGTTATTGATGTAGACAAATGCTCATGTACCCTCTACAGCTCATTCTATGTACACTGTCGCTCATATAGTTGGAAAATTTTCATTTTACCCCAATTTATGGAATTCTTTTAAAAATAATTTAAAAACTAGACATATAATACTTGTTTGGAACAAGTATAGGTAGGCTGGTCAACTTAAATTTGAGACAAAATAGAGCAAAAATAAGCGAGATACTGCTTAAAAATTCTTTAAAAAACAATATCATGTAGTTTGATGACGTGAACGAAATTCACCTTCTATAGGGATAACGCAAATTATGAAGGCCTTTTGACATGAGGCCTTTAATCGAGATTTTCACTATGATGACGTCATTAAAATGAAAAATAGTTATTACTAAGCTTGTAGAGAATTGTCTTAGCTACAACATATTGAAATTTTGAAGAAAATTGATCAATTTTTACAGAGATACAATCAATTTTCCATAAATATGCTGACGTCATAATATGCAAATTCCTTTTTTGAGTTCCAAGGCCATTGTGATGATGTCACGATACACTTAATGGCCAAATGAGACATGGAATCATATCTTCGACTCATACTCTATCTAAATATGAAAACAAATTGAAGGTCACAGTTCATTCCAAAGAGCTATAATGGATTTTGTATAGGCATGTTTTTGCCCATATATGCCATGTATTAAAAGAGCTCGCGCGCATGGGCATTTTTCTTGAGTTGACGCTCATCTTGTTATTGATGGACATAAAGAGATAAACATGGTATCAAATTCCTCGAAAAAATATGAGAAATATCATGAAAAACAAAAAATGGCGATTCTACGTTGTGTAATCGTGTTACGCGCGAAAACGCGCGCGCATGCGCGTGTGCGCGATTTTTTATAAAATGCTTTAAATGACCTGAAACGTATGCAAAAAAAAATTTAAGACGATTTTGAGCAATTCAAAATTTTGCGCGCGCACTGACGCGCGGACGTACGCGCACACGCGCGTTTTTTGTCTTGAAATTGACCAGACTGATATTGACCTTGATCATAATAAATATGAATGAGAAATGGATTTCGGTTATGAAGATATGACCATGACTTGATTTCAGAAAATTTCACAAAATGGCGCCTAGCTGACGTCATCAGTCAAGGTCAAGGTTGAACAATTTTCTGTGCTTTGTTCTAATGCCTATACATAATGTGTGCTAAATTTCAAGGTATTTAATTGAACCATTTTCAAGTTATCTTGCTCACAAAAAAGTGGGTCGAAATAAGAAAAACTAGACATATAATACTTGTTTGGAACAAGTATAGGTGGGCTGGTCAACTTAAATTTTAAACAAAATAGAGCAAAAATAAGCGAGATACTGCTTTTAAATTCTTAAAAAACAATATCATGTAGTTTCATGACGTAAACGAAATTCACCTACTATAGGGATAACGCAAATTATGAAATGTTTGACATGAGGCCTTTAATCGAGATTTTCACTATGATGACGTCATCAAAATGAAAAATGGTTATTTTTAAGCTTGTAGAGAATTGTCTTAGCTACAACATATCGAAATTTTGAAGAAAATTGATCAACATTTACAGAGATACAATCAATTTTACATAAATATGCTGACGTCATAATATGCAAATTCGTATTTTGAGTTCCAAGGCCATTGTGATGATGTCACGATACACTTAATGGCCAAATGAGACATGAAATCATATCTCCGACTCATACTCTATCTAAATATGAAAAAAGATTGAGGATCCCGGTGCATTCCAAAGAGCTATAGTGGATTTTGTATAGGCATGTTTTTGCCCATATATGCTATGTATTATAAGAGCTCGCGCGCACGGATATTTATCTTAAATGGACGCTCATCTTGTTATTAATGGTCATAAAGATATGAACGTGGTATCAAATTGTACAAACAAATATATGAAATATCATGAAAGAAAAAAAATGGCGATTCTATGTTATGTAATGGTGTTACGCGCGAAAACGCGCGCGCATGCGCGTGTGCGGGATTTTTTTATGAAATGCTTAAAATGGCCTGAAACGTATGTAAAATAAATTTAAGACGATTTTGAGAATTTCGAAATTTTGCGTGCGCACTGACGCGCGGACGTACGCGCACGCGCGCGTTTTTTGACCTGAAATTGACCGGACTGATATTGAACTTGATCATGATAAATATGAATGAGAAATGGTTTTTTGGTTATGAAGATATGATCATAAGTTGATTTTCAGAAAATTTCACAAAATGACGGCTAGATGACGTCATCAGTCAAGGTCAAGGTTGAAAAAATGTCTGTGTTTCGTTCTAATGCCTATACATACGTGTGCCAAATTTCAAGGTATTTGATTGAACCATTTTCAAGTTATCTTGCTCACAAAAAAGTGGGTCGAAATAAGAAAAATAAATAATAAATAAATAATAATAAAGGCAATTTTAACAAAATTATAAGGTGGTCTGTATAAGATACAGCCCACCTAATAATAGATCTAGATAATAGTATACATTCTCAGATTTTATTGAATTATACTTTGACAATGTGTGTTTTGTGTGACTGCTAAAGCATGTGTATGCTACTATGCTTATCAAATAGGGGACTACGCCCACAAGTCATAAATGACAGTAATGAGGATTAATGCCCCACAAAAGGGCACTAATATAGCACATCAACAAGGTTTTGATTCTGGAGCCTCACAGTTACGAGGCCATTGCTTTGTCACTGAACCATGACTGTAGCAGCAGGGGCTAGGGTAGGGGGCAGTTTCCATAAATAAAAAATAACACAGAAAATTTTCAATAATTTATTGCATTTTACCCCCGTCCCCAACATAAACAAATCCTCTGGATGGCCATGCATTATGGCTCAAGGCATGGGCACACAGAGGATTTTTTTATGTTGGGAACCAGTGTAAAATGCAATAAATTATTGAAAAATTATTGCATTTTCTGTTTTTCATTTTTTACTTTTATCTAAGTCTATTATTTTTAAATTATTTTTAAAATAATTCCATAAAATGGGGTAAAACAAAAATATTCCACCTATATGAGCGACAGTGTATGTTATTACCAAAGAAAAAATGAAGCCAGTCAGTCAGTCACTCAATAGTGTCTGACAGTGAAGTCTAGAAAGTAAACGGGATTCCTTGCATAATTCGAATACTAGGACATTGCTAACGTTTAAATTTCACAGATAAGACATACGTGACATATTCATAAGTTCTACAGAATTTGATGTTGGCTGTAAATGGGACATAGTACCTTTAAAGCTCATTCACTCAGAAAACACAACATGCATGTGGGACAACAAAACTGCATATAGAATTCATTGGGATTGCTTATTGATTGTATTTACATTTAATTTTCTTCAAACAGAAATAAAATGTATGCTCACAATGGTTTTGCATAGTGCAAAGTGGTGTCTGTTCCTTCATTTTGTGTTGGAACAAATGAGAAAGTTGTCCTGCACTACATAGCAGTGACAGTAGTGATTTGGCCAATTTGAAGAGTCCATACATGTGCTTACAACTATCAACGATTCCTAACTCTTATTTTTTGTCAGATTTTGTTCAAAGTGATATCAGCCTGCTTCTCTGATTTTTCTGCTTTTTTAAAGAGTTGTTTGCAATTAAAGATCAAGTTGAGTTCTGGTCATGCGATTGCATTGTGAAAGAAACATTGTGAATCAATCAGAACAGGTTGATCATCTTGCGTATTTGTATTGGTGTGTACTGCAAGGTTCTGGAAGCATTAAAATGATTTTAAAAAATAGCCGAGTCTTGGTAAAGTTACAAGCACTGTACACAAAATGATGTATATGGGACTACACGAACATGTGGCATTAAAATATGTCCCAATTTTTATGTTACATGCCATATGATTAAGGCATTTGAAGAGCCATGCTTTTCAGGGAACACTTCTTATCTGATGTTCTTCCACACTTACATAATACAATGATAACGCTCACAAATTATTTTTCACCTGTTCCCAGAACTCAATCTTCTCTTTAAGGTTGGATTTCCCTTTAATACCTGACACAAGGGGTCAAAAACTTATGGTTGAATCAGTTACAAGTCAGTTGATGTTCATGTGACTGGTCATGTGACACTAAGATTAGCAGCAAACTAACCCATATCCTCTGCTCAAAAACTTCACACTCCCAACGTATCTAATAATAAAATAAGTGATAAGTTGTTTATATTTTATTTTTTATTTTTAATTTATGTCAAACTATGTTCATTTATATGTATATTTTTGTAATTTTTGCATGTTTTTATCTGTGAATTGTATCGCAATTCAGCCTTTTACGGCTGCAAAGATATTTTTTAATAAACCTTGAATTGAATATAAGGACCCTTTTAAAGATAATAATAATTTTGTTTACCAGAGGAACCCTCAGAGGCTCCAATGTTGTTCTTCCAGAGGGCCCTGCAATTATTATTACCTCAGCAATTGCCAAGTACCCAATTCCACCTGGGTGGAGGGTGGCAAATGTGGATTAATGTCTTGCCAAAAGACATTAGGGCGGGCTGGGATTTGAACCCTCAACACTTGGATTAAGCCTCAAGCGATTGAACCACTATACCACGACGTCTCCAGCAAACTTACAAAATTTTGAATAGTTACTGTACATGGGACAATTTCAATTCTTTTTTTTCTTCATGAGAAAATGTAGTCGGTTTGTGTTGTGGGCTTTATAGAATATAACATGTTTTTCAATGACGGAATGAAACAAAATAGAGTCTTGTTGGATGAAGCACAAATTTAACTATGATAAATATCTTAGGCTCATCCAAAACAAGGTCTGCAGTATAACTCAAGTCACTCACAAACAGTTTGATAAAGACAATGTCTTTTTTAAGAGAACAGGATCTCAAGATTTTCAAAAAAACTACTAATGAGAAGTTCAGTGACCTTGTGTTACAAAGACATTTACGCATATGATATGTAAATGTGTGTGGAGGCCCGGTCAGATTTGAAGAATTGAAAATCTAAATACATGCTCACCATCTTTTGAAATGTATGAACATATAACATGATCTGGGCCCTGTTTCATACAACTTGTTATCAGTAACAAGTTACAACAACTGTTTTAACCACTTGACTGCTATTGGCTTAAAACACGTTCAAACCCCCTGTGCTACAGCATTTTTGTACTGTACAAAAACCTTTTTTTTTTTAAAGGTGCCATCTACTGTTCAAGACCTGTATAACATCATTGCAGTGCTAATTACACAGTAGGGCTAGGTATTATGCAGTGCTACAGTCTTGACAGTGCAATGCTCTAAACACGTACATGTACGTGGTGCGCACAGGCAAGTGAGAGCGAGACCACGTACATGTACGTGGCACGCAGTCAAGTGGTTAAGCTCCTGAAATCATGGCAATTGATTGGCTGAGAGCAAATTTGTCATAGATATTTAGCATTTGTTATTGATAACAATTTTCATGAATCAGTTCCCAGATTATTCAGGCAGACAATATAATATTGAAATAGTCGATGGGTCGATGTCTTCAAAGTCGTTGTGATGGCGCTCTCAGGATTACACGTATATGACCGTATATGGGTGCGGCTACTGTCATCTCAACTTGGCTTCTATGCTGTTTATCCTCAAAACCGTCAAGTTTGTATACGTCTCTGAATGGTGTGGACAAAGAGAAAAGAAGAAAAAGAAAGAGAAACAAAGAGACACACATAAAGAGGAAGGGAGAGAAAGAAAAAAAAGGGAGTGACCACAACAGATGAAAGGCAGAAGGAAAAGAGGGGGTGAAGAGAAAGAAAGAAAAACAATTTGCATTTTTAATATCTGTGTTGTGTGTAATGATTTAAAATATCTGTATGGAAAACTAATAGAGCTTTTTACAAAAATCATATATCATAGATAGTACTTAAAGATAAAGTTGAGCTCTGGTCATGCGATTGCATTGTGTACATCTGTACATCTTGCTACTCTCATTTACTCCTCTCAAACCTGACTTATCTCTATATCTAGCTACTTTCTACTTCCTCTTAAACCCAACTTACTGAGAGGTATATCTAGATACTATTTTCCTCCTCTACAATCTGACTTATCTCTATATCTAGCTACTCTCTTCTTCTTCTTAAACCTGACTTACCTCTTTATCTAGCTGCTCTCTACTTCCTCTTAAGCCTGACTAATGTCTATTTCTAGCTACTCTTTTTATCCTTTTAAACCAGACTTACCCCTATATCTATATCTAGCTATTCTCTTCCTTCTCTTAAACCTGACTTACCTCTTTAGATATCTAGCTCCTCTTTTCCTCCTTTTGAACTAGACTTATCTCCACATCTAATGTAGCTACACTGATACACTCTCTCTCCTCTTAAAACTGACTTACCTCTATATCTAGCTACTCTCTTCCTCTTCTTAAACCTGAAGTGGACCTTCTTTTCACTGATCGTCTTTTCAATCACTGTGGCTTCTACACGCACTGTGTCCAAGCTGCAATCAGGAGTTAATTAAAATCAAACATGAACGTAACAAACTTGTACATGTACATATATTTTCAGTCTTTACATATTATATTTTAACCCTCTTGCCAAAGGATTGAGCTAGGCTTGACTAGCACTTGTGCTCACTTCTAGTTCCCATGAACAACTTCATCTAAATAAGGGAGTTTACAGATAGCACATGGTACAAATGACCCCAAATATCCACAGATCTTTTACACATGGAGAAGTTCCACTTTGAGCATCTTAGAATAATAACTGCCAAAGTCCTAGATGTGCTTCGTGAATACCTTTTGGTTGCCCTCTTGAAAAGAATACTTCCACCTGCGTATCTTAGAATGTACCGTTGGTGCATAAATGAATAATGTTACCTAACTTTCATGAGGGCATATCCAGTGTTCATCTCTGGTGGGTTTTACCTTTTTGGTACAAATGACCTTTATCTGCCCATGCGCAGATTGTATCTGTAAACTGGCTTATATTAGTATTACACATATTTACGTGTACCTGTATATCTTTTGTACATTTAATAATAGTATGCAGATCTATCTCTAAATATCATTTTTAAAACCATTACTGTTCAATCAACAATACTCTTCTGTTATGTATACATGTATCAGTATTATTCTTTGCATTGTGTGATTGTTTATATACTGTCATTATTGTGATGTGTTGTTAATAAATTCAAATTCAAATTCGAACCCATGATTTACTGATTTCTCTTATTCGATAGCCAGCAATGGCCCATGGGTTAATAAATTAGGGAGATTAGGGATCTTGTGTGGTATTCTCATAAGTTAAGCCGGGACTAACTCCAGACTAAACAAGAATTTTAGTTCACACTTCTATGGAATGCTAGGTTTCATCTTCCTCCTTCAATATTCATGACTATTCAAAGACTTTTTGGAAATTCAGTTCATACTCATATTATCTTTTTCTTCCCATTTCATTGCAAAATTAATTTTTTGGAGACTTTTCATTGAAGGATTAAAATAATCTGTACATGATAAATGAGTTGACAACAGGCACTCCATAAAAGTGTGGACTAACTTAGTGCGCGCTAACTTAGTACGCGCTACCAGAATACCACCCATTGTGTTTAACCCATTTAATGAGGAGTTCTCACGTTCCACGCTGCCTGGTTCCCATAGGCAATGGCAATTTCATATCTGATATGGATGTGACCTTTGTATATTTGATGATATCACAACCTGGGCCCTGTATTACAAAGAGTTGATATCAATCACAACTATGTACATAAGAGATCATAGACTGCAAACTTGTGATTGATTTAGGGACTTGATATTGATTCGGATCAATATTAACTCTTTGTAAGACGGGGCCCTGATATTGGTATAACTCACATCGATTCTGCAGTATATGATAATTTTCACAATGCAGATTATATTTTTAACTAATTCAATTCGTTATCTGGCATCAACATATTTAACATATATGCTTCTCTGCTGAAAAAGTGTTTATATGTATTCTGTGATAGGGAGCTATCGACAGCGGGGAGTCCCACCACAGGAGAGTATTTTGGGACCCCTCCTTTTTATCCTTACTTTGAATGATTTGGCAAAATCAGTCAAAAAATGTTTCCTTACTTTTGCCTCAAAAGACTCTGTAGATTTTTGAATAATTATTTATTGTTGATACATGATACATGTACCAATAACATTACAGTCATTTAAATTACGTAAGCGCTGAAAGAGCAATAGGCCAATATCATTTTTTAGATAGATTAAAAAGGGTGCAGAATTAGAGAGAAGTTTACCTTAACATAGGCTTGCCTATGAGAGTGAAATTGTCCCCTCCAAGCAGAAGTACCTTCGAGAGAAATGACAAATAAAAGAATAACCATGAATATGTATGTTAGATTCCTCATTACAAATGGATTTAATAACTAATTAATTATTATGCATATTTTTACTTTTTCTCAGGGAGAGAGGACAATCGAAAGGTTCAAATTTATATTCATGAGTCAAGAAACATGAAAATATTCAGGGATCCATACTAAACACTTGCTACATGAGGGGGGGGGGGGTAACCTCCTGAACAATAATGCCAATTTATGACAACACTAACCCTTGACATCTATCTTCACAATAATAAATCCTGAAAAAAATGTTGCAAAGAAAGTTCATCGTTAAGAGTCCCACCGTGGCACTAATATCCTTCAGCAAGACATTAATCTACATTTGCCACTCTCCACCCAGGTGTTCAATGGATACTGGTAGAAACCCTGGAATGCTGGGAGCATCAAAACGGTAGCCTAGCAGAGCTGGGGTAATATTGGAGTGCCTTTAATAAGCACCTTGAGTGTTGGAATGTTGGATATGTGCCCTATAAAAGTACCCAATATCATCATCATCATCATCATCGCCACCACCACCACCACCACCACCATCATCACCATCACCATCACCATCATCATCATCATCATCATTATCATCAACATCATTATCATCATCATCATTATTATTATTATCATTGTTATTATTATCATTATCATCATTACCGGTATCATTATGATTATATCTTACCTTCTCTAATCTGATTCTTTCTCCTACATCAGCTGGGAGGTCGTTCTGTAGTAGTATAAGATCACCCGACGTCACTTTGTGTTGGGTACCAGATACATAGACGATAGCAAACATTCGTCCTTGATTCATATCACTGCTCACCACTGATACCACATCTAAAATACAGAGATATCATTTATTTACGGTACACTTAGGTCGGGCATACGTACAAGTTTGATGCTACATGTAATAGAATATACAAGAACAGGGCCCCATCTTATAAAGTGTTGAGATTGATCCGAATCAATCACAAGTTTAAAGTCTATTATTTCTTATGAACATACATGTAGCTGCAATTGATACAAATCACAAATAAGTTGCAATTAATCACAACAGTTTATTTGACGGAGTCCTGACTTATTCGTAATAAATGGATCATGCTTTTTTGGATTTATCACCCCAACGGTCAAATTTGTGTAATTGTGCGGAAAAAACAAATGCATTAACTTAGAATACATGTTCATCGATCAAAGTTATGTCTAGCCAATCCAAAGTCTGTAAACTAGCCCAGAAAGTCCAACGTTGCAACATGATTGCAACATGAAGCCAGGGGGATGTTTCACAAAGACTACGTTCAACTTTAAGTTGGACTTAACTATGGCAGGCCGTTTACTGGAATTGGTCTCTCAAGGGACGTACAAATCATGGTCACAAATCTACAGAATTTACATTTGGTGACAATTCTTTATTGGAGGAAAAAAATATTACCAAAAAGATCATAATGGTGAGAGCGAACAGTGGCATGAAGAGCCTGCCTTAGTTAGGTCCAACTTCAACTTGATCTTAGCCTTTCTGAAACACTCCCCCCGGAGGTGCAAATACACATAGAATTGAAAATCTATCACACAAGAGTAAAATTTTTAAATGAATGCTATGGTGGAGACCTCCTAAATGCTGTGTTTTCATTTAAAATTCCTTAGTATATGGAGCTCCAACAATGCCCACTTAAAGATGATAAATGTATCTCATAGCACTTTGTGCTTCCATGTTTTGAATGGTTTCATAATGGCACTGCATTTATCTTATTATGCTCCCAGAATATTGAAGGCTTGTTTGATATGCACTCCTTTTCCATATTTAAAGATAAACTTTAGTACTGGTAATGCGATTGCATTGTGAAAGAAAAGGTGTGGAAAGGATCAGAAAAAGTTGATCATGTAGCATGTAAGTATTGGTGTGCACTGCAAGGTTCTGGAGTCATCAAAATCATAATAAATTTGACCGAGTCTTGGTAAAGTAACAAGCACTCACATAAAAAGCTATATATGGGACAACACACATGGTGTCGGGGCTAGTACTACCTTGATTTCCTTGTCTTTCTATGCTCATTACTCAGCCAGTATACATTTTCTTCCAAAATTGTTTGGCACATGTCATTTATTTGTAATGTTGAACATTCAGTGTAAGTTTCGTTTGATTCTGTGAGAATTTTTTTTTTTTTTTACCAGTACTGGAGTTTATCTTTAAGATTGAGTGTTTTGCATGAGGTACTTACCTGCTGTATTAGGAGGACCAGCACTAGGGAGAGAAGGGTTCTGTTGTTGGGTGGACATGAATCTGGGTTAAGAAGATGAATGAATAGAGAAGAACAAAGATCAAAGAGAATTCAAAGTCAGGTTGTTTTGCAGGATCAAGACATCTCCAAATTGCTCAGTGCCAGGCAGCTTGATGATGGGGATGGGGGGGGGGGGGCCGATGGGCCGGACCTCCCCCTCCCCCCTGGCATTTTTTTTTTTAAATAAATAAATTCTTAATAATTTTTTTTTTAAATTATATATATTGTTTTAATACGTGATCACACAACCCCACCCCCCCTCCCCCACTGAGAGCGAATAACGGTCTGCATGATTTGCAAATTTCCGGGGTCAAAAACAAGAAAAAAAAATTATGCTCACTACCCAGGGTACATGCATATCATACAAATGCATTTTTTCTCTCACCTAGATAGTACAGAAGGATACTGTGTGGTATGCTGATATCGTGCTACAGGGTTCATACTGGAAGGAGCTCGATTCGACTGCTCAAATAATGAGCGTTTACCTGCAACGAAAAATCAGATTTTTTAGTAACATTTTGGTTCTCATGCAATCCCTTGTTAAAATAGTACCTTGGCTAAAGACATGCAGTTACAAATCTTTCTTTTTTTCTGTTTAAATTTGTACAAAGCCATAGGGCCGCAAAATTCCAATTCTCGCTATCGCCAATACTCCCAAAATGCCCGGATGTAGCGTCTTGAACATAACTTCAAGCAATTTTTACACTCTAATTTTAAATTATTTTCATCTTTTTGTTTATTGCCTATTGGGTACCAATAATGACCGGAAAATTCTCTATTTACAGTTTGTTTTGACAGAAAATAATCAAATATTATTCTCGTTATGGAATGGGGCATTCAACCAAAAATTATCGGCAAGGCGAAACTCTACTCAGTACTCTCTAGCTTTTTCGTCACAAGCTCCCATACTAGGCAATAGACATATTTGTGTTAGTCAAAAAATTGCGCACTCACGTGGTTTTGCAAGTTGCTAGCATAGATAAAGCAATATCCATACTAGCAGCATTTATACTAAAACTACTTTTTGTGTATTAAAAACTGTTCAGACGACCTCTAGAGTAGAGTCTCCGGTTTGCGGCATCGCCCGGTTTGCGGCCAGGGGTATTTGTTTTAAAAATAAAATGAATATGACGCGATAATAATCATTGAAACCTACCGTGGATTCCACGGTAAGTTCTGCTTTGCCGAAAACGTCCGTAGCAAGTGCTCCTGTCGGTACGGAGTATCCGTCAGCGATGTCGGAAATCTACGGCACCAGTCGCCGATGAAAATTCCAGCAGGTGCTAACTTTTAAGTTAAGAGATCAAGGCATGACTAGATCAATATTGTAGCTCTATTTGTCCGATATTTGTCCGATTGGAGGTGAAATTTGATGTTTTTGTGGAAGTATGATGGCTGTGGTCTGTCTCCTATCGCAGATATTTTGATTGTGCCACCGCATGGCCAGTTGCATGGGGTGGCCGCAAACCGGCACGTAATTACGTGTTTTTCTGGTTTGCGGCGGGGGGTGTTAATACACACATAACATGCAGGATCGTGTATGATGGTTTGTGTGCTGATGTGTGTACCCGCTATGACCCGATAGTTTCTAGTAGTACGTACCCCCGTATGGGATGATTCATTCGAGGAAAAGGTGAAATTGTTTAAAACTTGACAAATTTACCGTAGCAACAGATAAACATGAGAATTTGGGTTACCCGTTGTAATTTGGTACATGCTTTCATCGTGACGTAGCGCATAAAGCTTTGTGACGTACGCGTGCCGCAAACCGGTAATGCGTGCCCACAAACCGGGGAACTTGAAGCATTTCGAAACGTGGTCCATGCTGACCACGCTGTGGGTCAGTTAGGTTATTTGTGACTTCTATTTAATAAGTAAGTATATGGACTCTTTATTGAGGGTATTGAAATATTCTGTGAGTATTCCAATAAAAATAGAATCGGCAGTTCCCGCCGATCGGCCGCAGACCGGAGCCACTACTCTATTGATTTTCAACATTTCAAACACCACTGTACAAAACTCAACTGACTTCACTCAAAATCGGTACTTTAGTTGTTTAGTGACAATTGATGACACCTAAATAGCAGTAAAATACAATTTTTTTTCAACTCACTGATATTTTTATTAGAAAGAATATAATTCAAAAATTAAAATTGTGATTCCACCGACGTCAAACCTGTACCTGCCGATCAGCTGCATCGGCATGATTGTGTGCATGACGCCATGAGTGCATCTGTGTGTTATGAGTGTATCGACTAGGTCTAGATCTATTCATGTATTCAAATGCTACCTATTATTATTAACATGTAGTGCAGTGCTAGAGGTCAATACGCATTAGCATTGACTCTCTAATATGCTTTGCTGGAGTGACTGAGCCGAGTTAACAATAACACTCACACTATATTAACAACATAAAACTCTATACGTGGGGCTGAACAATCGAACTTGCATAATCTTTCTAGGACTCGATAGGACGGCAGTGTTTTCGCAATATTACGCAAAGTTTTATATATTCTTACCGATATCTGCATTTAACCGACATAAAGTACCTCCACGAAAGGCGTTCAGAGAACGCAAGAATGCTGCCATTTTCGTCTTTTTCTTGACGTAATTGTGCAATTTTTAGAAATCTTTCCGCACACATGAAATCGATGGTGTTTGTAAGTCGAAAGTTTAAAAACAAAAAAAAATGTCCGACGGACCACCATCATTTCTGATAATCTTCACAGTTAGCAAAAATTCAGTCTTTTGAAAAAGGCTCGGCCTTCAAGAAACAAATTATAAAAATATAAAAATCTTGCATCAGTGGCGTAATGCGCTAAAAATTTGAGGGGGTCGAGCGTGTATTTCCAAGCAATTAATTGGGGGGAGGGGGTGTAGCTATACCTCTGCCCTGCACCCTTGCCCCACACACAAACCCAACTTTCCATTCTAATGATGCCCTTATGAAATTGTGACAAAAGCTAGAAAATTGTATTTTTGTAGATTAAAGCTTTGGATTTGAGAGTAAAAGTTTATTACAAATTTGAGCGTACGAGATTTTAACTCCCTGTCTCTCCTTTTGTTACGGGGGTAGGCAGGGTTAAAATATATCATAATTTTTCTGTTGTTGACATTCCGAGGACAAGGGCCTTTTTATTTTGTTCCTCAGGAGAACCCTTCTCTTTTGAATCTCTTATTTCCGAATGTCTCAGGCTTATAGCCAGGGCGCGGTGGGACTCAGTGGCGGATCCGGGGGGGGGGGGGCGCCGGAGCCCGGCCCCCCAGGAAAAAACGTGTTAATTTAACCTTTATTGGGGGCATATGGAAAACTTACGCGCATCTGCTCTGCGCCTCGTCGCTTATCCTGTTAAGCACGGGGAACGTACACCAAAAAAGCCATGTTTTGATATAATTGCTGGTATTACGGGAAAATGGAATTTTTTTAAAAAAATCTTCGGACGGTTTCTTATAATTTGAAATGTCGTCTTAAAAATGATACTAAATTTGGGATTATTCTTTCAGGGGAAACGGTTGCACTTTTCCCCTAAAAGTTTTGACTTTTTCAGCCTGCCTATGGAGATTGCACTGTTTTTCCCCTTTTTTGTCGGGTTTCGCTCAGTCAACCAGTCGGCAAATCTTACACGAGTGACGTATAAAAAATCTTCGGACGGATTCAGAAACCTTGACATCCCACCTTTACGTTGGTATAACGATTGTTTTCATTTGTGGAGGGGAAACGGTGGCAATTTTCCAACAAATAAAAGGTAGCTTTTCATAGTAAACCAAGGTGACTGGGATAGTGTAGCGCTATAGCTACTCACAACGAGTGCGCCCGTACCGTACAAACAATGCACAGTTATAGCTTCCGTGCAATCGCTGTAGAGGTCAGTGTGTGTATTTAACGCAGTGCGTACAGAGTGTGTGCGTTAAGCGTTGCGCTCAAAATCTCGGAGACCGCATTACGCGCATCATGTCTATACATGCGCACCCGAATGGGTCATTGCACTCCAACTAGAGGGAAGTCAGTATAATCATTGGCAAAGGGAATGAGTTCGATTTCGTCTACGGTGTAATGGCAAGCCTCTGCTGGTGTAGTCTACCGTAATTTTGCATTTATTCAACTATAGGTGAGTTTCATTTCTAATTCTAGTTTGTTAGTGTTAGTAAGTAGTCAACGAGAGCAAGCGCTCGCACCCCTGCTTTGTCGCATTGAACTAGTCCGATCAGTGTACTTTCACGCAAGAGTGCACTTGAGCGCGCTCTCTTCGTTAAAGCGGTTGTTTAGTGCTGTATTCTTTTATGCGCGTTTAGGGCTAAAAGTTTTCCATATGAGATGGGCCCCCACCCCTGGCGATCAAGGGGTTAAAATATGGGTTAAAATATGGGTTAAAATATGGTTATTACGTATACTGTGGGTGCAATTTTTCAAATTTTCGAGGGCCAACAAACACATTTTTTTTTTTTAATTAGAGCTCCCCCCCCCCCCCCCCCCCCCCCCCCCCCCACCTCCCTCCCCCGCTGAGCCAATTTTCGGCCGGCTGTTTCGCTGCTAAATATTTCTCACGAATTGGGCCCCCTCCCCTGCCACCGGCTGGATCCGCCTCTGGTGCCGGCAGTCGCCCCACAAAAAAGCAGGCCAAATAGAGAGAGAGAGAGAGAGAGAGAGAGAGTGAGAGAGAAAGAGAAAGAGACGTAGGAAGAAAAAGGAGCAGACAAAAACATGACAGAGCCTAAGTTAAAAAGATTATAAAAGAAACAACAGATCATGCCTTAATTAAAAAATGTAACTGCGAATGACCTTCAGTGAATTCTATGGCCATCATGTACCCCAGCCGCGAACAGTTCGCCTTTCGAATTAACACGCATTCCAATGGGATAGTCAACAAGGTATAGACTCATGACGGTTTCTAGGAATAGGCCCTGATTGTTTGGTGATTGGTTTTCACCGATGCATCTCTGAAGACTCTTTTCATGTATGTTATTACCAATGAAGAAAAAAAGCCAGTCAGTCACTTAATAGTGTCTGACAGTGAAGTCTAGCAAGTAAACGGGTTTCCTTGCATAATTTGAATATGAGGACACTGCTAACGTTTAAATTTCACAGATAGGACATACATGACATATTCATAATTCCTGCAAAGTTCTACAGCATTTGGGGTTGGCTGCAATTGGGTAGAAAGAACTCAATAATGATCTGATAAAATAACGATATCATACCGATAGCGAATCTTCGTCGGCTGCTACAGTACCATCGGACAGCTGACAGTGTGCGCATGCGTCACTGAACGAGGCATGACTTTGTGTGATCGTAACCATGGCTAAGCAAACGTTGTGTCTCGTTATAGACTCATGACGGTTTCTAGGAATATAGGCCCTAGCTCGACATAACATAAGATTACTTTGCGTACCTACAACAAGAAATAAGTTATGATAATGTGGCAAATAATGACTAACATATTTCCCACAAGCAATTATGGAAATATTATGATGAAATGCTGATTGTTTGGTGATTGGTTTTCACCGATGCATCTCTGAAGACTCTTTTCATGTATGTTATTACCAATGAAGAAAAAAAGCCAGTCAGTCACTTAATAGTGTCTGACAGTGAAGTCTAGCAAGTAAACGGGTTTCCTTGCATAATTTGAATATGAGGACACTGCTAACGTTTAAATTTCACAGATAGGACATACATGACATATTCATAATTCCTGCAAAGTTCTACAGCATTTGGGGTTGGCTGCAAAAGGGACATAGTACCTTTAAGAAAGAGCAAAACATATATAGTTTCATAATAAAGGTCGGCATACGATTATTTGACAATCTTATTCAAAATTGTGAGCCAGTTTAAAACAAATATTGAAATTACTCCTAGTTGAATATACATAGCAGAAAAAACAACATCGATATCTCCAAAGATCAGCGGCGCGGGACCCAGGATTTTCCATAATGTGCGCGAGCCCTTCTAGGTGGCGTCCTGGGGCACGCTGTTGAGGTTTACCACTTCAGAACCTTTTTTTTTTTTTTTTTTTTTTTTTTTTTTTTTTTTTTTTTTTTTTTTTTATTCGACAAGCTTCCAACATACAACAATATACAATAATAACAGATCAAAAAAAAAAAAAAAAAAAAAAAAGTCAGCTTGAACAGGATAACCCACGAAAGCTCGAGAGCTTATTTCCAGTGGGGTCCCTTACAGACATGTATAAAAATTAATAAGTTAAAATAGTAATATTTACAGACAGATAAGAAAATTAAAAGAACTACTTATTAAAGATAATAATAATAACAACATTAAACTGATGATAGAAATTATATTAAGTACAAGAAGAAAAAGAAGAAGGAGAAGAAGAAAAAGAGGAGAAGGAAGAAGAGGAAAATAATGATGAATTTGTAGAATTTCTATAACGTACGAAAACATAAGTATATACAACATGAAAAAGTATGAACCGACAGAAGAATAAAAATTTCAATCATATAACATGTCATTCACTTCTCTTCTCTGACTGTCAAGTATTAGGTATTCCTTTAATTTCCTCTTAAAATGATCATAGTTTCCTATTTCTTTTACACCATTGGGAAGGGAATTCCAATGTTTTATGGCATTGTAATAAAACGAATTTCCAATACTACCTACTCTTTCAGGTAAGTTAAAGTTGAATCGTCTATTTCTTGTATTATAATCATGTACGTCAGTAACAAGATCGAAGTTGGATCGAATATAATGATTCGACCTAGTATGATATATTTTATGCACATGATGCAATACGAGTTGTTTTGATCTTTGGTCGACTTCAAGAAAACCAGCTTTAGAAAGTTCGCTGTAGCCAACATGAGTTCTTGGACCAGAACAGTTGATAAATCTCACCATTTTGTTCTGTATAATCTTCAACTTCTTTTGATCTGACTTGTTTATGTTACTATACCATGCAGGGTTAGCATAGTCAAATAAACATTGAATAAGAGCAAAACAGAGTGTACGTCTTGCTTTTAAATCCATACAACTTTGATATCTGTACAAAAATTTCAGACGAGAATTTGCTTTTTTTACAACTGATTCTACTAAAGATGAAAATGAAATTGCGCTAGCCAACTCAATGCCTAAATACTTCACAGACTCTTTTCTCTTGATTGCTTGATTATTGTGTGTCACTTTGAATTCAAATGACTTTTTAGAACTACTTTTAGAACAAAATAAAATGCTTTCTGTTTTTCCCAAGTGTAAAGAAAGCTTATTATCAGTCATCCAATCGACACACGTAGACAGCTGTTCACTGAGCTTTTCCTCAATATATTTAGGATCAGGATTTGAATAGAGTAGTACGCTGTCATCTGCGTACAATAATAGTTTGAAGTCTTTTATACAAATACACATATCATTTATATAACTTGAAAATAGAATTGGGCCTAAAATGCTTCCCTGAGGAACACCGCAAGTTATAGGCATTAGTTTGGAACGAATATCATGAATGGCCACTACTTGGTGCCGATTAGATAAGTAGGATCTAAACCAATCTAAACTTGCCTTATCAAAACCCATTAGTTGTAACTTCTTCAATAAGACGCAATGATTAACTGTATCAAAAGCTTTTTGCAGATCAAGGAGCACCATACCAACAAAGCGCCCTTGGGAAGTTTCTCTCCTCAAATAATCAGTCAAATGAATTAGACATGTTTCAGTCGAATAATCATGTCGAAAACCAGATTGAAATTCATAAATTATATCATTTTCTTTGAAGTATCTTTCAATTTGAACACAGACCGATTTTTCTAGAATCTTTGATGCTACGCTTAAAACACTAATAGGTCTATAGTTGCTAACATCAGTTTTATCTTTCTTTTTATAAAGTGGAGTCACTTTTGCTATTTTCATATCCTCTGGAAAAGTACTCGTCAAGATAGATAGGTTCATTAAGTAACTTAGAGGCTTAAATAAAACCTTCGCACCATCTTTTAGAAATTTAGCTGGAATCAAGTCTAACCCAGTACTTTTTGATACATTCAACTTACGTAACTCTTTGAAAACAAATTGTTCACTGATTGGTAATAACTCGAAGCTGTTTTCACGTACACCTTTTCTTTCGTAAAAGTCACGAATACAATCATTGTCTGCGCTGAAAAAGTCTTTGGAAGGGGGGAGTTTGTCTACTAATTTGGCAGCCACATTTGTGAAATGAGAATTGAATTCATCAGCGATGGCCATCTTATCATGACATAATTCCCCATCAATTTTAATGACAGATTCTTGTTCTTTTCGCTTCTTATTTTTCAATCCTAAGCTTTTTAGATTCTGCCAAAGTTTTTTCGAATCTTGTTTATTTTCTTCTATCTTGTTTTGTAAGTAAACGAGTTTAGCCTTTTTCACCTCTCTTTGGACCATATTTCTTAATACTCTGTATCTTTTATAGAGCTTCTCATCTTTTGCTCTTTTCCTCCATTTTTTGTATACTATATTTCTCTCTTGAATTAGGGAAAGAATATCTTTAGTCACCCAAGTTTCTGATCTTTGTTTTATTCTCATCCGTTTCAGTGGCGCTATCATATTCAAATTTGAGATAAAAACATGTTGAAATATTGACCATGCCTCATTTACATCTGTACAGTCAGTTATTCGTGACCAATCAACAACAGATAGTTGAAGATTGAAAGACTCTTCTGTATATTTTGTCATGGATCTGATATCATTAGTCCTGTGATGACCTATAGCCAGTCTAACATTTTTCCGTGTACAGAAAGTAAAATAATGGTCGCTAATACCTAGATCAATGACACCACTTTGACTTATTTTATTTTCTTTGGTACAACCAATTTGATCCAATAGAGAAGAACATGTAGGTGTAACGCGTGTTGCCTCTTTAATGAGTTGACTAAACCCATGAAGACTCAACAAGTCAATATATTTTTTAGCTAGTGGCGATTTGCGAAGAAGACAAATATTCATGTCTCCTAAAAGAATTATTTCGTCATCCTTCTTTAATGTATCAAGAATATTGGACAATTTCTCGATAAACAAATTGTTTTTCGGAGGTCGATACAGAACGCCAACAACAATTGGTTTTGATCTTGGTATAAGCAAATTTATCCACAGGGATTCCGTATCTCCAGTACTTATAGCATCCATAATATTAAATGCAATATCATTTTTGATATAGAAACATACACCACCTCCAGAGCCAGAGGATCGATCATGGCGTATGATTTTATATCCGTCTATTTCAATTCCTTCATCATTTATGGAATTGTTTAACCATGTTTCAGTGAAAGCAATAATAGACAGCCTTTTTCTTTTAAAAAGAATTCTAAGTTCCGATATCTTGTTTAGAATAGACCTCACATTGAGGTGTAAAAAATGAAGACCTTTAATTTTAAACTTTTCTTCAAATTCTTGAAAAAGAGAAGTGTTTTCATCTTTGAGGTTTGGCTGAATTATTCTTGCTATCGCTTGCTTTTCAGGTGTAACGCGCGTTACCTTAAAATAGTTTTCTTTTAGTCTATCCTCGTTTTGGCTTTCTTTCTCTAAACAATCGTCAGTAAATATTGATTCACAAAAAGATGGCAGACAACATGTTAAACAATTCCACTTCTCATCAGGGCATTCATAATATAACCTGCGGTACTCTGAAAAACTGATAGCTTGACAATTAGTGTGAAACCATTTTTTACAATAAGAACACAGAAGGCCGTGTTGATTACATTTGACTGGCTTATCACAGTTCCCACAAGGGAACTTATATTTTCGACCGTCAACTATAATTTTCGGATCATCACTAGATTTTGTCAAACTTTCACTTAATTCAATACCCTTCTTACAAATTGAAGATAATTCGCCCAGTCTTTCATGTCCACCTTGGATGGTCTGAAGGCTGGTTTCAGTCGTGACCTCTGTTTGACTGCACTGAAATCCAAAGATCTCCCAGAAACAGCTTCGGCGTAGGACTTTACGGGGCTGCTTTTTTCCTCATCAGAATGAAGACTCTGGTTTTCTCGGTAGATGGCTTGATGCCGCCTTGCTCCAGGTTCACTGCCTGTAACTTTATCGGACGACCGTTGAATCCAGCCATGGCCTCGTGTTGTCGATTGGTCAGCACTGTTGATGAGGTGTTTCAGGTTGCCTGCCAAGATTCGTTGACCGGCTCTGTTGAGGTGAACGCCATCACGCCCGAGATGCTGCTCGCTGATATCATTGTTGATGATGAGGCCCCATCTGTTCTCGCTGGCTGCCAACTCTATCAGATAGTTGATCTCATCAACCCGCTTCTTGTCTGCTTCACTCTCCCCTCTACGATGGATGATCGTGGAGACTGAGACGTTAAACCCCTCGGCAGCAACAGACTTGCCGAGGTCTGTGATTTGGTGGCAAACTTCACCAGCACCCTCAGAGATGTTGTTGGTGCCAGCGTGGATGATCAGTTCTCCCCCTGGCTTGAGAAACTCGCAAGGTGAAGAGGTGAAGATGTCTCTCACTTTTGCACCAGGAAAAGAGACGCTTCTTCTTTTCTTTTTTTATCTTCTTCTTTTTCTTTTGTATCTTTTTCTTTTTCTTTTTTATCTTCTTCTTTTTCTTTTTTTTATATTATTCTTTTCCTTTTTTTTTTATCTTCTTTTCTTAGGGTCCCTTCTTTTCTCTTTCTCTTCCGCCTTCAGTTTCTTCCGGCGGTCGCTCTCTCGGCGGTCGCTCTCTCTCTCTCTCTCTTTTTCTCTTTCCCTTCCCCCTTTTTTAGAACGCCAAAATCAAAAGGGGCCGAAGTCACGGCCGATTCGCCACCCGGCTCCCCCCCCCGATCCGCCACTGATGTATACATTATTGTATGCATTTATATATTTATGCACGCATTAATTCATTGATTGATTGGTTTTCATTCGACAAGCTTCCAACATACAAAAATATACAATAATAACAGATCAAAAATAAGTCAGCTTGAACAGGATAACCCACGAAAGCTCGAGAGCTTATTTCCAGTGGGGTCTCCTACAGAATATGATGTACAAAATTAACAAGTTGAAAAAGTAATATTTGCAGACAGATAATAAAAATTTAAATAATTACTTATTAAAGATAATAATAATTCCAACATTAAACTTATGATAGAAATGATAATAAGTACAAGAAGACTGAAAGAAGAAGGAGAAGAAGAAAAAGAGGAGGAGGAAGAAGAGGAAAATAATGATGAATTTGTAGAATCACAGCTTGCGGTGGGGTGGAGTTACCAATCTTATAAAATACGTTGCCCTAATGGTAGCGATTTTTTGTTATACTCTCTTCTTTTTTTTATAATTCTCTCTCTTCCCCCTTTCTTTCTCTCTCTTTCTCTCTCTCTCTCTCTCTCTCTCTCTCCCGACCCCTACCCCCTCCCTCGATCTCTCTCCTTTTTCATTTTCTTCTCTTAAACCTTCATTTCTTCCCTCACGCCACCCCTTTTTCTTCAGTCGCTCTCCTATTTTCCCTACTTTTTCGGCCGCCCCAAAAAGTAAATGGGGGGGGGGGGGGGGGGGGGGGGGGGCGCCCCACCTGCATCCGCGCGCCACTGCATGTCTATCTTATATCCATGCTTGGATGTACATGTACATGATTCTTAGCCCTTAGCCATTTTTTCTCTTCAAAGACACCGTAAAATTTACTGCGATTGCATGCATTTCGTTGTTAATGCGTTACGATTTTAATGATGGGTTCCAAATAATTCTACGATATTTCTGTACAGAAACGACCAACGTTACCTGTTAGCCACGTGCTGTAGAGTGAAGAATAATATCCTGGTAATAATTCCATTCATTGCGTAACATAGATATAATCTTTAAGCCGGATGATAAACTAATGAGTGAGAATGAGATGAGAGTGAGACTGAGACTGAGAGTAAGATGAGCCGCGGCCGACGCGCTGGGCGCCGCCGCTAGCCGCTGATATGACTCGGCTCCTTTGGCGCTGAACTGGCGGCAGAATAGGGACTTGGCGCACGGCGACGCAAGTGCTGACTAGGTCAACGAATACATTTACAATAGTACATTTTGTATACGCTAGGGCTGCTAAAACTCACATTAACTGCTTAGAATTGTTCAGAAAAATGATACTGATGATAGGCTTTCGTAAATGATGCTCGAACGAACGATCTTGCCTGGTATCAACGTAGACCTCTAGATGGGGAATGAGGTAAATAACGCCATGAAATTGAAAGGCATGATGTCATTTCTAAACTGCATTGTTGGACAGGCTTTCAGTGAATTGGGTAGAAAGAACTCAATAATGATCTGATAAAATAACGATATCATACCGATAGCGAATCTTCGTCGGCTGCTACAGTACCATCGGACAGCTGTGCGCATGCGTCACTGAACGAGGCATGACTTTGTGTGATCGTAACCATGGCTAAGCAAACGTTGTGTCTCGTCAGCTAGCTACACCCCCTTTAAGCAGAGAGCGCAATAGTGCTGACCATACAAAATCGTACCAAACACACTGACATGTCATGATTATACAGCCAGGTCATGTCAGGTGACGCATATAACTGAAGCATAGGTTAGGTACACACGTACATCATACATGTACAATAAAATAATTAACCGAAAATTCCAGTTCAACTTGCAACTTTGTACCTCACTCAAATATGACGAAAATGAGAATTCATCAAATTTAAGTAAGCCAGGCTTAAATTTAAGTTTAAATAAATAACTGTTTAAGGATGCTGAAAAAATTGTACATAATCAAGGTTTGACTGGAATATCATGATTTTGGGATCAGATTAAACAGAAAATCGCAAGCTTTCTCCTTGCACTAATATGTCGTAACGAGATATGGATGAGACCGGTCAAAAGTAGAGCGCATGCGCGTAAATGTGAGCCACTTTTCTACGTGTGCTGGGCCCTGCTGCTGGCATCATCAGCAAGTTTTAAATTGATCATAATTAATAGGCATTGAAACAGGGTGGATCACAAGTGGTTTTAAACTTGTAACAGGTTTGAACTTTGATGATACAGTTTGAAAGTCAGCAATAGGTTGATCTTCATTCTCAATCAAAATTATTTATGAAATTTGTTTAAAAAATGCTTCAAATCATGGCTCAGATTACGCCAGAGTGCATCTCCATTGTAAGAACCATAGGCATAGAGCTACATGTAGCTTGCAAGCACCGGAGCAAGATCACAAAGGACTTTGTGTTTTTTGTTGTTGCATATATCACAATTTATACCCCTTCCTATAGTTTTAATTCTTGATTTGTAAATTTATTTATTGTGTACAATTCTACTTTAAAATTTAATTCAAAATTAAATTTATATTTCAAAGCGTGTTATTTTTTGTCCCCATTACAGACTGTGGTAGCCTGACCCTTAGACTGACATCAATGATGGATAGTGATGATGAGAAGGAGGCGTTTGAGGTCACTGATTATGACCTGGCTAACGAGTTCAATATTAATAGACCACAAGGAAGGCAGACTAAAGCTCAAGCCATCTATGGTAAGATTTCTAATCTACAATACTTTGTACATTTTCTTCTTTTCCCTTTTTTTTTGTTGGTGTGTGTGTCATATATAGCTTTTCATTTATTATGAAAAGATAGGTTAGCTAAAGTTGTAACCAATTTTAGTACAGTCAAACCTCTCTAGTAGGTCACCCAGGGGAAACGGATTCAGTGGCTACTGTAGGCCTTAACAGGTGGCCTTTCTAAACAGGTTGTACCACACAAATTTCTTTCTCAAGTTAGCCTTCAGCAGGCCTTATGTAATGTACTGCGTTTTCCACCCATTCCCCCACATGGTAAAGTCATTATCTCACTTTTTCCTCACCCGGAGAGTTCCGAGAGACGAGGGGGTATAACTCGATAACTACATATGTTAACAATTTTCTCTTCAGCAAGTCTGGTGTCAGAGAATTATGGCCTTCTGCACATGGAAACTGACGAGTGACTCCCTTTAAGTTGTATTCGTTCTAAAATCGATACATTTTTATTATGATTAAACCATTTTGTGATTGTGTAGGTATGTGGGCCCAGGATAGCGATGATGAGAACGAACGAACAGGATTTGGAGGAGGATCACGAAAAGGAGGAGGATTTGATCCTCTAGGAGATATGGGCTTCATCAGCAGAGGGTTCAAAGGTGACAAGAAAGAGGATGACGGAGAGGTATGTCATCCTTGTATTTTTTCAGGCTTGATAATTACCCGATTCAAATCAGTTTTCCCAATTTTTCCAGATTTGTTTTTTTTTTCACCATTTTTTTTCCTTCTTTTTTTTTCTCTTTTTTTTCCCTTCTTTTCCCCTTCTTTTTCCCTTCTTTTTCCTTCTTTTTCCTTCTTTTTCCTTCTTTTTCCTTCTTTTTCCTTCTTTTTTTTTCACCATTTTATAAACAATAATAATAATAACAATATTTATAAAGCGCAACATATCCACCTCTAGAGATGCTCAAGGCGCATACAAATAATTATCCAGATTTTTCCCTTATTTTCTCTATTCTTTTCAATTTTTCGCTATTTTTTCCCTATTTTCAAAAGGGAGGAGGGGGATGTCATATTTTTAACCCGAGTCCTCTTTTTTTTTACTCGAAGGGGGCGTGGTTGAGGGGGGGGGGGAGTGCTCACTATCACCCCTGATTTTTAATATACCCATCACTTGAAGAAGAAGAAAAAAAAATCATAATTTATAAAATTAACATAAAAAAGGTTTTTCCTGGCATCCTATAGGTTAACAGTTTAGGAGTATCCAGAAAAAAAGGATTAATATAACACCTTATGCAATGAACCCAAGTCTGACATTTCTGTATACATGCGTCCTATTTTGCATGAGCACATACTACAGTACGAGCACATGCAAAATATTGTAGATATAATGACTGCATTGAGAGGAATAGTTGTTTTATAGGCTCAAGGGGATGTTGCATCCTGATATCACCCCGAGGCATGCCGACAGGTGATATCAAGATGCAACATCCCGAGAGCCCATAAAACAAACCATTCCTCAAATATTAAAGCAGGCATTATATCTTTTATGCACCGTGAAAAGAGGTCATAGAATACATGTGCAACTTACCAATCATGGTTATCAAGTTTGTTTACGCTATAGAGGTCTGTGTTGATAACTTGCAGGTAGAAACCTAGTCTAAGGTGTCTGAACGCTCAGTCGATTTTGTGTGCTAAAATCCTTCCCATTGAGATTGCACGCATCCCTATGCAGTCTACTTGCATTGCGCGATCATGCAAAGTTGGTCAATGTTTTTATTTCCAAATCGAGATTCAAACCTTTATTGCCTGTGTTTGTAGCGACCAAATTGATTGCACAAAAACTGTATGGTAGCAGCGCTGCGCACAAACTAAGTAACCCAATAGGGATCGCAACTTTTTTTCCTGGTACCCGGAGTCTTGCGGGAATATCACTTATGAATGGGGATTGAAGCAAAATTTAACTATTTCGTGGTACCCGGAGTCACTCTACTATATCACTCAACTATTGACCATTACTATTTACTGGCATTGTTCGTCTCTTTACGGGAGAATGACTAAAATCATGACTGCAATTTCGACCAATCAGATGACTACGGTAGATTTCTAAAGAGAGGTATAAAATTGAGTAAAGTAAATGTGTACCTGGCAGTGAGGAATATACTGTGAGCTCTGTTATAGATAGTTAGATAGATAAATGGTATTTTATTCCAATGCATCTTTCATGAATGGCAGTTTCACAACTGAATTACACGAACTGGATATATACATTGTAAAAAACTTACATAACATTTAGTTTAAAATTGGTTAATCGTGTCATGTTACTACTGCCTAAATACCATAAACAGTTAATGAACATGATTTCAACCCCCCCCCCCCCCCCAAAAAAAAATAAAAAATGTACAAACATAATGATATGCCAACATATATGGACTAAGACAAATCATACAACAATTCTTCATGTTAAAATATTGCAGTTGTGGGTATAGTGGTAAAATAATCAAGGATAGCGGCAAGAGCAGTGGTACAGTTTTGCTTGAAATAAAGTAGACACATTACCACCAAGTCACACCATAGTCTATGGAATAATACATGCAGTCAGGCGTGACACAGTAATATTTGAAATAATTATTCAAATTTAAAAGTAATAGCAATTCAATATCATTAAAACATACTGGTACGATATAAAAAATCATTGATAAGCCCAGCTAAAGCAGGGGTATTTCTTTTAGTGCCTGGAGTACTGTGGTTGGTACTCAGTGCTAGGTAAGAAGGCAATATTTTCATATTATTATTTCTTTTGATCCTTTTAACCCAGGGGGATGAGAAAGATCCTGAACCTTCTACGAGTAAAGCATCTAAAACCCAGGCCCAGAGAAGACACGCTAAGCTTATGAAAACAGACAAGGACTTTGCCAAATGGCAGAAACATACCTCAGGATTTGGAGAAAAGCTTTTGATACAGGTAATTAATGTCATTATTTATCATTAAATGAATGGGAGCTAAAAATGGTATGATAATAAAAATACATGAGATTTATATACATTGGCGCCATTACCGATTCTGATTAAATGCTCAAGGTTATCTATTGTTTTGTTAATATCTTATGTATTTCCTTGTGTTTTTAACTTGTGTATTTTATTGTTGTTCTTGTTTTATTTCGATTCTAATTATAATTCAACTATTTTGACCCCCCAAAATAAACACCTAAACTATAAACAAGACCAAATAACCAATGTTATATCTCTTTTTTGGAAAAATGAGATTTCCAATTTCACACTTTCCTATTACTATGCCCTCTATCTCCTTTCTCTATAGATGGGATATATATCAAGCAAAGGTCTGGGTAAATTTAATCAGGATGTAGCTACCAGTCTTAACCCAATTTCACACTTACCTATTACTATACCCTCTATCTCCTTTTTCCATAGATGAGATATATACCAGGCAGGGCGAAGATGTAGCTACCAGTCTTAACCCAATGTCACACTTTCCTATTACTATGCCCTCTATCTCCTTTCTCCATAGATGAGATATATACCAGGCAGGGCCAAGATGTAGCTACCAGTCTTAACCCAATTCCACACTTTCCTATTACTATGCCCTCTATCTCCTTTCTCCATAGATGAGATATATACCAGGCAGGGCCAAGATGTAGCTACCAGTCTTAACCCAATTCCACACTTTCCTATTACTATGCCCTCGATCTCCTTTCTCCATAGATGAGATATATACCAGGCAGGGCCAAGATGTAGCTACCAGTCTTAACCCAATGTCACACTTTCCTATTACTATGCCCTCTATCTCCTTTCTCCATAGATGAGATATATACCAGGCAGGGCCAAGATGTAGCTACCAGTCTTAACCCAATGTCACACTTTCCTATTACTATGCCCTCGATCTCCTTTCTCCATAGATGAGATATATACCAGGCAGGGCCAAGATGTAGCTACCAGTCTTAACCCAATGTCACACTTTCCTATTACTATGCCCTCTATCTCCTTTCTCCATAGATGATATATATACCAGGCAGGGCCAAGATGTAGCTACCAGTCTTAACCCAATGTCACACTTTCCTATTACTATGCCCTCTATCTCCTTTTTCCATAGATGGGATATATACCAGGCAAAGGTGTAGGTAAATTTAACCAAGGTATAGTACGCCCTGTGGAGGCCACCAAGCATAAAGGCAAAGGTGCTATTGGCCATGGTCGACCGCTACGACAGACCATCGTCTCCGATGACGAGATCGACGATGAAGAGATCGCTAGAAAGCTTGGTGAACCTGCCCCAGTCAAAGGGACATCCAAATGGAAGAAGAATGATGTGAGTATAGAGTGTTCAATGGCTCATAGAGTATTGAAGCTGTGACATCATAAAAATGTATTTTGGGTATTTCTTAATTTTTTCCCCATTTTCCGAAAGAGCATCAAAAATAATGTCCAATTGTCGAAAAACCAATTGAATATGTGAAATATTGGCTGAGATATGACCATCTGAATAATTAGATATCCTATAGGAACTCAGTGTTATATTGCTCTGGCTCGTAATGTTATAAATAATAGCAAAAGTCATGTGGTGCATTTTTATTCTCTATTAAAGCCCCACTGCACTACTTATTGGTAACTTGCGCCCTGTCTATAGCAAACAATGCCTAATCGGTGCCTGTTGGTCCCCCATGATCCCCTTTTTCTTATGTTAATTGAGAGCTTAAGTGATAAGATAACCAGCTATCAGTAACCATGCAGGGAGGTCTAATCCCTCCTGGCCAAACTAGTGCAGTGGGGCTGTAAAAAGTCAAATGTCATGTGTTGTACAATATGTCTTTTCTCTGTTTAAAGCAGGTCAAAGGTCATGTGGTGTATGTCTTTTCTCTGTTTAAAGCAGGTCAAAGGTCATGTGGTGTATGTATTTTCTCTGTTCAAAGCAGGTCAAAGGTCAGAAGACCTATGTATACAAGACAGTGGATGAGGTTAAAAGGACGGGCGTATCTAAGAAACAACCCAAGTCTCTCCCAAACCAGCATCTAACTAAGGTCAAAGTGATTGACATGACCGGCCCGGAACAGCGTGTTCTCTCTGGGTACTCCGAGATCTCCAAAGGGCACGATAAACCAGTAGAAACATTTGAGACCCTCGAGGCGGGGAAGAAGGTGTTTGAGATGCCAGAGTTGATGCACAACTTGGATATTCTAGTTGAGATGGCCGAGCAGAGGATTATCAAGCACGATCGACAGTGAGTAATTCATTTTATGCAATTCAATTCAATTCAGTTCAGCTGACCAGTTCGTAGTTGGCTGTGGTACAAATGACCCCCCACATGTCCATAGATCTTGTATACATGGTGACAAACCACTTTGTACATTTTAAAATAATCACTCCTACAGCAATGGAGGTGCTACCGTATTTGCCGGCGTAAAGGCCGCAGTATTTTTGGAAGAGAAAATATCAAAAAGTCGGGGTGCGGCGTATACGCCGAAACAGTAAAAATCGCAAGTCAAAACAGCACGTCCATTATTTGTAGGCAACTTCATACAAAAAAATATATTAACAAAATTGACTTGAAAACACATCGGACAAGATCTAGTCTGAACCACGTCAGCAGCAAATTTGAAGAAGTTATCTTTTTAATCGTTGTGCAACCAAAGAAATAAGAAGAAAACTGACCAGAAACTCGTACTAAAAATCGTACTTGTAAAAATGTCCTTGGCTTAGACAGCGCATGGCCCGGTAACCAAAATCATACCTCGCTCACACACTCTGTGGTGGGGAGCTACCGGGCTGGGAGTTGCAACAAATCCAACGCAGCTTCGGAGATTCACAGCGCAATCGTCGGTGTTCTTAACTTTTCAGTAAGATAATTCTGAATTATAATTGAGACTATCTAATTAATTAAATAAACTAACAAACTAACCTTGGTAGATCTCTAATAACAATACAAAAGCTTGTTTATTCTCTCCATTTGGCGGTACGATAGGGGTAAGACCGGATAACATTATGGCCACAGCTTGGTTATGGCAGGCCATTCATGTTTCTGTATGCGTGCGAAGCGCCCTCTAGTGTCCAATGAATGTGCTAATCTGCCTAAAAATCGATGAAGATTTGCTAAATTACGATAATTTTTTAGGTAAACTTCCTGTAAATTTATAAAATGATTGATAATTTTGGTATTAGTTTGTAGGAAAAATAGAGTTCTACGAGAAAATTATGATTATTTTCTTTGGTCCGTTTTTTTTTTCTTTTTTTTTCTCTCTACGAAATGTCAAAGTTGGGGGTGTGGCCTATGCGGCGGTGCGGCCTTTACGCCGGCAAATACGGTATATAAAAAAATATATAAATATAGCAAATGTGTATTTTACATTTTTTAACGTTAATTTTACCTTTTTTTGGAGATGGCCCCCCCCCCCCTGGCGCTCAAGGGGGAGGGGGGGGTGCAATTTTTTAAATTTTCGAGGACCAACAAAATAAATTAGTGCTCAATACACACAGAAAAGAAGACTCATGAATACAGTCAATTTAGTACAAACAGAAAGTATCAAATTAAGTTCCAAATGAATTATTGAAATAAGAAAGCGTACAAATAATCAATTTTACAAACTAGGCTTGAGTCGGTACGGTCGATCACACCGGGACCCGACCGTTGCCGTCGGGTCCCGGTTTCGCTTTTTGAGAACCGGCGCTCCGGAAAAAATAATGAAATATGTAAGAAATTGCAGTTTTGCACACCACTAAAATCAATCCACCCTAAAACTTAAGTATTTAATTGTTACCAATCGTATTCTAGCTCATCCAGAATCAATCCGAACTGCTGATATAAATATGGGTTGCAAAGCAGTTCGCCCCATGGGGTTGTTGTTGCCAGCTGCTAGCTAGCTACTGTACTGGCCGGGTCTCTCGGCAGAATTAATAAATCAGGTTGAAAGAAACATTAATGTTTGAATAATGTGCGACTTTCTAAAAAGTACTTCTTTACAACATACCGATCGAATAATTTTAAAAAGACAAAATATATATTTTTTCTTTGATTTTGAACACCGCATGCTTCTTTTAAAAGCTGAAAATGACTTGGTAATCACAAGAAGTTTCGATACGGATAGCTGTTGCAATGCAAGTTCAGACTAGTCTCGGAAAAATGCGCAGTGCTCCTTGTTAGCTATAATGCGTGCCAGAACGAACCCAAACAAAGACGTGATCGTAACGAGAAAAAAATCATTAAAAACTACGAGAGCACAATTGGAAAGACAACTACTCAAAATTATCGTAAGCAGATACATAACTTGGAGGAAGAATACAATAGTTGTCCAAGAAAAGCCACATAAATAGTGATATTTAATGAGTTACTATAGGTACAATCATTATCGGAAGGGCCTGCTGCAATATATCTAAACGTGTTTAAATTGAACACGAGGCAAATACCGCCCTCTACGGTAAAAATCAGTATAACAAAGGATTCGAGTATTTGCAGCAGGCCCCTTGCGATAAAAATGTACCCAGTTACTCCTTGATTATCACAATTTCTGTGGCATTTCTTGGGCGATTATTGAATTCTTTGTCCAAGTTATGTATCTGATTATGGTAATTTTGAGCATTATATCTTTCCAATTGTGCTCTCGTAGTTTTTAATGATTTTTTTCTCGTTACGATCACGTCTTTGTTTGGGTTCGTTCTGGCACGCATTACAGATAACGAGGAGCACTGCGCATTTTTCCGAGACTAGTCTGAACTTGCCTTGCAACAGCTATTCGTATCGAAACTTCTTGTGATTACCAAGTAATTTTCAGCTTTTAAAAAAAAGCATGCGATGTTTAAAATAAGAGATAAATATTTATTTTTGTCTTTAAAATATTATATGATCGGTATATTGTACAGAAGAATTTTTTAGAAAGCCGTTTTATCATTCTAACATTCATATTTTTTTGACCAGATTTATTCAACCTGCATAAATCAAAATGGCGGCTCGATTGTAGTCTTTATATTTTTGCTCGAGTTTTTTTACTTTTAGAGGCACGATAATGGCACTAAACATCGCCAATCATGGATGAATATAATGTCAAATGGAAGAATATACCAATCTGTGCCGAGGTATGCATGTGTTGATTTATTTGACTGATAAAAATGTCACTTTTAAGGGACATACCGATGATATGCGCTTTTTATAGAGGCAAGTGACAAATCCTGCGAGCTGATTTCGGGACACCGGGTCCCGACCGGTGCAAGACCGTCGGGACCCGGTTTATGAAAATCCCGACATGACTCAGGCCTATTACAAACATGAAGCGTTGAGATCTAGTTTATTGCATATAATATCCGTCTTGTACAGAAGTATGACATTCTGGGTGTTCTATTTTTTAAAGAGAATTACATATTGTAATTGCAGGAAGATTAAAGATATAGACCGGTAGTGGTTAAATTGCGGTTCAAGGGTTTTTGGGGTGCAAAAGATCCATTCACTTTTGTTTAAATATTGCCTTCAGAGGTTTAGATGGCAATACTTAACCTAAATTTGCAAAAAACCAAAAATATATATGCTATCCAGGCCGGATCGATATGATAATTTACCAAATATATCAATTAGAAGGCGGTTTCCCTGCAAAATTGTTATCAGCACGTATTAGTCAAAATATATTCTTTCACATGATTGGTAATAAGAGCTTCCATTTCATTTTTTGAGAGGGGGGGGGGGTGTTTCCAAAACTGGTCTATACCTTTAAAGTTATTGATATTATGAAATGCTAACGCAAATAGTGTTTGTTATTGTTGTTGCTGTCACTGTTCTTGTTCTCTCTTTTTTCCCTTCTTAACTGAACCTATTACTGTTGTGATTTGATGTCTTTCTTCCTGTGACACTTTTGCGTCAGTCGTATTTTTAAAACTATTATTTGATCAAGTTATGTTTTAATTTTCATGCCGATTGGGCTACCTAACTTGTATATATTCTTTTAACTTTGAACAGATTGCATCATGAAGATGACACGATAGTGAATCTTCAACATGAGAATCAGAAGACAAGTTCAATCCTAGAGCAAGAGCAAGCAGTCATCGATAGATTATCCACTGTTATTGAGGTTATAGAGAGGTATGAGCTCTTTTGCTTTAAAGGCATCGTTTAACAATGTTAAATCTGAGATGCATGGCCCTACATGTAATCAGTGTCTGTGATATAGTGTAATATTAAAGCCCTAAAACAATTGCGGTTCAAAATGATCAAGAAGTGCCTCAAAAAAGTAAAAATCTTTGAGTTACCGGTTTTACCATACTCATTTTCCCTAATAGAATGTAGTGTTATAAAAGCGGTTAGGAAAACGAAAAATTAAATTTCGATTTCCAATCATAAATATCTTGATAATCAGACAGGCTTATAAAAGCCATGGGATCCCTGACTGACCTAAAGGTTTATGATTATGATTGCAGCATGAGCTAAATCAAGGATTTTGTTTCAGAACCTGAGGCAATGTTACTGAGACACCTTAAAATAAATTCTTCTTTTTTTTATAAATATATGCTTCGATACTAATAGATTATCAACTGATGATATATTATAATTATTATTTGATCTTGCTATAATTTTTTCAGCAGAAAAGTTATCATTTAGTATTTGACTTCACCTGTGCCTGGGAGGCTAAAAACAACTTAAGATGGGCAAAAATACCCCTTGGGATCTCTCTCCGTGGTATAACTGATTGGGGTTGTGCAGGTGGACCACTACATCAAGGTTTCGCCTACTCTTATACGAATAGTGCAGGGGGGTTGTAATGGGCAAATATAGTGACTCTCCTCTACACAGGACATTAAACGCTGTATCCGAGGGACGGGGTGATTTACACTGTAAGATACATGTAGCCTGCGTTTATGAAATAGGGGAGACAGAGCTGCCAACCATTCCCTTTTTGCCGGAATTACTCCGTTTTTTCCTCCAAATTACGGTATTACGTTTTTTCTACGTAAAATATGGTTTTTTATAATTTTTTTTGGTTTTTTGTTGTTGTTTGTTTTTGTTTGTTATATACTGCACGTCAAACAACTGCCTTATAATTGTGGTTTGATCACAAATTCAATAAAAAACTAATTTTAAAAAATACTTGAAGAGAAAAACATTCTAAAAAAGAATGAAATGCCGATAACACCAAAATAACCAAACAAAAAATACCTGCTTGTATGGAAAAAAGAGCATGAGGAATGAACATTTCTGCATTGGAAGTGTGTCGCGCATGGTTGTAAGTTTCGTTTTTATGAATTCCTTTTTTTTTGCTTGAAATTCCTTTTTTTGGTCGCACAAGGTTGGCAGCTCTGGGGAGAGGCACGTTGTCCGCCTGGGTTGGATTCAAACTCGCCATCTATGGTTTGACAGGCAGATGCTTTACCGACTGAGCCAACTCGCTTCCTCAAAGTTGAATATTAATCTTACTTTACATGTATGTGATTTTACAAACTACACACCTTGAGAATTGGAATCCCTAGAGAGAAACAGAGAGAGAAAGGAGGAGGAAGGAGATGGAAAAGAAAGAGAGAGAGAGAGAGAGAGAAAGGAGGAGGAAAGAGAAGGAAAAGATAGAGAGAGAGAGAGAGAGAGAGAGAGGAAGGAGGAGGAAGGAGAAGAAAAGGAAAGAGAGAGAGAGAGAGAGGAAAGAGGAGGAAAGAGAAGGTAAAGAAAGAGAGAGAGAGAGAGAAAGGAGGAGGAAAGAGAAGGAAAAGAAAGAGAGAGAGAGAGAGAGAGAGAGAGAGAGAGAGGAGGAGGAAAGAGAAGGAAAAGAAAGAAAAAATCTTGCAATGTTTTTTTATATTGTTAGTCTTGCGGAGAGGTCAAACCCAGGACACCCTAACCCAGTGACCTTGAGTGACTTTGAGGACAGTTTTCAAAGACTTCGGGAGGACATGGCTCAAGAATGGAAAGCCTTTCAGCTTGTTGACATCACAGTAGCACTCGTCTTCCCACTGGTAAGCCATTGCATTATAGAGCTATTTACTTAGTTATTGATTTATTTATTTATTTATTTATTGCTGCCAAAAGCAGTTGAAAGAAGACAAATCAGGTCTAAAAATATCATTTTTAATAAAAGTGGGTCATAAAAGGTCATAACCAGTGATGAATAATTGATGACTTTTTGAAAATTAAATAAACTTTTTCCAAATTGGTCAAAATAATAATAATTATCTAGATTTATATAAAGCGTTATATGAAGTACCGTCTCTAAGCGCTTTATAGATATTATTACCCCGGTCATCAGATTTATTCATGCACAATGTGCACCATCTCCACTCCATGGGGAGTATTCCTACCATATGGTCACCGTGAGGGCATATGGCAATTACTAACACAAATGCTTTTGTCATCTTATCGGGTCCCCATTTCTCTCTTGGGTATTGAGTGGCAAATGTAGATTAATGCCTTGCCAAAGGACATTAGTGCCATGTCGGGGATCGAACCCACAACCTTTGAATTTCAGGTCAAGTGCTTAAGCCACTCGACTACGACTCTTCTTCTTCTACTTCTACTTCTACTCATGAGCTTGGGATGTCATACCCGTACTATTTATCAGTGCTTTATAAATTTATACTTACATGAGTGAATAATGAGGGAGCAGCATCGCAAAATTATGACCAAGTTGCCAATTTGTCTTCATGGGATAATAATCTTCATAATCTTCTTGATAATTATCTGATTTTCCTCAATCTTTCATTCTCCTGTTATTTTTTGCTTTTTTGTTGTTGTTGTGTTTTTCGCTTTTATAAAAAGCCCTCAGCTGGAATTGACCTTTAAATAATTTAGATATGTTAAGTTGTGCGGGAAGTTCAAATTTTATTTGTTTTCTTTGTTCAGATCCGCACAGAGCTGCGTGATTGGAAGCCTATAAGTGAGACTAAGACTCATCTGGACCTGTTCCAGACCTGGAAGGATATCTTAGACTGCGTAGACTGTCAGATGATCATCCAGGATCATCCCGCCATCACAGCTTACGAGAGATTGGTGTGGGAGGAATGGATGCCGGTCGTTAGACGAGGAGTGACCGGATGGAATGTGCATGACTGTGATCCACTCATTGGTAAAGTACATTCATTTGTTGTTCTTGGACTGACAGAGTTAGTAATGAGGATGTTCTTAGAAGAGCTGGGGGGTGTTTCACAAAGATATTAAGTCGAACTTAACTCTAAGTTGGATTTAAAAATTATGGAGAGCCATTTGTAGCCTTAAAATAAAAATTGTTCGAAAGTGAAAATTTAAGTATTTTAGATTTTTTGTAAATTCCCCATCAAGAACATGAAATCTCCCATGATAATAGAAAATATGAATGATTTGAATCAACATTTAATGCCTTTTGAAATAACTTTTACAAAATATTTTTAAAGATGCTAACAGCTTTCCATAATTTTTAAGTCCAACTTTGAGATGAGTTCAAATTAGGATCTTTGTGAAACACTCCCCTGGAGTGCAAAGGAAAATGATACGTGACATGCTGATGAGGCAGTTGAAGTTCTTTGGTCACATTACACGTAAAGAAGGCCTAGAGAATCTTGCTTTGACAGGGAAAATTGTGGGAAGGAGAAGTAGGGGAAGAAGGATATTTTGGATGGACAGTCTTCAGAAATTGTTTGATGAGAGAGAAGTTTAAGAACTGAGAGTGGCACTAGTATAGAAGGCTAGGAGCCGAGGGTTGTGGAGCAGCATGATCGCGAAAGTCAATTGATATGGTACTTAGAGAGAGAAAGAAAGAGTTGTATATATTGTAATTTGAGAACAATAGTCAGTTCTGGGCTCTGTCTTATAAGTAGCTGTGATTGATCTGAATCTATCGCAAGTTTGCAGTCCTCTACAATCTCTACATACATATCAACTCTTTATTTGGGTCCAGGGCCTTGTCTTACAGAGAGTTAATATCAATCGCAACTATTTACATAAGAGATAGGAGACTGCAAACTTGCAATTGATTGGAGGACTTGCGATTCATTTGGATCAATCGCAACTCTTTGTAAGACGGGGCCCAGGTATCAGCAAATAATTGTTGACAGCTGGTCTCACCATATTTTACACAATCACATTAGTGGTCTAAAGTTTAGCCCAACTAATGTATTGTGGATTAAATAACCCCCTTACCATACTTTTTTCCCTCTCAGTAATTTAAGCAAAGATTTCATAAATCTGCCCTGAATTTCTATTTTTATAAGTTCTATTTAGTGAGTTGGTTTCAGGGATAGCCATTCCAAGCCATTGTAGCATAACCTTGATGTCAATGTTTTTTTCTTGACAGAGTTCTTAGAGAACTGGCTCCCTCTCACGCCTCGTTGGATTCTAGACAACATTCTGGACCAACTCGTCTTCCCTAAACTACAGAGGGCGGTAGAGAGTTGGAATCCACTAACAGATGTCGTTCCTATACACTCCTGGCTCCACCCATGGTTACCGTTGTTAGGTAAGATTTGTGACGAAAATACAAATCTGTACACCAAGTGAACCATATATAAAGAAGAGAAAATATTTTAAATATAATTGCAACAAGTTCTCGAGGGTGTTTCACAAAACTTGTCATCAGTGACAAATGACATTTTTTGTTATAAGCTAGTATAGTGAAATCCTCGCTTCTGATTGGATATCAGCAGATTTGTCATTGATTTTTGTCATTTGTCATTAGTGCTACCGCAGTACTCAAACTGTGAGCCATGTAATCTAGAATTTGGTGATGTATCCACTAAACTAGGGGGATGTTTCACAAAGATCCTAAGTTGGACTAAACAATTATGGAAAGCTGTTAGCATCTATAAAAAAAAGTTGTAAGATTTGTTTTAAAATGCATAAAATGTTGTTTAAATCATTCATATTTTTCTATTATCAAGGAGATTTCATATTCTTGATGTGGAATCTATAACAAGTCGTAAATACTTGGAATTTTCGCTTTTGAATATATTTTAGTTTAAGGCTACAAATGGCTCTCCATCGTCCAACTTAGAGTTAAGTTTGACTTGGGATCTTTGTGAAACACCCCCAGGTCATAGAATGTAACTTTAATGATAAATGTTTTGTTTGAATGATTTTGATTTGACTTCTACAGGAGAGCAGCTTGCTCCTCTTTACATCCCAATCAGACAGAAGTTTGGTTCAGCTCTGAGAGACTGGCATCCTAGTGATAGCTCTGCTAAAACCATCTTGTTACCATGGAAACCAGTATTCTCCAAAGGAACTATGGAGGCCTTTGTAATCAGGCACATTGTTCCCAAGCTAGCTATGTGCTTGCAGCAGTTTGTGGTCAACCCATACCAGCAGCATCTAGGTAAGCTCAGGGGGCTAGAACATGGTTCAGATATTGCTGGTAATTACGATGGTTGTGATGTAGATGATAATGATGGTGATGATGATGAGTTTGATGATGATGATAATGATGATGATAATGATGATGATAATGATGGTGATGATGATGATGATGGTGAATTGAAGATGATGGTGGTAATAATGATGATGATGATGATGATGATGATAATGAGTTTGATAATGATAATGAATTGGTGATGATGATGGTGGTGGTGGTGATGATGATGATGATGATGATGATGATGGTGGTGATGATGATGATGATGATGGTGGTGGTGGTGGTGATGATGATGATGGTGGTGATGGTGATGGTGATAATGGTGAATTGGTGATGATGATGATGGTGGTGATGGTGATGATGATGATGGTGATGATGATGATGATGATGGTGATGATGTTGATGATAATGATGATGGTGGTGAAGATGATGGTGAATTGGCGATGATGGTGATGGTGACGATGATAATGGTGATGGTGATGATGATGACAATTTTGATGATAATGATGATGGTTGTGATGATAATAATGATGTTGAAGATGATGGTGATTGTGGGGTTAGTGATTGATGCTGATGATGATGTTGGTGGTGGTGGTGGTAATGTCGGTCATTTATTTATTATCCCCTCTCCGACATAGTAACGCTTCCTTCCGTCCGTCCCTCCGTTCATAACAAATCTGGTTTCTGTTCGATAACTTTTAACAGATTTTAATGAAATTTGATTTAAAGGAACAGTGTACATGGTATCAAAATACAGCCTAAATTTGATATTGGAGTATGTAGGTCAAAGGTCATATCTCATTAAATTTGCGAAAATGTATAATTATATATTTAAAAATGTGGTTTTCATCCAATAACGTAAGTAATGTTGATGAGTATGTATGTCAAAGGTCACAGCTCACTAAATATGCAAAAATTGCTAAATGTAGGTCATTTGTACATATAGACCAGTTTATGCACTTATGATTCATCAGGACCAAAGAGGCTTGCAATAAATGTCAAGCCACCTGATATTCAAGGAAACTGTTCATTTTCTACATGATTTCCCAAAACACACAATCAAGAACAACTCTCGAAATATTGAATCTAACAGCCATCAATTTTTAAATTCCTTCTTTTTTTTCTTTCTTTCTTTTTTTTGTGTTTGTGTGTGTGTAAAGCCAAATAAAGCTTTTTTTATCATGTGCCGCGATTTGTGATCGATCAGCGAATTTATATTCGCTTTTTGTACAGATTTACTGCGTATTGCCAGTTACACTACCGCAGCAAGTGCGATTTCTCATTTTCGAATACATACCATGCTAAAAAAATTCCTAATTCTTATTTTCAAATGTTGGATAGTATGCATATATTTTTTAATTGAATACTTATGGTTCATTTACCCCTCCCCCCCCCCCCCCCCTTCAGAACCCTTTGAATGGGTGATGGCCTGGGAAGACTTCATGCCTCGTCCCACTCTGGTGAAAATCTTTGAGTCCAACTTCTTACCCAAGTGGCTCCAAGTCCTGTGCTCCTGGCTCAACAACAATCCAAACTACCAGGAGGTGGTGGCCTGGTATAGCGGCTGGAAGAAACTCTTCCCTGAATACCTGCATGCAGAACCAGGCATCAAATGTGAGTTGTAGATTGAGAGAGAGAGACAGAGGAAGAGAGAGAGAGAGAGAGAGAGAAAGAGAGAGAAAGAGAAAGAGAGACGCTCTCAGAGAGAGTATAGTGGCTGGAAGAAACTCTTACCTGAATACCTGCATGCAGAACCAGGCATCAAATGTGAGTTATAGATAGATTGAGAGACAGAGGAAGAGAGAGACAGAGAGAGAGTGGAAGAGAGAGAGAGAGAGGGAGAGAGAATAGTGGCTGGAAGAAACTCTTCCCTGAATACCTGCACGCCGAACCAGGCATCAAATGTGAGTTGTAGATAGATAGATTGAGAGAGAGAGAGAGAGAGAGAGAGGGGGCGGGGGGGAGGGGGATGAGACAGACAGAGATAGACAATATGTGTGTGTGTGTGTGTGTGTGTGTGTGTGTGTGAAAGAGAGAGAGAGACAGAGAGAAAGATATCATTATCATCTTTGTCATTATAGTAATAATCATCCTCATCATTACTGCCTGATTACAGCCTTTTTCAACCAAGCTTTGGATGTAATGAAGAGAGCAGTGAGTGGATCAGGACCGGTCCAGGTGCCCCGCCCACCTCCACCCCCAGGGCCTCCCCCTGCAGCACCCCCTCTACCATCACAACCAGCCAGTAAATGGAGCAACGAGGTAAGACATCTGTTTGGGTGTGGTGTTATCTCATTGCTAAAAGTATCTGTATTAGTTGAAACTGATCTTACACTGGAATTTCGGGTAAAAATCTGATTTCTAATGTGTTGTATGAATTCTTAAATGCTTATTTAATTCATGTTTGTCCTACCTGGCAACGACTAATGTTGCAGTTCAGATTCTATTGGCTATTGAAATACTATTATTCTTATCAGGTGAATGAAATAGTTTGTATCGAGGCACTTCACAAAGACGTATGCATTAAACTTGGTTACGGTACGAAATAGCCTATTGTCAGAATGTATACTACTAGCACTTTCGTTGTGAGTATCACATCCGTGTGGCAATTCAGATGTTTTGCTCTAAATAACTGAAACAAAAATCACTCTTAAAAATCACCTGATTGAAGTATGCCCGTGATATTTGGTAGTTTTAACCTTTGATTTATTAACAACATGCTATAATTTTGAAAATAGGAGTGGACTTGGGCTTTAATATCAGGTTTGCTAGCTGTGAAGGGGTTATAAGGTGAGAAACTACTGTATTACCCTATGTCAAATCGATTGATAGTCTAATCTAATGACATACTTGCTTCAGGGATAACCCCAAAAATGAAAGGAAGCGGTCTTTGTTTATTGTGTCTTCAAAGCAAGATTGATGTCAGTGATTTTTGTCAACAGTTATGATTGATTACCAGTATTCTGCTCTTTTTCTATCTATTTTTAAGCCTGTGATGGTGAAGAGCTCGGCCACAGGGATCCCAACAACTTTCAAAGATCTTGTTGAGAAAAAGGTAAGAGTCCCATGGTTTAAGAAAATATATAAATAATACATGTAATACTGCTAAAAATATATTTTTATAATGATATTGATTTATAAACCAGTTGTGTACAGCGCAAATATCCTCTGTTCAGATCCAAAAGGGGCTGAACTTTTTGGCTGGAAACAGACAAATATGAAGAAAGTTATGAACTTTTTAAATTTGTAATCAATATATATGAGCACATCAAATTGGCTGAATCAGTAATCTCACTGTGACGTAGTGCTGAACAAGTTTCCCATTTATTTTAAAACAACTAAAGTTTCATTTTTTCGAAGTGTATAACTTGGGAATTTTTTCCTTTTTAACAGACCTAAAGTAATATTCTATCCATAAAATATTTTTAGTAGTTCCTCAAAGGATCAGGCACTTTTTAGATAAATAGAAATTGATTATTTTTTTGTACACACAAATATTTGAGATTCGCATAGATTTAGCAATATCATATTTCAACCATTTGTTACTCTCTCATTTTTGGTTCAACTTATTTCAAACTTTCGCCATTTTGTTTCTTTGACTTTTATGTTTGCATACAAATGAATTTATGACAAAGGTTAGATGGTCTAACGTCTTTTTGGCTCCAAGTAGACATTATCACACATGATGTAAGGTCCCTGTGCCAGAGTGTGCTAACCTGAGGGATTTGAATAATCATTATGAACCTAGCTTAATATCACGCAACCATTATCAGCACACAGTGCATTACAAGGAATACCCTGCCACGTTGCCACAATAAAATAAAACCTAAATAAAAATGAATTATTAAAATTGTGTTTTTTTTTCTTCCTGGCAGGCGGCTGAGAGTGGAATCTTGTTTGCGCCCACCCAGCGTCGTCAAGCAGGAGCGACTGTCTATAACTTTGGCCATCTACTAATGTACATTGACCGAGGAGTTTCATATGTCCAGCAAGGTACTGACTGGACACCAACATCTATCTACACTATGATAGACATGGCTCTCAAAGGATCGTGACATCATAAAGATAATGCTTGTGACATCATCAAGACATTGTTTGTGACATCATAAAGACATTTTTTGTGACATCATAAAGACAATGCATGTGACATCATAAAAACATTGTTTGTGACATCATAAATATGTGATTGTGACATCAGAAATATGTGATTTTGACATCATAAATATGTGATTTTGACATCATAAAGACATTTCTAGTGACATAATTATGTGATTGTGACATCACGAAGACACTGGTGATGACATCATAAATATGCAATTGTGATATCATGCAAAGAGCAGTAGTGATGACATCACAAATGATGTGATTGTGACATCATGAAAGCAGTAGTGATGACATCACAAAGACATTGGAGATGTCACAAAGGCTGATTGTGACATCATAAAGGAATGTGAGAGCAAGCTGTATCATGTCACAGTCTCTTGGCAGCAGAAAAGGATTGACATTATTATGCACTTGTCATTTGTAAGACGCACGTCTTGACCCCCGGGAATGGTGCGTCATTGTACCGATGTGAGTCGTACATTTTGATACCATGACGCACCTTCCGTCACAGAAAGTGACACACCATTACATTCCATCGACGCACATTTGAGTCAAACATATGACACACCATTTCATGAAAATGACTAGCCAATGACGCACATTTGAGAAACACTTCTGCTTGGAGAAAGTGATGGTCCCATTGACACACCAAATGACGCAACGTGGTAAAGTGACTTACTATGACGCACATAGGGGTCAGTATTGTGACGGACATTTTGCGGCCATGACGGTACTGTGCGTCGCGATTTTGGGGAACATGACGCAACCATGACGCACCATTCCCGGGGGTCAAGAGGTGCGTCTTACAAATGACAAGTGCATTAGAGTGATCATGAAAAGCCAGGATCTTTGCTAGAAAAACTGTTCCCAGGAGTAATTCCAGCTACATGTACAAGGATTTCTAGAAATAACAAGACTTTAAAATTCTGAAAATTGCAGAAAATGTCAAATAACTATATTCTCATCAATACATAGCCTATTGAAAGAGATGGTTTAAAGAACAGACGATTCTTTAAAGTAGACATTCAAAGAAAAAATTTTTAAATGGCCAATAATCTTTCACTAAGACCCAGGAATCTTACTGATGACAATTGTATAAGAGGACATTGTATACAAATTTAACAAATTACAAGCCCTTCGCCAGAAAATTTAGCATTGTTTTGATGACGTTTTAGCGGGGACAAAATCTGCATAAGCAGACAAGGTCCTATATAAGAAATGAACATATTTTCAGTGCAATTATTTTTCAATAATAACAATCACCATTAAACTAACAACAACAACCATTGGTTTATGTTAAATGACATTGAGTTTTATCTGTTTTTATTGGCTTAACTGGTCCATAAGAAGTACATTATTGTGTAAGCCACCAATACAATAATGACTATGCATAGAGCAAAAAGGGTAATTTACTGAATATTTTGTGGATTGTACTGGATTTCAGTTGTACTGTCTGTAACCATAGAGGGCAGCAGATCATCAAGCTCCTTTCCCCCAATTCATAACATGCTGTATGGCTGTATCAGTAGAACATACACCATCTACTGGCAAATCTGATTTTTAATCGTTATAAAGCTGTCCTATATGTTGTTATAAGCTAGTGAAATCCTTGCTTCTGATCGCTTATCAGCAGATTTGTCACTGATTATGTCATTAAAAAAAGGGTTTGTGAAACTGGGCCCTGATGAGCATATCATGTGTGAGTAATATTTATGTATTAATGTGACAATTTGTAAATAAAGAGTCATTTGGCTTGTCATTAACTATATCAGTTTGTACTTGTGAACGATCAATTTGTTATTTCTCTCACACTCCTGTTTCATGTACCTTCCTTACTTATTTGTCTTTCATTTATTAATTTCAGTCTTCTCTTCTTCTTTTTTCTTCTCCTCTTTCCCCTCCTCCATCTCCTCATCCTTCTCTTCTGTTCCTTCTTCTTTTTCTTTTTCTTTTCTTTCTTCTTCTTTTTTCCTTCTTTTTCTCCCTCTCCTCGTCCTCCTTTTCCTACTTCTTTTTTCTTCCTCCTTCTTCTCATCTTCTTCGTCTTGTTCTTCTTCTTCTTCTTCTTCTTCTTCTTCTTCTTCTTCCTCCTTCTTCTCCCTTTCTCCTTCTTCTTCTTCTACTTCTCATTCTTCTTCTGCTTCTTCTTTTCCTCCTTCTTCTTCTCCTTCTTCCTCCTCCCCCTCCTTCTTCTCCTTTTCTCCTTCTTCTTCTCATTCTTCTGCTTCTTCTTCTTCTTCTCTTTCCTTTTGACTTCTCATTCTTGCATTCCAGTTTAAGGGATATAATTTGAACCCACCTTGGTGGACGATGTGCCAATAAAAGTTGTGTAAACTCATCAATTTTTTTTCATCAAAGTGTATTCTACAGGCCCCCTATAATTTCCCAATTTTTCTTACTCAAATGGGGGGGGGGGGGGGGGGGATGTTGTTAAATCCCACTCCCCCCCCCCCCTCCTCGAATCCTCTTTCTTTTTGTTTTACTCAAGGGGGCGTGGTTGAGGGGGAAACCTCCCCCCCCCCCCCTTTTTTTTTTGTGGCTCACTATCGCCCCTGATTATGATACTTGGTTGGACGTTTTCTATTCAAAAGGGGGAAGCGTGAATCGTTTCAATCACTTTATATGCATAAAATGCGCCTTCTCTTTTTCAAATGGAATGATCCCCCTTTAATATTGGTATTTTTGATACATGTGTGTCAAATATCAACTGAAAACGTTTTGCTCAATGATTATTTAACGGAACTAAAAAGAGAAAAAAGTGCAATATTTGTACAAAATGTTCGTGTGAAACTATAATGACGTCACTGTCATTAATCAAACGCAACTTAGCCATTTGTAAAGTGATTAATACAAAATTGCGTGCGAATGAACCCACTTACCGGATCTGTCAGTTGTTATCTTTAAAATAAGGTTAAACCCGTACTATTTCCGTTAACACGTAGACCGGGTTTCTTAATTGAAAGAAATCAAATATTGCCAGATCCGAACGTGGGTAGATGTGATTAATAATTATTGCAAGATTTTCTCGATTTTAACGATCACGTTTGAATCAGGCAAGCCTCGGTCTCGTATTAACATGTTATGATCGTTGTGAATCATTACACATCAACAAGCGAGTGGAATTGTTTATGGGTCGAATATTGTACAACCCATATAGGCCGGTAGTTAGCCGAAGACATTATTTGAATTGAAATGGATTAATTTGCAATAATAATAGATTATCCCACAACAAACAACGCACCGGTTAGACTCCATTTGTGATGTTATGGATGCGTTATTGATCACCGTCAACTGTAATCATAAATAAACCAATTAAAAATATAATCATGAATATTAAAAACAAGATATAACAATAAATAAAACAAGTAATAATATAATAATGAGAACAAATAATATAACCATAAATAAAACACTTAGAAAGATAATCATGGACGAAACAAAGACGTATCGGTCGACGAAGAAGAACCATGTAAGGAAAGTAAAGGCAAAGGTTGTCGTAATTGGAGAAAGGTTACTGAGTGTGGATCTGAAAGTAGGTAAAGTAAATATCGGTAAGGACGAGAAAGTATTTCAAAAATACATGCGGGGTTCATTTTTAATACTCGGTGAATGATGAAGCAGGGGTTATAAAAAGATACACTGGTCTTTCACTTTAGCAACATTCCAAATATATCATCCACCCTTCAAATTTTTTTTAAAACCTCTTTCAATTTCACAAAATAATCATCCACACTTACATATTAGCAGTTCATTTAAAAAACTTCGAGATTGATAAAAAGTAAAGTTTATATGAGCCTACCTTTAAACTGTCATGATAGTACTCAGAAAGAGAGATGACAATGATGATGATTATGATGATGATGATGATTGTGGTGCTGCTGCGGATGATGATTGTGGTGGTGGTTGTGATAGTGGCGGTGATGATAATCAATAATAATAATAATAATACAAATTATACCATTACCATGACTACTACGACTACGTCAATACACTACTACGACTAGTACTATGGTGATGATGGTGCTGGTGATGGTGTGTGGTTATGATGATGATGATGATGATAATGATGGTGATGATGATGATGATGATGACGATTGTGGTGCTGCTGCTGATGATGATCATCATCATCAGCAGCAGCACCACAATCGTCATCATCATCATCATCATCACCATCATTATCATCATCATCATCATCATAACCACACACCATCACCAGCACCATCATCACCATAGTACTAGTCGTAGTAGTGTATCATCATATACCACTGACCATCATCACCACCACCATCATGGTGGTGGTGATGATGGTCAGTGGTATATGATGATAGTGGTCACGGCGGTGGTGGGGAAAGAAGGATGTGCCTTCCTTTACTACCTGCATGCATTAATACATACATGCCAACTGTTCAGATTAAAGAGGAATATTCCTCTTTTTGGGAGAAGATAATTATCATTTTAATGCAGGTGTTCCTCTTCCTGTACAAATTTGTCTGTAGTATTGAATAGGAGAGTTAGGATTGTTCCTCTTTTTTTTTAAAATAGCATAATTTGTACAGATTTCTGATTTTCAAATGTTGGCATGTATGATTAATGTTGTCAGAAATATAAGATTTAGAGAAAAGAACATTTTGGATGGGGAGAGGAACTATAATATACACTGTATATAGGCATATAATATTATGTAGCATGTAAACGCCTTGTCAATGAATGCCAATAAACGTGATTGGACTAGGTAACTAGATGTATAGGAGAGTTATTGCAACCAAAATCAATATTATCATTGTCAACAAAATAAATTGTACGGTACTGTTTCGGTATAACTCTCTCTCTCTGTGTCTCTCTTTCTCTCTCTCTCTCTCTCTTTTCTATCTCTCCCTCTCAAGTCGAACCTCTCCTCTTTCCCCTCGCTCTCCTTCAGTTTCTCGACCTCCGGCCTTTTATCTATCTCAGCGCCATAACTAAAGGAATAGAAAATTATCTGTCCTAAATCTATAATTTTGTTAGTTGGCACTTGGCCTATAGTTTTACAGATGCATTTTAACTACGGGGACCCCTTCTTCTATGTTATCCCAAATAATGAATATTTTATATTAAATTCTTCATTATGTTATTACTTGTGAGTGTATATCCCGCCCACCTATCCATGATATTAGACACATCCACACAGCTTTTGGGTAACATAACCATGATAATTTAATGCCGATTCAGGTCTAGAGTCATTAGTCAAAACAGTTTACCTTTGTTTACAATAGAAATACTGCTGGCAGCATTGATCTACTGCTCACGGATCTAGATCATCATTTTTAATTTAACTTGTTCAATAATAGTCATGTCTGCGGTATAGACCAAAATAATAATTGGCATTCCGATAATGTTGGCTGTGGTTGAAACTTACCACGTCCGCTTTATAAACCGCTTTAGAAATATGGAATGAATTTGGCCTAGAAACAAATCAGCATTTTCTCAATTATCATCATAAAAAGTACAGTAAAATGACAACACGGAAACATTATCAGATATACCATGAATAATGAAACACGTATACAAAAGAATCTCATTTCCTTTATGGCGCTTGCGTGCGAACGAAATTATCTGCCATTAATAGGAAATGGTTTAGGAAATGCCACTTAAATTGAAAATTGTTTGAATAATGTTTTAAAGAAACATGAATGTTTATTCGCCTTATTTACGCCTGGATAATAGTTGAGAATTTAAGTGCGTTAGCTTACGCTTTGCACATAGACCTAGTCTATTGGCAGCAGTGGCTCCGCTCTCGTATTATATATTTAGTTCCTGTTAGGCATTAATTATACCACTCTCTTACTGCAAATGGTGACTATGTTTGGTAAACGATTTTGTTAATTTCGTTTAAACGTCATTCTCTTTCCAAAGTTATTGTTGCCGTTATTGTATTATAAATTGATACCGTTTCAACACTCTCTCGTGTTGATTAATAGAGAGATTCGCTGTCGGCATAGCGAATTAAGCCTCCAAGCTTGTTTGTCCAAATTGTTGGATATCAAATTAGTAATAATTATTGATAAAATTTGACAAATTTGTTTTAAGTTGATTACCCTGTTGGTGATAATTTTGTTTTATATTATATTTCGAATCAAACGAGAAGGAATGCAAAATACATTATACCTTACAATAGATGATGTTACTAAATTCAAAACTATTGCAGCAAATAAATAAAAGCTTGCTTAATATATAGGAATCTTCTTTTAACTTATATATATCTAAATAAACGGTAGGTATCATAATTTATTTCAATGATTCTTATATGAAAATAGAAATATTCATTTCCACAAACAGTAGTTTTTTTTTTCCAGAACACCACCCTTTTGTAAAATAATTATGTGGGCTTTATGATAACCCCTTATCAACAGCCACCAACTTATACAACTCATTTGCATTGAAACCAGGAAAAACAAATTAGTCTGTTCCTTATAACTTCCGGAGACCAGAGTTATATATGCTCATGGGATTAATCGGATTGTGTATCTATCCAATACCCGGTTATCGACTTCCGGTGCCCTTTATACGATGTCAGTACATTTTCTCTCATCAGTTTACAATTTATAGTTAACCTGTACATAAAGACCACCCAAGCAGGCGCGTAGCCAGAGTTTGATGTTGGGGGGGGGGGGGGGCACATACATGTAATCGATCGAGGTCAAAAAAGGGGTCTACAAAATTTCAACCGATCCTGGAAATTTTAGGGGGGGGGGGGCACGTGCCCCCCGTGCCCCCCCCCCCCCCCCCGTGGCTACGCGCCTGCACCCAAGGGAGACAAAAATAGAAGTTTTTTTTGTTAATTACAGGCAAGTGGTCTTTATGTACAGGTTCCTTCGGTTCACGATTCAAAGGAAATATAGAAGAGTTGTCTTTGATAGACAGGTTGTCTTTCTATATAATTATGCAGGTGGTCACCACCGGGTCCAACTCCAATAATTTCACTGTATATTGCAATCTGGTATGATCAAGGGGGTCAGAATTCTTTGGTAGGATAAACACCCTTTCCTGGTTGTCTATTCATGTCAAGTGTATTGTCTAATGAGGCCAATAACAATTAGCTAAGTTAAAATACGAATGAATTTGATTCTTTCTCAGCATTATCGTAGCTTTCCATCTAAATTCAATCACAGTCCCCTGACCCATCGACATAGGTATCTTTCATTCTCTCTCACTTTTGTTTAATACCCCCATGTTTCGTTCATTGCATAAAAGCTATTTACCAGATTAAACCCCCAGATTTGATTTAACTTGAAAACAGACAAATAGATCACTCGAATTTACTGTACACATTGGCGTCACTATGACGTATGAAAACTTTACAACTCTGCATCCAATCACAACGCAGTGATTTCCATTAACGCCTCACAACAAACGGACTAGTACATTTGATCATAGACGTAGTGAAATGATATAATTCAGATAATTGGGATAACAAGATTTATATTAAAGAAAAAATAACCACTATCCTCTCTTTAATACAATTTTTACTCTATACAAGACTGTTGGATTGAAGATGCTTTGTTTAAATTTAGCAAATGTTTAGCTTTTGATATGAGTTCCCTGTATAATAATGAACCGGTCCGCGGAGCGTAACTCCAGCACCTGCTCGTGCTGCATGTAGATCGGTGGTGCGGAAAGCAGTACACAGTACAGCTAGCAAGACAACAATGCAGTGTTGAAGTTTACACTGCAGTTGGAAGAGCTAGAGCTAGAGGAATCGACGTTGAGACCAGTTGATGGGAACAAACTGAGGACATTTATCTACTGGGACTATACCAAAAATCATCGACTTGGGCCATTATCTAGAGAGGATCTAATATTTTGGGGTGGTTTGCTGCTTACAAAAGGAAAATCGAGGATGTCCACCATGATAGGGATTATGGTGGCAGTTTGCTGTCTTTTTACGACAGGTAAGACGAGACTAGACCCCTACTGTAGATTGTTCGGTTTCGAGGGGGCCAAGTCACTTGTTTGGCACCTTCATGTATGGACTCGGTCCCACACGTACCATAACATGTGTCTGTTGTAATTGTATGTGGTATATTTTCAAATTCTAATGTTGTTCAGTGAGTCTTGGGCTAAATTAATTGTAACTGATTGACACAACTTCACAAGTAGTCTAGTATGCAGGCAGAGCAATTAAGTAGAGTGACGTGAGCAAAGATTCAATGAAAACATTGCAGAGCCAGAGGCAATTTTTTCTTCTTCTCAATTTCCTGTAAAATTCAGCTCTGAAATTATAATTAAAAAAAGTGTTTTGTGATTTTCTTCATGTAGACCCTACAGTAAATAAGATTACTAATGTATATTTTCCATTTCAAAATTGCCATTTAAAACCAAGTTTTGTACGACTACAAAGTAAATGTAATTTATAGGCCTAACCTAGTCTAGAAAGTCTAGTGACATATTGATATCGTAATGAGTCGGAGAAGTGCACAAAATTATCCATGGCCAGCGCCAGTGCAATTAGTGGATGTACATGTATATACCCACACTAAAGTTAGTAGACTAAGACTAAAAATGCATATACATTTTAAAGTTAGACCCTTCTTAAGTTACTACATTGATGTGACATGCTCCTACATGTACTTTGTCCTAAATTATTAGACGTGACAGGCTATACTTTGTCTATATCATTTCTTCAGACTTGCACAAAAAATGTATGTCACGATGTTATGCCAGAGGCCTAGAGGCATATACATATATTCACCTGTATTCACCTGTCTTTTCGGGCTCCTTAGTAAGACAATATCTTGTAATGCCCTCCCATAGTTCATCAGTACACCACTGCAAAGAGTTCGTTCCTTAATACAATAGATCCATTGCTGGATCTGTGGGAAGACTCAACAGGATTATGGCAAAAGTCCTTCATTTTCCTCAGTGTTTCTCCCTCTCTGTCTCTCTCCCTCTTCATCTCTTTGTCTCCCTCTTTCCCTCTCTCTTTCTCCCCCACCCCTCTTTCCCTCTCTCTGTCACTATATATGTCCATTTCTCCCTCTCTGTGCTCCCCCCTTCATCTCTTTGTCTCCCCCTTTCACTATACAGTGAATGTCCATTTCTTCCTCTTTGCCTCTCTCCCTCTTCATCCCTTTGCCTCTCTCTCCCCATATTTCTGTCTCTGTCTGCCAATTTCTTCCTCTCTTTCTCTCTCTTTCTGTTCGATTCTTTCTCACTTGTTCTGCCCTCATGTCTTTTTTTCCCTCGCTTTCTATACATGTACAGTATATAGCTCTCTAGCCTTTCAATCCTTTACTGTCTGTCACTCTCTCTCTCTCCCCTTCTCTCTGTCATTCTCATTTTCGATATTATTTTCCCTCTCCCCCCCCCCCCCTCCGTCTCTCCCTCCCCCTCTCTTTGTCTCTCTCCGTCTGCTCCATTTCTCTGTCTCTGTGTCTGTCCGTCTGTCTCTCTATTTCTCTGTCTCTGTGTCTGTCTGTCTGTCTCTCTCTATGTCTGTCTCTCTATTTCTCTGTTTCTGTCTGTCTGTTTCTCTTTCTCTCTCTCTACATTATGTCTCTTTTCTGTCTCTGTCAGTGTCACAGTCACCCCCATACATACTGTATATAAACTCTCTCTCTCCTGTTGTGCGTTCATTCCCCCGAGATCAAATGACCTACCCATGGCCCACCTATTGTGTTTGCAATGTAGAATTAAATTGATCACTGCTACGAGGAAATTACATTTCAGTCGATGGAATTTGGTACATGTACTGCACTACTGCTTGTATTATCTGTGACTGGTAGTTACCAAGTAACGATTGTGTCTATGGGTCAGTTGGTCCAAGGTATCTCTTTGGTTGGTCACACCACTATTTAGATTGCATTCTCCTTCATGTTATGTAAGATTTAGTATCAGTTTGATTGACTGGTCCTATTGAATGTCTCAGTCATCATTTTCCAGTTTACTTTTTGATTGCAGAAGTTGTTATTTGAATGGAAAAGCTATCATACAATGTTCATTTATTGTTTGCTGTTGTATGTTGTTGCATGTCACATTGTGAATTATTGCTAAAATTATTGCAACACATCCTAAATCTATACTTGACTCTCAAACACCTCAACTCCAGCCTTCATTTGTACTACCAAGTTCTATTATACTGTATTGTGTTTTTATTTTTATTATTTCTTAAACAAGACTAACGTCAAATTATAAAAGGAAATTGGTGAATACATACCGGTACTGTATTAGTTTTGTTTAATTAGAATTTGTGAGTATTGTAGATGAGTATGGCCTAGTCAGGGTAGCGTATATGCATTGTCAGTGTGCTTTGTATGAGTTTTGCAAGCCTTAGATGGGGCCTCTCAACTGATTACTCACGCTATTCTTCCATGAAATTGAACTTGGTCAATCTATCCCTACCTCAATTAGTCCTTTCTTATTAGTCTTGTCTCCAGACCAATAGACTGGTTTAATAATATGTTTCAATTCATGGATGTATCTTTTCTGAGGACTTAGTCTTACTGACAAGTTATTCCATTAACCTGTATGATGAACTAACATACTTTGAATCCAATCTCCATACATTACTTATGGCTATGTTAGGCAAGCCTGAGGCAAGCTTTTTGGATTGTCAAGAACAACTTTCGTTTAACAGTATGCATAACATTTGAATACATGTACGTACATGTATATTAAGTAAACCAGTCTATTGAGCCTCGTATATATTCCCAAGTTAACTGAAAATGCTTGTTCCCATAATTAGTACATTATTTGTGATTGTGATTTCTACATGTACTTGTGTCTTTCATGATCAGTGAAAGTAGATGATCTAATCAACAAGTCTTGATGAAGACCATAGTTACTGTATATCTGATGAGAAGGGCTAAAGTCTGTGAGCCTGAAAGTGAGAGTACTCACTCTGGTTCTGGCTAGCATTTGTGACATCCAGTCACCCATTATGATTTTAATTGAGGAGATCGTTTCAGCCTTCCAATCACTGTCAGGGCTATATAAAGGGGGTAGTTTGATGATGACTGAGTGAAGGTTATACTATGGAAGACTTAGACATGAGATTTGTTTGTTCTTCTAGTACCATTATCCATAGAGTCCACGATATCAAAGCACAAACCCAGGGAGATTTTATGTGCAGGACTACAATGTAAATACATGTACACTGTGCAATTTATTTGAACACCGTGACCATACTTGGTGTACATGTAAATCAAAACTTGCATTGAACAGTGCTACTTGTGACATCCATTCTATTCAAGATAACTTGGAGCATGGCTATATACCAGAGATGAGAGAGCATTTGTTTTATAATTTCTTTGATCCAATCTGAAAAGGGAAATCAATTTTGAGGAATGGCCTTTAAGGATTTTTTTTTTTTTTTTTTTTTTTTGGGGGGGGGGGGGCTTTAACAAGTTTTGGACAGTAAAGTTTGAGAAAATCATTCCATATTTTGTGGTTTGGCTTAATAACTTTTGATTCAGAGCCCTTTGATATTAAAACAAATCTGCCAGGTGAGATGCATCATGAGCGGAAATGACCCAAAATTCATCTATTTTTGTTAATGATGTATATTGTGTTTCATGCCAGGATTTTGTAAGAAGAAAATAAGCTTCAAAAATCCTTAAATGGGTAACATATTGAGCGATTCTAAGTCATTATTTTCAGATCAAATTTGGACATTTGTTCCAACTTTTCTATGACATTCTCGCCCATGTTTATTGTTTTCAGATACATTGACTTTTTATTTTAACATTGTACACACATGTAAATTTGTAGCAATAAAGCAAACACATTTTTGTTGCCTATTTGAAGAATAATATGTGATCAATTTAGCCCGTTAAAAAATGAATCCTGTTTTGAAAGGGTGAGATAAGGCCTACCGTAGTTTATTGAAGAAACTGCATACCGGTATCAGGATTTCGTACACCAAAGTCAAATGTATTTAATATCTCCATGTATTAAAAGTGATTTCAAGTTGACTGAGGATTTGCTCTTACTCCTAGAACAAAGAAATTGCCAAGTAATGATAATAACTAAACGTTTTTGTATATAGTGCATAGCCACATTTAACACATGTACCAGTAGGCATAATTGCGCTTTACTGAACAGAATAGAGAAAGAGTGGAAATAGTGCACTGGGTTCATGAATTTGAGATTTTACAAAGTGCTAAATAAGTATGTTTTCAAATTACTTCTGAAATTTTCATATGTTCAGACTTTAGAACTACATTTCTAAGGTATTCCGGCAAGTTATTCCATAAAACAGTAGCTGCATATGAAAATGACCCCCTCCCACGTTAGATTTTGTCATAATGAAATGTACATAATGATATCGTTCATACGTTTGTTTGTAGCACACCTTTGAAATTGCATGATTGAAAAGAACAGTAGCTAGCTGGCTGACATTCCTCACATTTCTAATCACTTGAACTGAAGAATGCTCCAGGGAAAATGAAAAGACCTGTTCACAACATGTGATTAGTCTCGAATCTAGGTATTGAGTGTGAACAGAACTCATCGGTGGGATAGTCAATAACTAGTTGATTAAAAGCGATGGTGGATTTCCATCTTCCTGATTAACCCATAAACCTCCATACAGTGTACATGTACAGTATATCACTGAAATTGACATTGTAAATTTTTGATGGTTGTTTCAGATTTGCCAAATTATATCCCACTATTTCAACTACCCCGATCGCAAATTATCCAGTTTAATAATTTGCGTCTTCATTAACCCGAAGTTGCAATAAGCGGGATATTTGGTTGAGATAAACATCCCAAGGTATCTTGGGCTAGTTTGTTTGCAAAATTCCCCGCTATTTGTCAGGTGCGTCTTTACCAGCCCGAAGACTTGCACTACATGTATGCGCGAATGCTGAGCAAAATATCTTGAGCTAATTTCTCGAGCTCGAGTTTCAACTTTCGAGCTGAGACGCAATTTGTAACTTCGGGACTATTTCCCAAATCAGAAATAGCGGGCTATTCGGTAATCTCGATCTGATGAAGACATGCAGGCCTCATGTTTTGGCCCCTGTATGTTTATATTACGAGTATGAAGTGGGCTCTCTCTCTCTTGAGCAAGAAATGAAATCTAATCCCGGTTCAGAAGATCAATATCTTGGAAATGTCATTCAAAATGAGGGGTTATTAGAGTCCATGATTTATGAGTGGCTTATACCATGTCTGGTGTTTGTGGCAGGAAGATTTCAATCAGTTTCACTCTGTTTCGCTCTCCTTAGAAATAGAAATGAACTTTGATGAATCATAACTTTCTTTTTTTTTCTTGATTTATTTTCATACATGTACCTTAGATTCAAGACAACACATGCAGTTAAAAATACCCTGTTTTGGCTCCATATCATCTGTTGAGAAGCAGAAAGGTGTTAACTCATAAAATGTAATTTATTGTAAGTAATTTGTAACAGAGAGTTACTGCCCTTCTGGCTCTCTCAACATACAGTATATGTACATGTATATGATACATGTGTAGCTGTACATGCTGGTTTATTGCTGTTTGGTTTACAACCAGTTCATCTACTATCCAATGGGTCTATTCCCATACATATGGTCTACCGTCTACTCCCGCTCCTAGGCCGTCTACACAGGCGCGGATCCACGGGCTCAATTCTTTCGGCCCGGCTATGGCAAGCCCTTTGTGTAAAAACTAGATAAACTCTGTTTTTCTCAGATAAACTCTGTTTTTCTCAGATAAACTCAGTTTATCAACAGATAAACACAGTTTATCAGAAAAACTCAGTTTATCAGTTGATAAACTCAGTTTATCAGTTGATAAACTCAGTTTATCAGTTGATAAACTCAATTTATCAAGAAAAACTCAGTGTATCAATGATAAACTCAGTTTATCAACAGATAAACAGAGTTTATCAGATAAACAGAGTTAATCAGTTGATAAACTCAGTTTATCAGAAAAACTCAGTTTATTAGTTGATAAACTGAGTTTATCATTGATAAACACAGTTTTTCTGATAAACTGAGTATATCTAGTTTTTACACAATAGGCTTGCCATAGCCGGGCCGATAGAATTGGGCCCGTGGATCCGCGCCTGCGTCTACATACATGCAGACTACATTCCACATATACATTTAGTCTTATAATAATTTGGTCTACTTAATATCATTTGGTCTAATAAGTAGTAATCATCTACATGTAGACTAATATTCATTTTGTCTAATATACATGTAGGTCTAATTACAGGTACATACTTGTACACCTGTAGCTGTACCAGTACATGTAGTACTACCCATTCGGTCTAATATTCACAAAAGTGAATTAAGTGTACATGTACATAAAAAGGTTAACATAAAGGAATTCTACAAACAATGAATAATGAAACAGTTGCCTCATTATGGGCTGAAGAAAAATGTGACTGGGAAACTCTCAATCAAGTTTTATTGGCCTTTATGTATTCTCATGCTGTATCTTGAGTGTTTTTATTTCTTTCCTCTTTGAGTGCCTCACTAAGTTTTTTTTATAACTTAATAACATCAATCCTATAAATCTAAGATGAGATTAAGTAAGCTCATCTAAATGAGCTTACTTCATTCATCTTCTCATATATCAAAGCCTTCTTTCATCTACAATCAAATCACTCAGGCTTTATTTGGTATATGATGTATTTTAATTGTAGACAAAAGGCTATAAAAAGTAGCAAAATTAAGGAAGGAAAAGAGGGTTGACTGAGAAAATATCCGAACAGGAATACATGCAGCATGGTTGCCAACCATTCCTAGTTTCCTACTTTGGAGGAATGATTCCTACATGTATTTGTCGGCCTCCAAACTAGTGTTATGAACCCATTTTGAACTTGTTTTCCTGAAAACATCTGTATAAAAGCATGTGGAATTCATTGTATTCTTAATTTTGGCTTTGGGAGATTCTTTAATTTTGCCTTGGAAAGTTGGCAGGTATGCCTATAGGTGTCAAGGACCACAAGAGTATTGTTTACAAGAACGTTCAATCATGGAACGGTAATTTAAGGACTGTCTTGGTTCAATCAATTTGTTCCTCATTTCCTTGAAAATGATGCTGAAGTCTAGCCGTCTTCTTCGTGGTTTCTGTGGTTTGTGTGGTGAACTCCTACTGAGATGATTGTAAGATAAGAAGGGTAATCCCCCAACACTCCTTCACATACCAACCCTTTCTTGACAAGATGATTGTATCAGTAGCTGTGTTCACATGAGACCATTATAGTTTAAAGGGAAAGACCAGTTTTGGTAACGCCCCTCTCCCCCTCTCAAAAAATGAAATGGAAGCTCTCATTACCAATCATGTGAAAGAATATGTTTTGACTAATACGTGATGATACAAATTTTGGCGAGAAACCGCCTACTATTTGGTAAATTAATATATCTATTTGGACCTGATAGACATCGCACATGTGTCGCCGACGTAGTCCCATAAACATCTTTCTGTGTACAGAGCTTGTATAACTTTACCAAGACTGGGCCAAATTTCTTATCATTTGATGATTCCAGAACCTTGCAGTGCACATTAATACTTATATGCTAGATGATCAACCATTTCTGATCGATTCCACGTTTCTTTCACAATGCAATCGCTTGACCAGAACTCAACTTTATCTTTAAAACCTCAACAGTCTGTTCAGACTAAAGAAATTTGATTCATAAACTTGTAAAAGAATCATTGTATGGTGAAAGGACCGTACAGACGAGGAAATAACGTAAAGAAATTGAATGTGAAGAGGTCAATTGACCTGTCAGCTTGCCAATCATCAGTGCGTGCTCACATTACATGTACATGCATTCAATCAGCAGATGTATTAGATTTATTGTATTATTCTCTCCCCTTTCGTTTCTTCTCTGCAAGTCACTCTTTTTTATTTTTATTGTTGTATCTTGAGGGCTGCGGGCACGTCAAGCTACTTTGCTTATTTCTGTAAACCTCCTGCATCTCATGTATGTTAATCATGCATTCAATATATATGTTTAATTTCGTTTATTATCTGTATAAAATTATATACACTTAAAATATTGTATCAAACCATATTATGTTCATGAAAATGAATGATGAAAAAAAGAAAAAAGATGCAGAAACCAATAAATCAAATCAAATCAAACGTATATGTACATGTACATGTATGGTACATTTCATGAGTGGGTGAGAATTAGATTGCGAAGCTTTCACAATCTAGTTTTTATGTTCTTCCCCCGCCTCAATTTGACTCAAACTGAAGGTTTTCGAGTATCTATTGATCAAGATAATTCGCCCCCGTGGGATCATTGAGATGTTTTGTTCCATGTCGATCCAATCTCTTCAGCGTCCATCCAATGTTTCTGCTCTCATTGACTGGTGAGTGTGTGGGAGTAGGAGGGATGCATTTCATTTAATTGGACCGGATTGTGGGAGACATGGGGTTGCATTACAGGGAAGCATTGCAATACAATCTCACTGATGAGATGAAGAAGGAACTAATTGGACAGGTGGGCTAGCAAGCCAACACTTTTCTGTGGGCTAACCATGTATAATTAAAGGTTGTCACTTTACCCCTTTTCAAAAAAAGGAAAGAAAGAAGGAAAAATTATTTTGCTTGTCGTATATTATAGGGCTACGAAACTTGTATGTACTGTGTCTATTTCTGCAGAATTTCTGAAGAATGCAATAAAAAATTCTTAATAATTATGGATAAGACAATAAAAGTGGAAAACACACTAAAGGAAACTACAAAGTGGTTGGGTTATCTAAAAGTTATAGAAACTTTAAGGTAGATCATCCTACAAAAAATGCAAAAACTAACACCTTAAAATAAAAAGAGAGACAGAATTCACAGAAAGACATAATGCAATAGTAATTACACTCATAAAAAAGTCCAGTTGTCATATCAAAGCTTCCGCATCAGGTGAAGTTTTAGATTATGCTTAAAAATGTTTAATGATGCACACTGTTTAAGTTTTGGAGGTAGTACATACCTGTACTACAAACTACATGTACCGATATCTCATGGAAATAATGTAGTTCACTATAATGTCTATAACTGTCTACATGTACTGTATACTGTAGTGTAATGTTACTGTATCTATGCTATGGACAATGGTGATCTATAAAAATACAAGTTTTTGACACCAGTACATACATGTATGTAACAGACCGCAAGAGTTCAGGTCTAAAAATATATATTTCCCTTCCTGAGTTAAGTGCTTAAAAAACACAAACTTGTTATTTCGTCTTCCAGTTCTCATTATTGGAGTTGAGTGCTTATAAAACAACTGTTATTATTTTATTTTACAGTTCTCAGTATTCGAGTTGAGTGCTTTATAAAACAACTGTTATTATTTTATTTTACAGTTCACAGTATTGGAGTTGAGTGCTTTATAAAACAACTGTTATTATTTTATTTTACAGTTCACAGTATTGGAGTTGAGTGCTTTATAAAACAAATGTTATTATTTTATTTTACAGTTCACAGTATTGGAGTTCAGTTGAGTGCTTATAAAACAACTGTTATTATTTTATTTTACAGTTCCCAGTATTGGAGTTAAGTTGAGTGCTTATAAAACAACTATTATTATTTTTATTTTACAGTTAACAGTATTGGAGTTCAGTTGAGTGCTAAATAAAACAACTGTTATTATTTTATTTTACAGTTCACAGTATTGGAGTTCAGTTGAGTGCTTATAAAACAACTGTTATTATTTTATTTTACAGTTCACAGTATTGGAGTTAAGTTGAGTGCTTATAAAACAACTGTTATTATTTTTATTTTACAGTTAACAGTATTGGAGTTCAGTTGAGTGCTAAATAAAACAACTGTTATTATTTTATTTTACAGTTCACAGTATTGGAGTTGACCCATCCCTGGAGGTAGACTTGATTCAAGGAGTTTATATGAGTGCTGTAGATTCACCGGACGTTACGCAAGTTGCAGGGCACCCACATAGCTATGGACCAGCTTTTAATTTTGAAGGTATGTACAAACACATTTGTGCTGGAAGAGAGACTAATGGGCAAAGTATGGAGAGGGAGAAAGGCGTACAAGAGAGAGAGAGAGAGAGAAAGGGGGAAGGGGGGAGAGAGAGAGAGAGAGAGAGAGAGAAAGGGGGAAGGGGGAGAGAGAGAGAGAGAGAGAAAAAAAGGGGGGGGGGTGAGAGGGAGAGAGAGAAAGGGGGGGGGGGAAGAGAGAAAGAGGGGGGGGGGGTGAGAGGGAGAGGTGCACATACAGACATGGAGAGGAAAAAGAAGAAAACAGAATGTCAGGGAGGGAAGGTTGAAAACAAGAATCAGAAAGATAGAAACTTATAGAGATAAAGGTAATAAGAAGGGGAAAAACAAAAACAAAGACGGCAGAATTGAGTGTGATACATCCAGTATTTAGGTGGAAGGATAGAAAAAGTAATTTTTTTATTCATTAAAAGATGTGTTTTGTATAGAGTGAAAGAGAAAGAGATTTTAATATGAAGTGAGATGATGATACAGGTTTTTGTGAAAAAAACGAGAGAGGGAGAGAGAAAGAGAGAGAGAGAGAGAGAGAGAGAGATAGAGCGAAAGGAAGGAAATGGAGGAAAACATTATTCAGGGAAATGTAAAGTATGTACATGTATGGTGCTTGTTGAATGATGATTCAATGATATAATTTCATGTTCAGAAAATAATTAACCCGTAGATGAAAAAGTTACAAAGAGGGTTGATATTATAGTATCATAAAACAGAAGAGGTTCCAAACAAAATGAGTGGAAAATGTAAGCGGATGAATAGAAAAAAGGATACTGTGATTTAAAGGCCATCCGTACTAGTGTAAAGGAGGGATTAGACCACCCTGCAAGGTCACTGGCCAGCTCTCAAATAACGTAAGAAAAAGAGGATCATGGGGGACCAATGGTCACCGATTAGGCATTGTTTGTTATATAGAGGGCGCAAGAAGCTACAAGTAGTGCAGTGGGGCTTTAATTAAAATTTAGAAATGAAATTTTTGAGTTAATTTCTTGTTCTTGTAGGGGAATCTAGGACCATTGAAGCCAATGAGGAGACATATCAGAAGTTGAAGAATCTGCTGTCAGGGAGGGTTCCTGAATTCACCGTTATCGCTACGGTGAATCAGAAGAAGAGAAACAGTGGCAGTATCATGTCCATTACTGTGGGCAGAATACGGTAAGTTAAAATGACTCTGTAAACATTGCCTCAATCATAATTATAAACCCTTAGGGGTGCGTTATCATGTCTTGCCAGTCAGTCACTCCATTTCTTGTGGGGAAATTATGATATAGACAAATTAAAAGAAAGAAAGTAATGACTTTTCTGTTTTGCCCACTGTGCCTCCCTTATTAAAAGAAAGGTTCATCACCGATTTGAAACATAAGCTGTCTAAGAGAATTGTTCCCTGAAGTACTGTGCATGAGAGTACATAATTTAGTATGCTTTAAAGATATAGACCAGTTATGGTCATGCAATTGCATTGTGAAAGAAACGTTGTGGAATCGAACAGAGAAGGTTGATCATCTAGCATATAAGTCTTGGTGTGTACTGCAAGGTTCTGGAATCATCAAAATGATAAGAAACTTGGCCCAGTCTTGGTAAAGTTAAAAGCACTGTACACAGAAAGATGTATATGGGACTATGCGACACATGCGGGACATATCTATCAGGTCCAAATAGATATAATATTTTACCAAATATATCAATTAGTAGGCGGTTTCTCAGCAAAATTTGTATGATCGGGTATTACATGTAGTCAAAACATATTCTTTCACAAGATTGGTAAATTAATAAGAGCTTCCATTTCATTTTTTGAGAGGGGAGCGTTTCCAAAACTGGTCTTTACCTTTAATAGCCACAATACACAATGTACCTGTGTTAGGAGCTATCCTGATTAGCATCTAGCTCCTGTAGTTGTGAAACTTGTGATATCCTGATTGTGATGTGAGTTAATTAGTTTGACTAATTAATGTCTAATTACGTGTAGGTCAGTATGCTTCCGTGTATACAGGTTATATTAACTCTGCTTTGACATCAGGCCCCTGTCTTTAATACAAAGAGTTGCGATTGATCCAAATCAATCGTAAGTCCTCCAATCAATCGCAAGTTTGCAGTCTCCTAATGTACATAGTTGCGATGGATTACGATCGCAAATAAGTTGCGATTGATATCAACTCGTTGTAAGACGGGGCCCAGCTCTAATGCATTTATGACAGACTACAGGAGAAATACTGTATAGTTGTAGGTCTCCCTGGCATGTTTGCTACTGGATGCAGCCACAAAAAGAGAGTGCTTAAAATCCCAACAAAGCTATGGCAAATTCATCAATAAGACCTTTGCGAATGAATTATTGTGCTATGCACAAATAATTTTTAAAAAAGAGCTTGGGTGAGAGAATGATCAATTTATGTAGAATACAGTACCAGTATTTCCCAGTATTTTCCAGTATTTCCCAGTATTTCCCAGTATTTTCCAGTATTTTCCAGTATTAAAAAAAAAAAAAAACTCAACCCTGTCTCAGACAGGCACTATATTCCTGTCAAGGGCCTCTGTGGCTGTTAAAATAATGATATAGAAAGTTATAAACATATGAATAAAGTGATATTTTGAGGGGGATAGTTGACTGGTACAATGGGGCTACAAACATTTTATTTTCACTCCCAGACTTCTTTCTAATAAAGCCAACACTACAGTACAGTTGTACAATGTACATGTACAGTGTACATGTACATGTAGATATCAGTGAATTTCACTTTTTTTTTTCGTGATTGCAGGAATTATTTCTGAATTTGCAGAATAAGATATGAGTCACCCTTTGGCCTATTTTGTTGTATTCTCTTTGTAGCTTTAACAAAAAAAAAAGGGAACAAGAGCTAAAAATCGCTCACCGTTCTTGTTTTTCACTGATTAATATTGACATACAGGGTCTGTGTTGTATCCTTTGGCCAATTATTTTGTACTTTTTTTTTTGTACCAGAGTTTTTTTTTAGATTACCAGAGCTATTTTAGAGCTTGCAAGAGCGAAATTGCTCACTGCTTCTGTTTTTCACTGATTGATATTGATGTACACTGTCTGTACTGCACTCTTGTAACGTACATGTACCCCTCCCCCCCCCCCCCCCCTCCCCTCCACAGTTGAGTTGGCATGGTCTTGTACCACGGAAGGAAACTGCTAATTATCCAGCGCTCATCATCATACTGTCCTTTTGATGTGACTTACCAACCGATGCCGTTTAATTGTCAGGCTATCTATGAATCACACGAGGAGTGTTCTTACTCACCTGTTGCCATAGAAACAGCATCACTCTCTTGGGGATGAGTTTGAGCTATTTATAGATGATGATGTAACTCGTTGCTTCATCATGTAGCTTTCATCATGGACCTTTGTGGTAGGGTCCATGCTTTCATGGAAGAACCTCGTCAACAAAGAAACGCTCACAGAATCGGTTTTAAAAAATATTTTGAAGAGCAAAGCAATAACAATTCAGTGTAAGGTGGACAGAGATGGTGCATGACGCATACATGCTTGGCAAACAAAAAGACAGATCTTTTTTTATATGGAGGCCTTTATTCTTATGATGAGGCTACTCAGGTTAAAACAAGAGAAAATGAATGAATTAGTCATGGTTAGTATTTTGTACAATGAAATCTAGACTTTATAAAGGATGTGAAAAAAAAAAAGAATGTGACATATAAAGCTTATATTTTAAGTATTTAACAAAGGTCCTAATTCAACCAGTCCACCTTTCATTCTTGAGTTTATAGGAATAACACAAAAAACACTAAATTTACAAGTGGTATGAATAATTCATTTGTTAACTGTATATAAAGGAAATGTATTTATACTGTATTGAAAATTTCTTGCTCACTGTGTAGTCATTATATCATTATTTCGTGCAACTTTTGGCATGTTATTTGATCCTTTTTAATAGGTACATGGAAATCTTTGCCAGCACGAGGAACCATGAATTCCGTCTGTACTACACGCACAACGGTCAGGTCCTGACCGAGTCCATCCCGTACCCATTCAAAGCTGAGACCTGGTACAAGCTTGCCGTTACCGTCAGTGGATCTCAACTCAAACTATCCGTAGATTGCCAGGAGAATACCACTAGACAAATCAGATTACCAGATTTAGATTTTGATAAACCAGGATTAAAGGTTTACGTTGGACAGAGATCGGATAGAACATACTTCAAGGTGCGTATTACACATTATTTGTATTACATGCATGTTTCTCTTGAATACCCTTTCAATTACATTTTGAACAGGGAAAAAAATTCTTAAACAATTTCGGGGGCTACTTCTCAATCTTGCTTGCTTGAAAATACACTCTTCAATTTATTTTGCATTGAACTACTAATACTGCTACATGTATTCTTGTATTTATTCCTCTTCCTGCTCCTACTACTGCTGCTACTGCTACTACCACTTTTACTGCTACCACTGCTACTTCTACTACCACTGCTACTACTACTACTACTACTACTACTACTACTACTACTGTACTACTACTACTACTACTACTACTACTATTACTACTACTACTACTACTACTACTACTGTACTACTACTACTACTACTACTACTACTACTACTATTACTGCTACTACTACTACTACTACTACTACTGTACTACTACTACTACTACTACTACTACTACTACTATTACTACTACTACTACTACTACTACTACTACTACTACTGTACTACTACTACTACTACTACTACTACTACTGTACTACTACTACTACTACTACTACTACTCCTACTACATGTACTACTGCTACTACTTCTACTACCACTTTTACTACTACTACTACTACTACTACTACTACTACTACTACCTCTACTTCCACTTCTACTACCACTTTTACTGCTACTGCTACTACTACTACTACTACTATTACTTCACTACTACTACTACTACTTCTACTACCACTTATACTACTACTACTACTACTATTACTACTACTACTACTACTTCTACTACCACTTTTACTACTACTACTACTACTACTACTACTACCACTGCTACTATATTGTACTACTACAACTACCACTACTACCACTACTACTACTACTACTACAGCTACTACTTCTACATCTACTATTACTCCTTCTACTACTACAATATTTTCCAGATTCACACAAGTTTGATGCCGTGAAACAATTGATTCACACTACAATTTTGCAATTCCCTAGAGTTTCTTGCCTTGAAAATGCATGGCTATCCTTAACAATTTGCTAGAATGATGTCGTGAAAGATTCTGGCTATTGTAGTTCTACAACTAACTCTTGTTTTGATTTCAACTTTTAGGGCATATTACAAGACGTGAAGCTGATAGCCTCTGCTCAAGGCTTTGTTGCTCAATGTCCTTACATGGGTAGATCCTGCCCTACATGTGCTGAATATCACACAATGGTTGAGACTATAACAAGACTAGATAACCTGCTACATCAGATGGAACTCAAGGTAAGTCATCTCTTTTTTTTCTTCTTCTTTTTTATAGTAAGTCTGTTTTATTCCTCCAAATGAGTGATACAAACTAAAACGTACAATTTAATAACAAAATAAATGTTTTCAATATTAATATTAAAGGCATCAGTTAACAATTATGTTAAATCTGAGATACACGGCCCTACGTGTTATCGGTGTCTGTGATATGGTGTAATATTGAAGCTCTAAAAAAATTGTGCTTTAAAATGATCAAGAAGTGCCCAAAAAGTAAAAATCTTTGAGTGACCGGTTTTACTGTAGTACTCGTTTTCCCCAATAGACTAGTGTTATGAAAACCGTTTGGCAAACGCAAAATTTGATTATGATTTTCAATCATAAATATCTTGATAATCAGACAGGTGATCGGCTTGTAAAAGTCATGGGGTTCCTGACTGGCCGAAAGGCTTATAATTATCATTGCAGCATGAGCTAAATCAAGGATTTTTTTAAAAGGATCTAAGACAAAGACAAAGTTACCAGATCCCTTTAAAGTCGGCTTGATAAAGTTAACTACCTAGATATGATTTGAATACGAAATAGCTAAAACAAAAAGCTAATTAAAATACTGGCATAATTCAAGTACTTAATATGGGCCCTGACTATACACACTGATTAGTTTGATGAGCATGGTATGGTTTGTGTGTTGGAGCAGGTCTATGCAAGCACAGGCAAGTTAACAAAGGCAATGTTTGCGTGTTTGGAGAGTAATTAAACTGGTTTCTGGTTAGGAAGTGTGTATTGTTTAGTGGGAAGCTTACGTCACCTGCATTGAAGGCTGAATAGGAATGGAGGGTTAGCATACTCGACCCTTTGAGGGTTATCAAGAGAGGATCACTTTCTGTTTCTCTTTCATTTTTCAATTCAATTCAAATGAACATTTATTTTCTTCCATTCAATTTGATAACATATTTGACATCTGTTCAAACAAAACAATTTATACGTAGGAACATAAATATATTCAAAGATCTTTCCGGGGTATTATCATTTGCAATTTTAATGGGGGTATACATATATTTTGTTAGATTATTTTAGTGAAAACTCTGGAAGTATTATGTTGAGCATACTCAAAAGATAGACAAAATTGCTAAAGAGCTCTTGTTAGACCTCTATGAAGCTTTTATGAAGTTTCTGTGTAGACCTTCATGTACAGTATGTACAGTACTTGTACTTCTAGCTTTTTGTTCTATTGTTCTCTGAATATGCATTATATAAAGTGTTATAGTTTTGAATCTTGGATTTGTGTTGTTTTACTTGTTTGGAATTATTGTCACGAGAAAGTACTTAGGGGTTGCAGAAGGTCTCCTTTTGTTTTGGAAACTTGAAATAATATTGATAATGGAACGAAACTGAAACAGAGAATGCTGAGAAAGAAAGAGGGAGATAAAGTGGAGGAAAAATGAAGCGTACATTAATTCATGTCTAATATTAGCCACTTGAATAGCGCTCATATCCGTCACGCAACTGTCATGGTGCTTTAATAAATACATTATTACCCTGGTTATAGCCGAGCTGTCAAAATAAATATCGCCCAATAATCTTGAAGTCTTTGGTATATCTTCCTGTTGATAAATAGGGCACAGGTAGATCATTTGTGAGGCATATGAAGAGTTAATGTGGCACTCCAGGCCCTCAATCCATAGCAAATAAAAAGTTCAATATAAATAATGATTTGAAACAAGTTTGGAAGTAATGTTGAGAGGAAGAGATACATGAATGCACCGTACAGGGCACAGTCATCACACTATTAGGGGAAATGAGGAATATGAACTATTAAAAGTGTGCTCTACAAATTAAACGTAAACAGGCTTTTTATCGATTTTGGCATAGAATTCACTTTGGTGATTCATCGGTTTATCAATAATAGGATGTTAAGTAGGACAGTCAGCTTTTGGAATGGATTTCCATCCATTACGTGAAGGTTGCTACTGTACACATGTACGTGAAGGTCGTGTACTTTTGTTTGATGACCTTCATCATTTCAGGAATACTACATGTACCAGGATGTAATGATGGCTTCTGAGTTGCTATTCGCTGGTACCAGGGGAATAGATCGGAATAGATCGGAATAGATCTTAGTCCAGAAATAAAATGTCATTTTCAGGGGCTGTACACTTTTTTTTAACCATAATATAGACTTGGCTTGTACATTAGGTAAATGCATTTAACCCATTAGCAACTGGAGATTTTGTAAAAATGGCCTATTACTCACTGGAAGTTGCAATATTGCCCTCATTTTGACATAGTTCTGAACAATATATGTAACATGCCCTATTTTTCTGTGAAGAATCCTACTATAGACATCGTAAGGATGTATAACATTATCACGGTGGACCCCACAGAGAGATACTAAAGCACGTTGAAAACGGAGGGGCGGTTTCGGGAGGTTTAGTCGCTGAAGGGTTTACATACATGTACATTTTCACAACTTAATAGTGATAGAATTTGTTTTACAAATCATATTTATTTACATGTTGCTTTATTGAATGGAGTAATTGTGTAACCCGTCTTGGATCTAAAGATTGTTTGTGACAGATGAAGGACAACATACAGAAAGAGAGAGAGAGAGAGAGAGAGAGACAGAGAGACAGACAGAGACAGACAGAGATAGAGAATGAGAGACAGAGAGAGACGTACAGAGAAAGCAATTTTTTTTAAATTTGATACAATGTACATTGTAGTTTCTACATGTTGGAATATCCAATTATTCAAAAAAAAATTCTACTGTATAATGTGATATGTATATTTTTATCTTTGGGATTCTTATAGCTGTTGTAAAGAAATGTAATTTTATGGTATACATGTATGCTCAATTAATATGTTTTTTTTATTCTTCAAAACTTGAAATCTATGATGAATTTTCAAAAATAAATTGCTACATTATGACAGAAAAAGAAATGGAAAGATGGAAAGGGAAAACGAGAATAAACTATGATGGGGGCTGTTGCCAATATAGCCTACCCCTAGACTTCTCTCAAAGCCAATATAATTGACAAATTTCCTCTGTTCAACATTATTTCTTTCAATGGGTTGTAATTTATTATGATGGATCATACATCTTTTGACTGAAAAGCAACTATTGTGAATAGATATTCAGTTCATATCCTGACTTTAAGCCTTCTTGTTTTTTTGTTTATTTTTTAGTTTCAAGTTGCTGAGGCACGGATTGACGAGTTAGAATCGTGTTCATGTGTGAAAGGATGTCAAGTTAATGGTGAACACATGGAACATAGCGCACAATGGACCGAAGATTGCTTGGATTGCACTTGTGAGGTAAATTATCTTCATCATTTTTACCATTCATAATTTTTACTATTTAGTATTTTTACCTTCAAATTTACCATTCATCATTTTAACAAATCATAATTTTAACCATTCATCATTTTTACCATTTATTGTTTTTACCACTCATCATTTTTACCTTTCTTTAAATTTACCATTCATCATTTTTACCATTTATTCTTTTTACCATTAATCATTTTTACCATTCATTATTTTTACCTTTCATCATTTTTACCATTCATCATTTTTACCATTCATCATTTTTACCATTCATCAGTTTTACAAATTATCATTTTTACCATTCATCATTTTTACCATTCATCAGTTTTACAAATTATCATTTTTACCATTTATCATTTTTACCATTCATCATTTTTACCATTTATCATTTTTACCTTTCATCATTTTTACCATTTATCATTTTTACCATTCATCATTTTTACCATTTATTCTTTTTACCATTCATCATTTTTACCATTCATTATTTTTACTATTCATCATTTTTACCATTTATCATTTTTACCATTCATTGTTTTTAATACGTCTTCATTTTATCATCACCATGATCTTCTGTTTTACCATTTCTATCTCTTTTCCTCAAACCTTTAAGGTTCGTTCAGATTAGGAAGCGGTAAACCGCATCATTTTTTAAAGCGTATAAATGAATGACAAATGCATGCAACAGGGGCCTTTTGTGTATTCATTAAGCTCTATGTTTAATATAAGATGCAGAAATGTGAAAGGTATTTTAGTTACATCTTTACAAGAAAAAAGTGCAGCGGTTTACCACTTCAAATCTAAATGAGGCTAAAGTTATACTGCATTAGTCATGAATACAGTTATTTCCATATGTTTTTATGTTATATCAAACAATATGTAATATATATATATATATGTTCACTGTCTACATAGGTATGACATTATAAAGGTAAAGACCAGGGGTGGTATTCTGAACATTGTTGTAAGTTTTGTGTTGTCTTTTGTTGTATCTCACAGAGATAACACATTGCTAATATTGTTGTAAGTTGGTATTCTGAACATCATTTTGTCCCTGTGTTATCTCTTAAAGGACCGCCTCTATCTTCTCTTCGACCACTGTTGACACGCCCATTTGAATGGACCCTACCAATCAAAATCTATTTTATATAAGCATGATAAGTAGGTCAACCAATAGGAATACTTTATTCCATATCTGAAGATGCGCCTAGCTCATCCTAGTCTTGGGCGTAATTACTTATTGAGTGCTTATTACGCGCGTCATCATATGCGCTGTGGCATGTGGATCAGGAACACAAGTCACGCTTTTATTCATATTTTTTAAGATGAAAGCATTAAAATCGTCATATCCTAGCATGTAATTTCTTAGAAAGTACTCATCTGTGATGTTTCTGGTCAACACACAATCTTCTAACTTGTCTATTGGCACAAAGTTGGTTCTGGGCAAGAAAGATTGGCGCCATTTTATCACCACGAAAGATACAACAACCCCCTACCTGTCATAAATATTGTTGTAAATACCATGCAAGATAAGATAAGATAAAAGATACAACAATTTTCAGAATACCAATTATCTTGTCATATTATCTTTCATGTGCATAAGCAAATGAGGATTAAGCGCCATTTTATTACTAATAAGCACAATTACAAGCGCACAAAAGTTTGAACGTAGGCGCGACTTAACAGATGAGAGAAAAGATACAACAAAAGATACAAAAGTTACAACAATGTTCAGAATACCAACTTTATCTTATCTTCAAAGATACAACAATATTAGAGATAACACAGGGTTCTGGATACCGCCCCAGTTTTGGAAATGCCCCCCTCTCACAAAATGAAATGGAAGCTCTTATTACCAATCATGTGAAAGAATATGTTTTGACTAATACGTGATGATACAAATTTTGCAGAGAAGCCGCCTACTTAGTGATATATTTGGTAAAATAGTATATCTATTTGGACCTGATAGATATAAAGCACGTTATACATCTTTCTGTGTACAGTGCTTGTAACTTTACCAAGACTGGGCCAAATTGCTATCATTTTGATGATTCCAGAACCTTGCAGTACACACCGATACTTATGCTAGATGATCAACCTTTTCTGATCGATTCCACAATGTTTCTTTCACAGTGCAATCGCATGACCATAACTGATCTTTATCTTTAACAGCAAGGGAATTAACTGACCTTAGGGGTTTGACCATCCATGAACTCAAGCCATCAGATGGAAATTTCAAAACACAAACAAACAAAATGCAATCATGAATGTTCAGCTGCTTTTTCTAAGGAAAGGATTGGAGAAGAACAGTTTAATTCATTTAGAATGCACTCTGGGGATACTGTAGATGAAGATGCTTCTTTCTTCAGGCGATATGATATTTCTCTATTGCTCCTCAACAACGAGGCCCAGTTTTCACGGACAGATGAAATGCCTTGTACAGATTGTCACAACAATACAATTTGACCCGTTCACATTGCATTTCAGCAACGTTGGAAATAGCCATATGTGAAATGCACTGTGTTGAGAAGTACATGTAACACTACAAGTGCAAAAATAGAGCCGCCTTCACCTATTCAGCTGATCTCTCATTTGAATATTGCATTTTCTGTATAAACAGAACAAATACAAGTTACTGTTATGAATGGTAGGTAATAGGCATCATGTTATTCATAAACACAGAACAAAGGAATATTTTGTCTGGGTGGATGTTTACAAATTTAGAGTTTAATTTCAAAAGGAGCTACCATGTAAATCCCCTTTTTTATGAAAATTGATTATTGATATTAGAGCATTGTTCACAATAAGTAGGCCTAACTGTCTTTCAACAAAAGTATTAAACCTAAATTTTGGGAGCAATTATGAAAAAATGCACCTTCTAATATCACTTTTCAATTAATGCCTGTACAAAATCTGGTAAACAAATCCTCTTTTCTCTGAAGTTACAAAAATGGATTTAGCTCCTTTTGGAATTAAACTCTTCACATATAGTCACAAAGATTAGGTATGTACACAGGAATACATACGTGTACATGTACAAATGGTGTGTAGGAAGGAGGGTGTGTTGAAGTACATACCTGTGAAAGCAGGTCAACCAGTCTGATTGTTATGCCAGTATGTGTGGGTTGATAGCCTATAGACAGTAATAGGAGCAAGCAAGCGTACGTACAACCAACGCAATTAATATTGATCTCACTTGTTTGTGCATTTCGTACTTCTGAGAAATTGTCAAAACCACCTCATTTTGTTTATAAATTTTGAAAGAATAGATGTATTTATGCCATGTTGTGTGGAAAAAAAACCTTACGATTTAAAACCAGTAGAAATTGAAAATAACAACAGCAGCCACGAAACCACATAAAAGAAAGAGTATCTCTTGTTAAATACTATGAGTCATTCATATAGATTGAGAAGCACATTCGTGTTTTAACATCTATGAAAATAATACATAATGGATCATATTGAAGGTTGTGAAATTATAAATTAAAGCAGCAGCTGGATAAAAAATAAAGACAAAATGAGAAAATATATTTTAAAACAATGAAAAGATAGACAAACTGTTTGAGACTATTAAAGTTTGAAGCCCCTCTGCACCAGTTTGGCCAGAAGGGATTCAACCTCCCTGCAAGGTCACCGACAGGGGGTTATCACATCGAATCAGCTCTCAATTAACATTTAAAAAAGGGGATCATGGGGGACCAATGGTCATGGATTAGGCATTGTTTGCTATTCGAGGGCGCAATTAGCTACGTTATGAACAAACCAAAGATAGAACTGAAAAAGAAAAAAAAAGAATAAAATAAATGAATAAATAAGCAAAAATAGATGTTACAATGTAAGTAGGAATTTAGAGAAAAAACAGAAATGGGAGATTATTATATTACATTTACTTGTCATATATCAGGCAAGTTGTTATATCACAGTGGTGTGTACTTTATTGAAAGTAAAATAGAATATAAGAAAAGAAGAAAGGATTTTGTAATGAGGCAATGATTTTGTTTTTGTTTTTCAGTCGGGTCATGTGAGTTGTAACCCAGTAGCTTGTGCACCCGTCTACTGTAAGAATCCTATCTACCAACCTGGCAACTGCTGCCCAATTTGTAAAGGTTTGTACATCTTTATTTATTATTAATTGGATCTTAACTCAGTGTAAAGACATCACCCTTTTTAAAGTGACTCAGTAACATTGTTGAAGGTTGATGAAAAAACATTACTTAATTTTTGTATAAAATGTTTCTTACTATATTCCTTCTACTATACTAACCCTCTGACATGCAAATCCTGAAAAAATTCTCAAACCACGAAGACATCTATGGTTTTCTTTGAAGGCATTGATGTACGACACCCTCTAACAGTGATTGAAAGTAAATTCTCCCAACCATTTTTGAATTTTCCCAACCGTTTTTCCATGAAAACAATGCATAAAACAGGCTATAAAAAAATCTGTCAACACTTACATGTAACTGTCTGGAATGGAATGTAGAGCCATTTTATTGCTTTGTGATGATTTACATTCACCTAAAATGTAATTAAATTGTAATAATATAGTTGGGAGAATTAAGGAATCGATCAGATCAGTTTTTCCCAATTTGTACCATGAATAATGGTCCGTTTTCACTCAAATTTTCAAGTTATCCTTAATTGTATATCTAGCATTGAAGTCACTACCTTAGCACCACTATCTCTCATCTGAACAATGTTACCAAGGCCCTTTAATACTCTTAGCAGAAAATATTCAGGTTGATAACAAACCTGTTGGGAAGTAAGCCCATAGTAAACTCATGAGAAATGTATGTTCTCTTCTTTTTTCTACTGTTACTAATAGAACTGCAGTTATCTCTGCAGAGCTACTTGTAAATATGTTGGGAACACAACAAATAGTTTGACCTATTCAATATTTGACTAATAGGAAATGTAAATACACATGTTTTGCATGGTTTGGTACAAAACAATTGATTTGACTTTATCTTGTGCAACTTTGAGTTATGCAGAGTGAACTGTACCTGTACATTGATATACACGTACAGTAAAGTCAAACCTGCGTTAGGGACTACAAAGACCACATTAATTTGTTTCCCGAGGTAATCAATTTTAGTTTTGTACAGTAGGCTTGCGGGTGCACCATGTGAGAGAGAGGGAGGATTGAGGGGTCCTGAAAAGGATTTTAGTTTTGTTTTTGAATTTCAAATCCCTTCAACACTGAACATTCAAGATAAGCGCGTATGTACAAACTGCCAACCCTTCCAAATTATCCAGAATATTGTGATTTTTCAAAATTCTGAAAGACCATTTCATTTTTAAAGCCAAATTTAGCTTGTTTTATCATGTGCCACGATTTGAGAGTATCGAGCATCAAATTTGTATTCTCTTTTTTTTGTACGGATTTACCGCTATTGCCATGCAGTAGGTTATACACTGCTGCTACATACATGGACATGGTAAGGCCGTGCGAACCCTGCTAGAAATTCCTGATTCTTCTTTTCAAATGTTGGCATGTATGTATGTACAGTACAGAAAGAAATAGCAAAGATAAACTCGAGTTTGATAACCACTGAAGAGGAAAGGATTAATTGTTCACCAAAGTAATGAAGTTTCATACATATATCTTGTATTGTAGCTAACTGCACAGTATCTGGAGTGACGTATCACCATGGCGACGTGTTCCAACAGAAGACTTCTAGAGGTGCTCTACAGATTTGCAGCGTAAAAGAATGCAATGTAAGTTACATTCTCAGTTACAAAATGTTACTAAAAAATATCAAAAAGTGAATTAGAAAACATTATTTTTCCAATGAGATGACAAAGCAGTTTGATGCATTTACTGGGCACAGCAATGCTCATTTTTCAATAGTGCGTACAAATGGGCCCCCAGGTCTTAACTACGGAGAGGTTAGAACAAGGGTTCATGACAGAAGCGATAAAGGTGCATAGCCGCCAACCCCTTCCGAAGGGACGGCACTAGATGATAATAATAATAATAATATAAATAGTGGGTTCTTGTATAGCGCTTATGTCTGTCATACGTGATACTCCTGGCGCTCCCGATTATTACCCTGGCTTTAGCACGGCTGCCATACGGCGCTCTAGCATTTCAAGGAATTAATTCCTGCCAGGTACCCATTTACATCACCTGGGTTAAGTGTGGCAAATGTAGATCAATGTCTTGCCAAAGGACATTAGTGCCGCGGCGGGACTCGAACCGTGGACCTTGTGATCGACAGTCCGGTGACATATCCACTCGACCACGACACCTCTTCCTACATGTATGATGATGAAGTAAATATTTAGGATATTTACTCTCTTTTTTCTTCTTTTCATTTCAGAATGGTGGAACAGTGACCCAGAGACAGGACAGTGTAAGTAACATGTGTCCTACACCCTCCTGCGCTGTATCAGAGAGGTTCACCGTACCGGGTAGCTGCTGTGAATACTGTCAAGGTATGGTCTTTAAAGCCCCACTGTCCTACTTCTAGCTACTTGCTCCCTCTATATAGAAAACTTCCACAATCGGTGCCTGTTGGTCCCCATGATCCTCTTTTTCTTATGTTAGTTGAGAGCTGAGTTAATGAGAAAGCCACCTGTCAGTGACCTCGCTGTGTGGTCTAATCCCTTCTGGCTCAGTAGTATTGATGGTCTTTAAACTCTTTGCAATTGATTCAATTGATTCATAATATATACATTTTTTTTCCCCCGTAAAATGAGAGTAATTTTAATTTCATTAGTTCATTTAGTTTCATTCTTTTTATTAAATGTAATGATAAATGTATAATTGTGTTTAGTGGGGGCATGCTACAAGAGTCCTATCTTGCACCCCGGGGCAACGTGTCTGACACGGCCGGTTGTAGCAACTACTCAAGTTATTAATTAATTATGTTTGAAATATGCAATGAGCCTTTTAATTGAAATTTTACACATTACCAATTCAGCCATTGGGCTGCGACACATGTTTTTATACCTTGAATTGATTGATTAATAGGGTAGTGGCTAGTTGTAAACCTCCTTTTTACATGCTTCTGTAATGTGTCATCTTCTATAACACCTTTTTTGTATTTTGGAATGGGTTTCTGAAAACTCCAAGGTGATTGGTTTGATATTCAATATTGTCAGTTTTTTTTACCATTGTTGTATGTTATGTTGTAAAAATGTATGAGATAGGGATTGCATTTGTTTCATTCTGTTTGAATTGGTATAATAGAATGGGAAATTCGACACTGTTCTCGTATTTACCTGATACCAGGTGTTGTCAATCAATAGGATTAGCCTTCAGTTTTATGAACAACAGGCCTGTAATGCTTTGCATTTCCTTCACCGAAGACTCCAAAGGGGGTATTTCTTGATATGACCTGGGGTTTGCTGTGTGCAGACTTGTACACCCATTTTATTTCCATCAAGTCTGGTATTCGCGAGATATGGCCTTCTGCAATTAGAAACTGAAGATCTACCCACTTTAAAACATTGACATATTTTTCCAATGTTAATTGTTGCAGGCACTGACTACTGTGCCCAGGGTCACAGCTGTGTGTCTCCCAAGGTATGTGTGAACACGCCTACATCCAGCGAATGCCTGTGTCCGACGGGTTACCTGGAGGCTAATGGGAACTGCACCGATATCAACGAATGCGTGGTGAGTGAGACGCAGCCTGATCCACACTGCTACGAAGGTACTCTGTGTGTGAACACACCGGGAGGTTACCAGTGTGGATGCAAGCCAGGATACGAGACGGTCACAGACACACAATGCAGACGTAAGTTGATATCATCCTTAATTGCAATGTAGGCCTCAATAGGCCTGTTTTCATCAGCTCGAGATTGCCTAATAACCCGCTATTTTAACTATCCTGATCGCAAATTATCCAGCTAATTTGCCTCTGCATCAGCCCGCAGTTGCAATTAGCGAGATATTTGGTCGAGATAATCATCCCAAGATATGTTGGGCTAGTTTGCAAAATATCCCGTTATTTGTCCGGCGCGTCTCCACCAGCCCGAAGACGCGCACCATGCGCAAACACTGAGCAAAATATCTTCAGCTAATTTCTCGAGGTCGAGTCTCGAGCTGATAAAGACGCTATTTGTAATTTTGGGCTATTTCCCAACCCAGAAAAAGCGGGCTATTTGGCAATCTCATACTGATGTAGACATACCTAATGAATGCAATTTGGCATTCTTCTATTGATCGTTGCTTCCAAGAAATTTTGAATCTCAAATGATGATTGTATAAAAAGAATCGCACTTTGTGAGAGAAAATTGATAACTCAAATTTGATTTTATCGCTGAATTATCAGGACTCAAACTATTACATTAGTGGTATGTAATTCATGTAATATTATACCGGTAGTCCTGGGGGGTGTTTCACAAAACTTTTCATCAGTGACAAATGACAGTTTTTGTTATAAGCTACTAAAATCCTTGCATCAGATTGGTTATCAGCAGATTTGTCACTGATTTTTGTCATTTTTCATTGATAAAAGGCTTTGTGAAACGACCCCCAGATCGTAGCTAGTGACAAATTAGATCAAATTTTGTATTCCCAACATTCATGACTGTATTGATGGAGGCATGGCATGGTATTCTGAAAAATGTTTTATCTGTAATGTGTGTGAGACGTTTGTCATAACAAACTTACATTGTGACAGGTCACTGGTTAGTGTTAACTCTTAGCTGGCTAACGTGTGAATAGTTCAGAGAGATATATCTTCCGTAGTACCAATGATAAGCATCAACATTCTTCATGCATGGTTTCAATTTGTTATGACAAGTTAAATCCCTCTCACTATGATCATGGAAGATAGAAAAGAGTTTTACGACACATCCAGAATTGTTTACCTGTGTGGCAGTTTCGATGGCTTAGTTCAGATACCTTCCACAGATGTGTGCTGCTGGCTGCAGACTAAAGTTAGCCACTAGTTTTCCGATCGCCAAAGGATGCCGTTTTGGTGATTGCAGCACGTATCGTGTTAAAGATAAAATAGTTTTCAGGAAAATGGACTCAGGAACTCACAAATTTGATTCAAATCAAAGTCAATCCAAATCAAATCAAATCAAAACAAATCAAATCCAGTCCATTCCAATCCAATCCAATCCAATCCAGTCCAATCCAATCCATTCCAATCCAATCCAATCCAATCCAATCCATTCCGATCTGATTCGATCCAATCCAATCCAATCCAATCCAATCCAATCCATTCCAATCCAATCCAATCCAATCCAATCCAATCCAATCCAATCCAGTCCAGTCCAATCCAATCCATTCCAATCCAATCCAATCCATTCCGATCCGATCCGATCCAGTCCAGTCCAATCCAATCCATTCCGATCCAATCCAATCCAATCCAATCCAATCCAATCCAAACCAATCAAATCAAATCAAATCAAATCAAATCAACTTGATGTATTTCAGAGATTGATGAATGCACTGCTGGAACAGACAACTGTGATGAGAATGCTGACTGCACAGATACTGATGGTAGCTTCACCTGTACATGCCAGCATAGATATCATGGAGATGGGACATACTGCTTCCGTAAGTCACATCTAGCCTATCTAAAGCTTTCTGTGGTACTGTTATCTTTCTGTGTTTTTTCTCAGTAGTACAAGTGCTTTAACTTGAGATCTGTACATTTTTATGACACTGTATTAAAGGCCTGTTTTATATTGCAAAGAAGGTCAGTCTGTGGGCTAGGGATATTAGGTGAATTAGTCTTTCACATAGGTTTACGTGGCTCTCTAAATTGAGGCCTACGTGGGAAGAGAACATCTAAATGTCTGTCATTTTCAGACGAAATCAGAAATTTTAAATAGAAGGTTGAGTTCTGGGAAGAGGTGAAAAATAATTTGTGAGCGTTATCATTGTTATTATGCAAGTGTGGAATAACATCAGATAAAAAATGTTCCCTGAAACGCATGGCTCTTCAAATGCCTTAATATTCTAAACATGGCATGTAACGGCATACAAATCGGGACAGATTTTTATGCCACATGGTCGTGCAGTCCCATATACATATTTATATGTACAGTACTTGTAACTTTACCAAGACTTAGCCTAATTTCTTATTATTTTGATGATTCCAGAACCTTGCATTACACACCAGTACGTATATGCTAGATGATCAACCATTTCTGATCGATTCCACACCGTTTCTTTCACAATGCAATTGCATGATCAGAACTCAACTTTATCTTTAATTCATATATTATCCTGTCTTAGAATACTTAAGTTATTGACTGCTTTGATTGATTTCCTAATTGCTTGATCATGACACATTCTCTTGATTGTCTGACTATCTTTAATACAGCGGTTTGCAGCAAGGTTTGTCAGAATGGTGGAGTGTGTATCAGACCATCGGTGTGTGAATGCCCCCCGGGCTATGAAGGAGATGCGTGTGAAATGGGTGAGTAGACTCCACACAGATATCCCAATACAAGAATCAGAATTTTTTTAATAAATGTAATGCTTCCTGGGAGAAATTTCAATAATTTAAACATATTTGTGGCTTACACCCAGTATAGATGCAGGTTCAAGTCCCGCTCATTCCAAGATTTTTTCTGACTTGTTTTTCAATACAGATCGATCAATCAATCTTATTTACTGGGTGTAAGCCACAAATTAGATGCAGGTTCAAGTCCCACTGGTTCCAAGATTTTTTCTGACTTGTTTTTCAATACAGATTGATCAATCAATCTTATTTACTGGGTGTAAGCCACAAATATGTTTAAATAAAAGAATCAGAATGTCATTGATGTGTATCACATTGTATAAGTTGGTCAAATACCTATTCTTTTCATGTTTATATCATGGTGTATAAAAACAAAAACAAAACCAAATAATCCATGATACGATTTGTATGTATTCAAACTGTGTTCACTTTCCTCTGTATTTGTAACCAATAATGCATACAAGGCCTCTCAGGAAAACGGTTTTAATACTGAGTGAGTAACCCTGTTTGAATGAACCGAATAAATTCATATCTGTTGCAATACATTGTGTCGTTTGTGAATAAATTTGCAAGGCAACCCTTTCATTTTAGAAGCTGACTGTGGGCCAGAATACCATTCAATAAGTTATAAATGTAAGATGAGAAACACTGTGTAAAGGCATCATTTAACAATGTTAAATCTGAGATGCACGGCCCTACATGTTATCAGTGTCTGTAATATGGTATAATATTGAAGCCCCCCCAAAAAAAATCACGCTTCAAAATGATCAAGAAGTGCCTCAAAAAAGTAAAAATCTTTGAGTGACCGGTTTTACCATACTCATTTCCCCCAATAGACTGTATTGTTATGAAAACCGTTTGCCAAACGCAAAATTTGGTTTCTATTTCCAATCGTAAATATCTTGATAATCAGACAGGCGATTGGCTTGTAAAAGTCACGAGGTTCCTGACTGACCTAAAGGTTTATAATTATCATTGCAGCATGACCTAAAACCGGGATTTTGTTTCAGAATCTGAGACAAAGTTACCGGATCCCTTTACAATAGTTAGAGAGACCAACGTGAACCACAATTTCTTGTCTCTCTAGATAAGGATGAATGCACGAATGGAGAGAGTCAATGTACTGGTCAATCTCACTGTGTCAATCTCCCAGGAAGCTATCACTGTGATTGTGATTCAGGATACTACAGCCAAACAGCTCATGTCGACTATGGTGCTTCATGCACAGGTATGCATTGTCGTTGAGTGATTTTATTACATCTCTATAAGATTAGTCATTCACATGAATTCAAGTTGCATAAAAGGTTCTTTATAGGCAAAATCTAGATATCACCTTGTTCTTAATTTTATGCACACCTTTCATTTCACTATTTCTTCAATCAAAAATGTTTTTTTTTAAGTTCCACTTTAGTTGTACATGGATCTCAGTCATTTAGAGCAGTAAATTTAATAGATTACATAAGATTGTAAGATTAAAAATGATACATGAACGTGCTATATGAAAAACGACTAGCCAGAAAAAGTATAAAGTAACATACTAGTTACTCAACTATTAAAAAGGCGCATTCTCTGTCTGTCTCTCACTCTCTGCCTCTCTCTGTCTCTGTCTGTCTTTCTCTGTCTCTCTCTTTAACACACATCCAGGCCTGCACACACCCCTTTCTTTTAATATCAACTAACATACTAATGTAGTCCAGACTACTTTTTCAGTATGAAAACTTACACAAACTGTTAAGGATGGCAATTTCATGGAAACAAACATTTCTGGTCTTACAATATTTTCACTTTATTCCTTCCTGTTATTGGTTTATGATTTGGATTGAAAGGATCTATTTAATAATAAACCTATTTCCCTCCAATTTTTGTGCATATACACCATGATAATGACCTTTGTCTCCTTATTCAAAACTAGTCTTAAAACACATGTATTCAAAATTGCTTCGATGATCAACTAACTCTGTGCACTTTGATGTGTATTCCATATGTATTGTAATTTGTAGGTTCATTTGCACTTTTTTGTTTTGTTTAATATGTAATGTTTTATCAGTCTATTTTGTTTGTCATAGGGCTTAGAGACTTGGGTGGTAAGCGTTTTATAAGTAATGTTTTTATAATTATTATTATTATTATTATTATTATTATTCTAATACTTTGCAGATATTGATGAATGTGAGACATCAAATACATGTGACAAGAGTCGTCTATGTATCAACGACGAGGGTTCGTACGAGTGCCGATGCTCAGCTGCTAGTAGCTGCTCTACAGCCTGTCGTACTGATTGGGGCAAGAAGGGCAACGGAGCTACATGGGACACGCACTTGTGTCAGACCTGTACCTGCCAGGTAAGATATTGTTCCCTTCAAATTGGCAACATATTCTTTCATCATCACATTTTAAAGCCCCACTGTCCTGCTTGTAGCTACTTGCTCCCTCTATATAGAAAAATTCCCCAATCGGTGCCTGTTGGTCCCCCATGATCCTCTTTTTCTTATGTTAGTTGAGAGCTGAGTTGATGAGATAGCCACCTGTCAGTGACCTGGCTGGGTGGTCTAATTCCTTCTGGCCCAGTAGTATTGATGGTCTTTAAACATCTGTATCTGAAATAAAACTGTATGACTACACACATCATCGCTTACAAACAAAAAGTAGACTCTTTCAAGAGAATTGAAACGTACTGTCTATGTAGTTCAATGTATGAATGTGGGGCAACATACAGAAGTTTCATACTTAGAAATATTATGACATTACATCAAGAATGAAATTGAAAAAATATACTTTTACTTTATGCCATTATTTATGTTTACATTATTGGTAACACATATTTTCAAAGGTTTTCATTTCCAATGGTTTATTTATGTCTTAGTATACAAATAATGAATGGTTATGAGTTCAATATTGAACGAATGAAAAACATTCATTATTTGTTTTATACAACATCGTCATCGAAGCTCTAATAGAACGTTAATCTTTCAACAAATTAAGCTTTGCTCCTTATATTTAAGACAAATTAAAGTTTGTGTCAGGCCTTCTCAGTTGCATTCAGAGTGCCTTCATGTTAGATGCACGCAGCTATTATAAGAATGGGATACGTGCAGGGCAGAGAGGTACGCAGTCTGCATATAACCAAAAATGTGTGCTCGTTGAATAGTACTACGGCGAATAGTACTTAAAATGCATGCCCGTGCAATAGTATATCTATTGAATGTCATGTGACCAACAATCCTCCAATCAAATGACAAGGATCTACTTAGGTGTTGTATAATACCAAATGGCAGTGGGTAACGGGCATATAACTTGATTTATTTATTTAAAACACTTCCAATAATTGTTGTTGTTCTCTTGCCAGGTTGGTGTCGTGACCTGTACCCCTCAGGTTTGTGATTGCACTGACCCCGAGATTGATCCAGTCTGCTGTCCAATGTGTGTAGCGGAGATTCAGCAGTGTCTGCATCAATCATCAGCTATCACATATAACCATCGGGAATGGTGGAACCACGACTGCAAAGATTGCCAGTGCTTGGTGAGTGGGAACACCACAAACAGATAGTCATGGTGGTGGAGATGATGATGATGATGATGGTGGTGGTGATGATAATGATGGTGGTGGTGATGATAATGATGTTGGTGATGATTGTGATGATGATGAGGATCAGGGTGATGATGGTGGTGGTGGTGGTGGTGATGATGATTGTGATGATGATGATGGTGATGGTGATGATGGTGATGGTGATGATGAGGGTGGAGGATGAGGGTGATGATGGTGGTGGTGGTGGTGATGATGATGATGAGGATGAGGATGGGGATGATGATGATGGTGGTGGTGGTGATGGTGATGATGATGATTGTGATGGTGGTGGTGATGATGATGGTGATGGTGATGACAGGGGTGATAGTGATGATGGTGATGAGGATGATGATACTGATGGTGATGATGGTGATGATGATGAGGATGAGGGTGGTGGTGGTGGTGATGATGATTATGGTGATGATGATTATGATGATGATGATGATGGTGATGATGGTGATGATGGTGATGATGATGATGATGATGATTATGGTGGAGATGATGATGATGGTGGTGATGATGATGATGATGATGATGATTATAGTATTGATGGTTTTTAAGATGATGATGGTATCGTTTGTTTGGATACACAGACTTTAACCCTTCTTGCTATTATCATTATTGATGATGACGATGATGATATCAGATACAGTCATGATGATGATGATGATGATGGCAGTGATGCTGCTACTGCTGATCATGATTGTAGCAATTATCTTGGTGATGACTATTATGGTGATGATGAGAATGATAATGATGTTTATGTTGATGATGATTATGACGATGCTGAGAGACGAGCAGAAGATAGTGATGATACTGTTTCGAATACGCTGGTATAAATTTGTATGAAGAAGAACATGTACAAAGGATTATTAAAGGAATAATAATGATAATTGTCCATGTAGTAAAGTTGTCAGTGTTTATAATTTGCAGGAAGGGAGCATCAAATGTAAGCCTGTACAATGTGAGGCGCTGAACTGTCCTAGCGTCTACACTCCTGTGGATGAATGCTGCCCTCGATGTCAACCACACAATGAATGTGACCTTATGACCCCTGGGCCAAAGGTCAGCTCTCCTTCCACGTGCATCACTGATTTAGGAGTGGTGTATTCTCATAAGGAAAGATGGTTTTTAGATGAGGATCAGTGTACAGAGTGCGTGTGTCAGGTGAGTAAAGATTCCACTTGCGAGATAGACTGGTAGAAAAACCCATCCTAACACTTTAAAAATGATGAGCGCCTGTTGATATATCAAAAGATATGCTACCATACAAACGTAAAATACCTTTTTTTTAATGAAGTGTTTGGAAGAGTAAGACAAAAGTAAGGAGCAAGAAATGAGAGGAAATTTCTCAAAATTCTTTAGATAAATGTAGGCTTATTATATGTTTTGTAAGTAGTACGTAAAGGCTAGTCAAAAATGATACTGAAAACTTTCATTGGTTGGGGGTGATCATAATAATAAAGGCTTGTGCCACCCTTAACATTTAGTAGGACAGCTTTCATCCACCCCTGTTAATTTTGCAAACCAAGTGATTCTTAAAACAGTTTCTTGCTGTCTGCTGCCTCAAGATTACTGGAGCAAGGTAGGTGATATATTGAATAGCCAGAATCCCTATTCAGTGAAGGATTGATCTAAAACTATAATTGGAGGAATTCCTAGTGTACTACTGCATGTACAGGGATTACATCTTTACATGTTCATCTTGAATCATATTTGAATTATTAAAAATCATTCAGTACATTTTCAGAAGCTCTTCCAAGTACTTTTCCTCTTGATGCTGGTTAAGAACTTGAATACTCCCGTTACTTCAATGTCATCATCGTATTACTCTGTTTGTTTTCCTTCAGAATGGAAACATTTGCTGTGCTTACAACAGTGCCTGTGCCCCCTGATTATCTAACATGCGGGACTGAGGACCATCTCGTGGACCATCTCAATGATGTATATGTGGGACCGAAGGAACAAAAACTTATATTGGACAAGGGTTGAGTCATGCTGGATGGCAGCTACGATTAGAATTGTAAATAATACAAAGAGCTATAAGATGTATGCATAACCATGTCAGTCATGCATAGCAGATTTATAACATTCATTTATCCAAACATATGCATCTGTTTATATCGACATTGGTGATTTCATATTTGTATTTTGAAAGTGAACATAGTATCTTCCATATTATATAACTGTTCCAGTAGTGAGGTTTTGTGTACTACTGTATTATGCAAACAGATCATTTTTAGCCAATTTGTGCTGCTTTAAAGTTTTATTTTGAATTTTATGATTTCAGTTGTATATATAGTCTTGCCAGTATATACCTCATTCATGGTCTGAAATTTTGTATTTTATTTATTCTTAACCAACTCATACAAAAAAAGAGCTTCAATAGAGAGAGAGAGAGAGAGAGAAAAAAAAGGAAGAACGCCATGATTGTGGCTTTGTGCTCATGTCAGTCATGCAAAAGTGCTTCACTATTACCCTGGTCACAGCCCGCTACCATAGCAACCCTAACAGTCTACCTTGTACACACATGGGTAGAGAGAGACATTGTTGATAAAATGCTTTGTGCAGTTACAGTGCTCTGACGAGGTTGTAAACTTGTAACTTCATGATTGATAGTCAAAGTGAACGAGGCACTCACCGGTAGTCAGTTACATTGCATTCTGTTTGGTACCTGACAGACCATCACAAACTGTTCTTAAAGGTAAAGACCAGTATTGGAAACGCTCTAATTTCAAAAAATGAAATGGAAGCTCTCATTACCAATCATGTGAAAGAATATGTTTTGACTAATACATGATGATAAAAAAATTGCCGGGAAACCGCCTACTAATTCATGTATTTGGTAAATTTGTTTCTCTCATGGTCGTGTGAGAGATATAGGGTAGTCCCATATACATCTTTCTGTGTATAGTGCTTGTAACTTTACGAAGAATGGGCCAAATTTCTTATCATTTTGATGATTCCAGAACCTTGCAGATGCTAGATGCTAGATGATCAACCTTTTCTGATCGATTCCACAACGTTTCTTTCACAATGAAATCGCATGACCATTACTGGTCTTTACCTTTAAAGGTATAGACCAGTTCTGGTCATGTGATTGCATTGTGAAAGAAACACTGAGGAATCGATCAGAAAAGGTTGATCATCTAGCGTATTCGTGGGTACTGCAAGGTTCTTGAATCATCAAAATTATAAGAAATTTGGCCTAGTCTTGGTAAAGTTACAATCACTGTACACAGAAAGATGTATATGGGACTACGCGATATCTATCTAGTCCGCATAGATATAATAATTTACCAAATATATCAATTAGTAGGCGGTTTCCAGGCAAAATTTGTATCATCACGTATTAGTCAAAACATATTCTTTCACATGATTGGTAATAAGAGCTTCAATTTCATTTTTTGAGAGGGGGACGTTTCCAAAACTGGTCTATACCTTTAACCTATAAAATACAATGTACTTTTTTAATTTGCCTGCAACATGTGGTTTATTGGTTACCGTAGGTCAAATAGTATTGTGCTCATTGCAAATCATTATCCATATTTTTCATCTACATGTATAGGGAGGACAAAAAAACCTAAAGTCTAAAGAAACAATTAGTCACAAAAGCTTGCTGTTTTTTCCTGCAGAAATCTTTTTCTGCCTGAATATTCGAACGTTGCGTAGTTGTATAATTACAAGGTTATAGAAATGCAAGTACATGTATTTATGAATAACTTAAAGTTTGTATTGTGTATCAGAGTTGCATATTATGATATATATGTAAATATTTTGTTCTCAATATTTTGTTATAGTTTTGTATTGAAAGTGTCATGCCAGAAAGAAACTTAATATTCATGTAATAATGATTAGTATGCAATCAAATTTGTTTTGTTGATTAACATTATAGTTTGGGCTCTACGAAGAAGCTTACTTATATGACAAGGCTGTAAATATGTACACTTATAGTCTATTTAATTTAAATGATTATTTTAACCAAATGGATTTTTTTTTTAATGGGACAATTTTCTTTTCTTTTAAGGATCCTCTTTATTTTAGATACATGTACATTTAAGAAACTTCTAAATGTAAAGTCAACCTTGATACAAAAAAAAAAAAAAAAAAAAAAATTTGTGTGAAAGCGGAGAAAAGAAGAGAAAAAAATAGTAAGTACCGGTATAAGATTTCACACATTGGACAATAATGAAGAAAAATCCAAGGTTGATAAGTATCATAGTCACTTTGAAGCCAGGTGTTTTGGTATGTGGTGCATGATTATGAATGTGAATCTCTTTCATCATGTTCATCAAGTAATATTGTGATAATTTGTGCTGGTACCGGTAGTTATGGAGTATTATTAAAAGGCTTCCATTATTTAATACACTAATCGATTGAATATGAAGAACAATAATAAGTCCATTCACATGTACACACAGCGCAGCTACTATATCAATATACACCTCTGTGCTTAATTAAAGACGAACAGTATCACATTATTACCCGGCTGTAGCTTAGCCGCCTTAAAGAATAAAAAGTTGCTTTTACCTGTAAATTACACAATGTTTCTTCATACACTACCCTTTTACGTATGTGTACACCCCTTCTGATATACAATGATCCTTCTTACAACATTTCTATTTAGGAGTTTGAAATAAATTTCATCTCGTCCGAACAGTGTATCCCTGTTCACCTTTACTGTACAGTCTTACAAAAATAAATTGGCATTGGTGGTCATTATGAATATGATAATTCTGTGGTTCATTTGTTATGATGTGAGCAGATTGACTTGAATGCAAGCTGGGTCAGAAGAATTAAAGAAATAGTTGAGCAAATGCCTTCAAAGTGCATGGTTATTGCTCTTATTCTTATCTATGACATTTATAGTGCCCTTTCAGAACCTAAACTTGCTATAAAGGTAATTTTAGACCCCAAAATGTGTGAAATTTAGCCAATACAATCATACCAATTCAGCTCCACTTTAAAAAAAAAAAAAAACGGTTTCAATGGTTTTTTTCAAATTTTTCAAAATATCTAATATTTTTGGTGATACACAAGTATTAGAAATGGTTATATTTCAGCCGTCTCTGAACCGATTTTGATCAAACAAAGATGATTTTGTCATTTAAATATTATGTTCTTTCAAATTTGAAACTCGGTTTTTCATTATCTCACAAAAAAAAATATTTTGTGTAGCGCCCTCTGCAACAGAACTCGACTATCCCTTTAATGTACTGCAGGAATACAAAAAAAGTCGAACCCGTCTTTGTGGCCACCTCTCTATAGTGGCCATGAATTTTGTCTCCCTCTAAGAAATGTGTGTTGTCATGGTAGGACCTGTCCAGAAAGGCTGACCAGAAAGGCTAACCGTCAAAAGTGGCCTCTTTTTCTGTTTCCTTGGGTGGCCTCGATAGATGGGTTTTTACTGTATGAGGTTGATTAAAAGTCAGATTTAGCTTAATTACCATTCTTCACATTTTTCTCTTTAACACTTGTGATTAATTGACCCCTCTGTTGTTATACTTGCCACTTCCTCAGCATTTCAGAATTTTAGTGTTTATCGATTAACACGGCGAGGGTAAGAAATGCCCACTCTCTCTTTTTGTTAATGTATCTGGTCCAAAAATAGAAAAGAAAGAATTTCCCTCAAATGCCTAATTTTGATTTCCTACAAAGTCCTTGCCATTAATTTCAATTTCCTTTGTAGAGATATAGGAAATGATGAACGAATCTTTTTCCTTTATTATTCATTGTCTTCCTGATAAAAGTAAAGTCAAGGTGATGATAATGAGAGGTAAATGAAAGTGGTTTTGATGATGATGATGTTGATGATAAGTAGTATGAAACATGGATCATGATGGTTGTAGTGCAGGGGCGATAGTGAGCACTAAAAAAACATATTAAAAAAAACATAAAAAAATTCCCCCTCTACCACGCCCCCTTAAGTAAAAAACAAAAAAAAGTTAGAAAATGATTCGGGGGGGGGGGGGTGGCATCTAAAAACATTCCCCCTCCCCCTTTTGAGTAAGAAAATTGGGGAAAATCTGGATAACATCGGGAAGATTTTTTTTTTTTTTTTAATCTGGTAATTATCAGGCCTTTGTAGTGGTGATGATGATGATGTTGGTAATGATAATGATAGTCATGATGGTGATAATGGATGACCTGCAATGGCTTCTTTCCAAGGCTGTACTAAGGGGGGGGGGGCACATTCTATTGATCATTCATTCACCCTCCAGCAATCACATAACATTAATCTTCCCCAAGGTTCACAAAACTTGTCTCATATTGAACCGTCATACATATATGGACACTATAATTCATAAATTTACATTCTTACTATCAAAGTGTACCAATTACCTGAAAATATGATTTTTGTACAGCTTGAATGTATATCAACCTCAAAAAACTAAAAGTAAAAGTTAAATGGGTACCCGGTTGGATGCAACCGTCATTGTTGGTCGAGCGTCAAGTAACGCCTGGCTGGAATGCTTCCCAGGGAGTGGAGATTGCGCGGGCAAGCACTGAATCCAATGACCGGGTAATAGTATATTTGTAAAGTGCTTAGAGACATTGTATTAAGCGCTATATAAAAGCAAAATATTATTATTATTATTAATTAAGAAAATAAAGAATAACATAAAACGAATTGTCTAGGGCTTGCAGGGAAAGGACTTGCATTCAATGTGCATCCTGTTCAATGATTTTGTGTGTGCTTAATAGTTTACTCAACGAGATATTTTTTAGTATCTAAATATTTCAATATATCTCTGTAGAATTAATATATCAAGCTCATATTTTAAATAATGATGTAGCCACATGAAACCCCTTGCATCAAGAACATAACATACTTGGGCGATTGGTGCACTTCAACTTACCCAAATTTGAGCAAAGCGGCAATCAATATCAAGACACAATGACAAGATCAGCAACAAATGGCATTTCTAGAAATTCATTTATTAAGAAAGTACAAAAAAAAACATTGCTGCATACCAGCTAGTCATTCACATTATCTGCTTATCCCCTGCTCTGGATAAAGTACATCTAGTACTTTCTTACAAAATAAATTTGTATCTCCAGCCTTGATTTGATATAAAATATCTTTTTGGGATGATACCAAGCTTGATATCAGGGCCAACGTCTCTTTTATGTACACAACGTACATCATGTATTAAAGGTACTGTGTCCCATTTGCAGGCCAAAAAATGAAAAGGTTAAATTCCAACGGCATAAAAAAAAAGGGGGCTTGAAAATGTCTTTAAGTGGAAAAATAACGACTATTAGTTGTCGACTTAAGAGCTATAGAGCTAGTACCGGTAAGTAATAGTCTGATTTTTAGACCATTGTACTGAATGGTCGTACGTTTTATGCTGCTCTTAAGTCGACAACTAATAGTCGTCATTTTTCCACTTAAAGACATTTTCAAGCCCCCTGTTTTTATGCCGTTGGAATTTAACCTTTTCAGTTTAATTTTGGCGGCTATTTGGCCACTATAAGAAGTGGGTTATTGATGTAGACAAATGCTCATGTACCCTTTACTTCTCATTTTATGGATGTTACTGGTATTAACAAAGAAGAAAAGGCTAGTCAGTGACTCAATAGTGTCTGACAGTGAAGTCTAACAAGTAAACGGTTTGCATAATTTGAATATTACGACACTGCCAACGTTTAAATTTCACAGATAGGACATACATGACATATTCATAATTCCTGCAAAGTTCTTCAGAATTTGATGTTGGCTGCAAAAGGGACATAGTATCTTGAAAGGGATGTCTTAGGATTATACAGACATGAAAGTATCACACACAGATCTAGTTTCTATTCGATACAAAAGCTAACATATTCTAGTACTGTTGAACAGACATAAATAATGAATACATATTCAAAGAAAGCTACTGTGTACATTTATATTGCTAAAGGCTATCTTCCATCCAAGATGAATAACAAGGGTTAAACATGTATGACCCATTCATCGACAGAATTCATTCTAAGAAAAACATTTATGAAATTGTCAAGAAAGTTGTTAACCATGCTATTTATTAATCCTGGCTAAAATGTCACATCACATCATATTCAAACACATATATATTGCACACATAATGAGTTGTTGTCAAGGTAAATGATGAAAACTGATGGGCATGCAGGGGTGCTATTTTCCACCTCAGTTATTCAATCTATCTGCTCACACCTAATCCACACATCTTATTGGTTGTGCTCATTTCTGAAGTCCATCTCTAGTTGCTGTCGACCGATCATCACCATTTTATGTTGGTTTCACAGAGTAGCATGCCCTTATACCTGGACGCAATTAAAAGCTTGTCTTTGTGGAAGACAGCTGAAGATGAAGCTGGTAACTGTGTTCCATCATCGCTGTACAATTCAAAAACTTCATTAGATGCACCATGGTACCGAATATGGAGTACCTGCATTAAGAATAAACATTCAAATACTTCATTAGATGCATCATAGTACTGAATATGGAGCACCTAAATAGGGAATAAAGGTTCAAATACTTCATTAGATAAACCATGCTATGGTACCGTATATGGAGTACCTGCATAGAGAATAAAAGTTCAAATACTTCATTAGATGAACCATGGTACCGAATATGGAGTACCTGTATTGGAGAATAATAGTTCAAATACTATATTAGATGCATCATGGTACTGAATATGGAGCATCTAAATAGGGAATAAAGGTTCAAATACTTCATTAGATAAACCATGGTACCGAATATGGAGTGCCTGTATTGGAGAATAAAGGTTCTAATACTTCATTAGATGAACCATGGTACCGAAGTACATTTGAAAATCCATCAAACCCTAACCATATTGTTAGTACCTCATCTTCTTGCTTTTCTACAGCATTCTTTAATTAGTTCTTTTTCTCCTTGTCACACATTAAAAACTTTCTAAGTAGAACTTTGAAATCAAAATTTTGCAGAATTGTTACTGGTTTCAGAGCAAATAAATAAAAACTATTCAATGATAGTTACAGCATACCTGTGAAGGTGGTAAACTCCTTCTATGTCTCTCATAAGCTTCATATTTAAAGGCAGCAGGATGATTGGCCGTCCATACATTCCCATTCGCATCAACAAACACATTGTCAACCAATGATGAAAGACTCACGGATCTATCGGTCTTAAACAAAAATAAAAAACAAACAAACAGAAAAATAAAAAAATTTAGTTCTGCTTAGCCACAATATTTTGTTTGCAAAAATTTAATTGGTACTTGATTGTAATAATTATAATAATAATAATAGATCACATTTATAACGCGCCTAATACATTGTTTAAAGGCGCTGTGGTGCTGTTGTCCCAGCAGCCTTTAAGTGAAGAAATGTAAAAGCCGGGACGACAGCACCACGATTACACAATATTATTCAGTACAAAATTACAGTATGTTGGGTTACAAAATTACAGTTTGTTACAGATAAATGAATAAATCAACTTAATCTAACAAAGCAAAATCTAAGCTGATGTAGAGTATTCTCCTCAAGAGGGATAGCACAGGAAGACAAACAGAACATTTTTATAATTAATTCATGGCTTGGAGTCAATTAAATTCCTATATGAAACTGCTATGTGTAAAACCAACAGATAACAATGGGCGCACACATTCATTTTAAACCTGCATAATTCTGCACTGCAGAGATTATAATATGAAAGCCTTTATTTGACTTTGCCTTCAGATATTAACAAAAACATCAGAAATCATACAAAGAAACTTACACTTCCTCCTACCAGGCCCTATTTGTTATACCTGGGTCGAGACTCGATAGTGGTGAATATTGATTCATGTGCTGCTGACGGACATTAAAGCAAAACAAGAAAATTTGAATCTGGACTATTAGGCTATTATTATTATTATTATTATTACAAGCCGAAGTTCAACCTGGGCAGTGTTTCACAAAATCGTCCTAAATGCAAGTTTACCGACATCTCATTGAAATGCATTTCAATTGGATGTCGTCGAACTTGTACTTATAACGGTTTTGTGAAACGACACCCAGACCCCTACTCCTTCCTTAGCAAAGCCAATCAACATACCTGAGGTGATAATATGTTTGATGCTGGATCTCGCTTGTAACCATGTACACCCATACCATAGAGTAAAGAAACGTAGATATACCTAAAAATCAATAAATATAATTAGTTTTAGTCCTTGAACGATAAATATTTGGTTGCTTGAACTTTCAGGATATTTTTATTTCTTTTTGTGGATCTGACTGATAACAATGTCATTTTTCAAAATGAAAATCATGTAAATTCAGACTATAATATGTTTGATCGAACGCATTGGTTTGTGTCAGGTTGCGGAATCAGTTTGCGTATTGATCAATCCTTTCTTATCATTTGGTTGAATCAAATAAATTGTGTGTTAACATTCTTTTATTTATTATCTTTAAACAAAGGTCTTTGAATTTGCCTTCATTATTGATAGCTAACTAGTATTCTTAGTTTGCCTAAAATCATTATTTCGTATATCTATATATGACTAGCTATCTTGAGAGCTACAGTACATGTCTGAGTGATTAAACTTATGAGAGAAATAGATACAAGAACAGAAGAATGGTGTAATATCTTACTTTCTAAGAATGGTGTAATATCTTACTTTCTATCTGGTGACATGTGAATTCCACTTGGTTCAAAGATGGCGTTGGACACCAGTCTGCATGATGGATCACAGTACAGTACACTACCCCATGGAAACATCATGTAATGTTCGAATAATCGGCCCCCTGGGTCTAGGCTGTATGCTTGGTTGGTGACATAGAACTGATCAGAACCTACAGCTAATACATCACTCAATCTGTAAAAAAAGAGATTAGATATTTCATTAGGGAAGAAAGCAATTATTAAGGCTTATAGTTAAAGGGATAGTTGAGTTCTGTTTTCAGACTGCAAATGCCTTCAAAGTGCATGCTTATTGCTCTTATTCTCATCTATGACATTTCTAGTGCCCTTTTTGGACCTAAAATTGCTATGAAGGTAATTTTAGACCCCAAAATGTGTAAAATTTAGCCAATATGATCATATCAATTCAGCTCTACTTTCAAAAAATATGGTGACCGTTAATCAATTAATTAATCAATTAGTTAATCAATAATAACAATACATGGGCCGGCTAGTTGCCGGTGCGTCATATAACCAACACAACAAAGCCTACAAAAAAATCCAACTTCGGCATTGGCTGAAATACGACATAAAAGGCGCTATTTTGTTTTTTCAACGGCTTTTTCAAATTATCTAGTATTTGTGTACCATCACAAATATTAGAAATTGTCATATTTATGGATATTTCAGCCGTCTCTGAACTGATTTTGATCAAACAAAGATGATTTTGTCATTTAAATTGTATGTTCTTTCAATTTGACACTCAGTTTTTCATTATCTCACAAAAAAAATTATTTTGTGTAGCGCCCTCTGCAACAGAACTCAACTATCCCTTTAAAGGCATCGTTTAACAATGTTAAATCTGAGATGCAGGCTCTACATGTTATCAGTGTCTGTGATATGGTGTTATATTGAAGCCCTAAAAAATGTGCTTCTTCAAAGTGAATATGAAGTGCCTCAAAAAAGTAAAAATCTTTGAGTGCCCGGTTTTACTACAATAATTTTTCCCAATAGACTGTAGTCTTATACAGACCGTTAGGAAAACGAAAAATGAAATTTTGATTTCCAATCATAAATATCTTGATAATCAGACAGGCAATCGGCTTGTAAAAGTCATGGGATTCCTGACTGACCTAAAGGTTTATAATCATGATTGTAGCATGAGCTAAATCCAAGATTTTGTTTCAGAATCTGATGCAATGTTACTGAGTCACTTTAAAGGGCAGAGCCATGTCATTGACCATGACAGGAAAAATGACAGGGCCTAATAATGTTCCTTGAGGTACTCCGCAAGTGAGATTCAACTATGTTGAGGTTTTTCTGATGCCTCACTAACCCGTTCAGCTCGGCATTATTCAGCCTGATAGCCACCTCACAAACGAGATTAAAAATCGAACACGCCGTACCGTGAGACCGCTCAGCGCGCGCCACAATGCGTGTGCGTTCAAGCGGCCAGAGGCTTCGACTAACGGGAACCTAGCGCATGCGCAGATCATTTGCCAATCTGGCTTTGTCATGTCGAGAACACGTTGCACGGCCTTTCTCTGCTGTGCTCCAAGCCTCTCAGTTCTTTCAGCTCTTTCGTAGGTTTTTTTTCGTTATCTTTTCTTCTTCTTCTTCGCCTCATTCTTATTTTGTTCTTCTTCTTACTCTTTTTATTTAGATACTCAATTTTATGAGAAAAATACACAATTTATAAGAAATTAAAGATTTGAACGTAAATCTCTGTTGCATCATATTCATATGAAATAATTTATCAGCCTAAATTGACGGTTATAATATTATTTTGTCGGACATTATACTATAGCGAAAAGATATAGACATGATAAAATGAAACTAAAGAAGAATCCAGAATGGGGGAGGGTTGGGGTGAAAGGAGAGATAAAATAGAATAATAATAAATAAATACAGTACAGACTATACCGATGTGCCATTTGGAGAGCAAAATAATTAGTTTGTTTTATTTACTAATGTAAAGCGCTTTGAGCATGTTTATGCCATATAAATATCAATATGTATGAATATATTGCCAAATTTTGACAATTGTAGTTTGTAAGTATATGTATTGACAAAGTACATACAATAAAACCGACACAGAAATGTCTGCAAGTATTTGGGACCTATATAGAATGTGCGAAAAGAGCTTTGTCTTTGTCTTTGGCCCATGCATGTTCCCACAGCTGAGTTACGTAAGAGGAACAATTAACGTTGCTGAGGGTACGGTCGTTGTCATGGCTATAAACTCTAAAGAGCGGAAGTAAGTTAAGGGTATAATTGAATAATTGGATGACAGATCTGAGATTATATTATCAAAAAAAAAAAGAGAAGAGTATGAATTTACAAATAGTACCAAAAAATAGAAGGAAAAAAAATAAAGTGAAAGGTGTAAATATTCTAAAATAAGAATGAAACGCCGATAATACCAAACAACAACAACAACAACAACAATGAACTGACTTTGTATTCATGTATAACCCTGGTTTATGTTGTTTTGGGGAGGGAAGGCTCTTGTTGTTATTGCAGTTGTCGTTGCTGTTTTTTAAATTTTTAAATGGGATCACGTTCCGACATTCTCATAAATAAAAATCATATAACGTAAAGCCAGACTTTACCCTATCTGAAACACTCATTCAAAGACAACAATCATGCAAGATAAAGGAATGGACAAGAATATGTGATAAAGATAAAATGTCACAGACAAATAGATAATTATAAGAAATGATTGTTTCTCTCCCTTTTTCTCTCTGCTTATGTGTGTCTTTCTCTCCCTCTATCTCTCACTCGGTCGCTTTCTCTGTCTATCTACCAATTTTGTTCCGCCGTTTGCTCGTATGCCGGCACCATTCCTTTTTTGAGATAAATTATTATAAAATAATGATGATGTACACACTTTATTATACCTTATATTTATTATAGGGAGCGAAGTGAAAAACGAGCGGCTGATAATGTCTAAATGCGAAGAATATTAATGTACAATAATTATATTTCCAAAGTAAAACTTTTGAATGAAAATCTCTGTTGCAACAAATTGATATAAACACTGTTTATTATGCTATATTGACAATACTATTATACGTCGGACATTATACTTCAACGAAAAGATATCTTTATGATAACAAAAAGGACAGATTAAAGGCGACAAAAATCGGAGCTGGGGTGGGGGGGGGGAGGATGATCGGAGAGACAAATATATAAATAAATACAGTACGGACTACATCCAACTTTCTATCTCTCTCGCCCCCTTCCCCCTCCCCTTTCTCTCTTTCTCTCTCTCTCTCTCTCTCTCTCGCTCGTTCTCTCTTTCTCTTTCTATTTCCCCCTCTCTCTCTTTCTCCCTCTATATGTCTCTCTGTCTTCATCTTTTTTTATTAAATGTTTTCTATTCCTCCGTTTGCTTGTATGCCGACATCATCTCTTCCTTGAGATTAATTATTATAACGTAATTATCCCTGATGATGAACACATTATCCCTTATATTTATTATAGGAAACGAAATAGAGAACGAGCGACTGATAATGTCGAAATGCGAAGAATATTACTGAACAATAATTATATTTCCAAAGTAAAACTTTTGAATGAAAATTTCTGTTGCATCAAATTGATATAAAAAAAATGTTTAAAATGCTATATTTACAATACTATTATACGTCGGACATTATACTTCAGTGAAAAGATATCTATATGATGAAGAAAAAACAGGGCAAACTAAAGGGTAAAAAAAAATCGGAGCTGGGGGGGGGGGGGTGATCAGAGAGACAAATATTATATAAATAAATACAGTACGGACTACGTCCAACTTTCTATCTCTCCCGCCCCTAGCTTTCCCCTCCCCTTTCTCTCTCTCTCTCTCTCTCTCTCTCTCTTTCTTTCCCCTCTCTCTCTCTCTCTCTCTTTCTGTCTTTCTGGCAATGTCGTTTTCCATCTTCATCTTTTTTATAATGTTTTCTATTCCTCCATTTGCTTGTACGCCGGCAGCATCTCTTCCTTGAGATTAATTATTATAACGTAATTATCCCTGATGATGTACACATTATATCTTATATTTATTATAGGAAACGAAATAGAGAACGAGCGGCTGATAATGTCGAAATGAGAAGAACATAACTGAACAACAATTATACCAAGTAAAACTTTTGATTGTAAATCCCTGTTGCATCAAACTGATTGATACAAAAATTGTTTATTATGCTATATTGACGGTACTATTATACGTCGGATATTATACTTTAGCCCAAAGATATAAACAAAACAAAACAAAAAAATGGAAAGAAAAAATGTGAGCTTGAGGGGGGGGGGGGGGAGTCGGTGAGAAAAATATCATAGTAATAAATACAGTACAGACTACGTCCAACTTTCTATCTCTCCCCCCCCCCCCCTCTCTCTCTCTCCCTGTCCGTCTGTCTCTCTGTCTATGTCGTTTTCCATCTTCATCTTCATAATGTTGTCTATTCCGCCATTTGCTTGTATGCCGACATCATCCCTTCCTTGAGATTAATTTTTATAACATATCCTTGATGTTATACGTCGGACATTATACTTTAGCAAAAAGATATAATCAAACAAAAAGGAGACAAAATAAAGAAGAAAAAAAAATCAGAGTTGGGGGGGGGGGGGGGTGACCGGAGAGACAAATATCATTAAATATCATTGTACGCATATTGTATTTGTTTTGTATGTAATGGAAAGAGCTAAATGAATGACAGAGATTAGAACAAAATCATAATTCATCACAATCATCTCTCTCTCTTTCTATCTATTTATCTATCTTTCTCTGTCTGTCTCTGTCTGTCTGTCTCTATCCTCCCCCTTCCCTCTCTGAATACGTCAGGAATTTCGTGAAATTGGAATTGTGCTTCAGTGTATTTTATTTCCGTATCGCGTTGTTGTGTTTGTTTTTTGTTTTTTGAAAGGGTGTGCATAAGGAGTTAATCGCCGTAGTATTGGTAGTCTTCTATTTATTCGAAAATAAATGATATTGAAAATATAGTAATCCATTATATTACGGAACAATAAAGAAAGAAGTGCAAACAACGTGATAATTCACTTTATTTGTCTTCGTCTCCATCTGTGTCCTTGTTCAACCTATGGTGTCAATAAAACTTTGATAATCCTCGTTTCATGATCAGTTCTGTAGATGGCAATGCCATGTACATGCATACAATCATGATAATGATAATGATGATGATGATGATGATGCTTACAATATTGTAATAAAATAGTAATAATAATAATAACAATTATTTTCTTCATCTTGCACTCGCTTTTCTTCATTGCCAGAAAACTTGTTTTATGTTGCCTTGCATTTTTTTCAACAATGGTAGCATCTTTGCCCGGGAAAAGTCTCATATTCGTGGCTTTACCGTCGGAGTTGCTCAAGACAAGAGTAATATTCCGTGGGGAGAGAGAGGAAGAGTAAGGGGTCGTTTTTTTCAGAACATAACATTTGAACATTTCATATGCCCGCTCAAGCCAAGACCGGCTTTAGGTTGATCAAGATATTTTACTTCAACCTGCTCTAAAATTGTTACATGCCCTCGTAAAGGTGTATAAGTTAGAGTGGTTGTTTGTATTGTAATGTAAATTGACCTATTTACGCCTACATCCTCTTCTTTCAAAACGGCAATCTTCCAGAGTAGTTACTTCTTTACATTCTTTTGTTCCCCCTTAGCGTGTGGCAGCTGAGGGAGCCTGGATAAGCCTTTCATAAAAGAGGAGGTCCATACATGAATGATTCGCTAAATTGGTCAAGTTGATAAAATGAAAAGCGTATTGTCATGTAAATACAATGACGTAAAAGATAGCTGTGGAGTCAAAACTTTTGAGACGACAGGCTTTATAGATAACTTATGGAAATATCATCGAATGTCGTTGTTTCACATTCTTCATTTTCTACGTCCGACGAATACTCTTCTCCGCTTGATAAGTCCATTTTATCATATTCATTTTCTGAGTCCGAGTCAAGGATCGCTTCTCGAGCATCTTCAACGCTAAAAATAGGCTTTCTCCGATGACGTGACATTTTGAGAAACTATCTTACATAGATAAAGAGCAGTTATAAGCAAAGAATTGAGAACTAATTTGTGCAACCAACTATCACGAAAATCAAAAAGCTGAACTAAATAGTAAAACTCCGACACTTTATAGCACGATAAGTAAATAATAGCCGACAACCTTGAAACGAAACAATGGGATGGACTATATCGAGACTAGCTAATCTCCCTAATAATAGGTCGGCCCGGTACCCTGTATACGTACGCATGAGTAAACTGAACTGAGAGCCCTAGGTCGAACGAGACTGTAATATACTATAAGCTTTTCAATAATCGGCCCGTTACCATGAATAGGCGTCAATGACCATATAAGGCCAAGGCTCATGCATTGAACGGTGTATCCGCGCGTGCCGAGTACAAAGGTATCCAGAGCGAGTGTGGAATTCGCTGCTTGTAAAATCATTATGTCCGGCTTACACAGTCCTAGGCATAGTAGACCCAGCTAGCTAGCAGCAGCGAATCCGAAAATCTATGAAAATAACGTAAACTGACTTGCATGTGTTCTATACGAATATCCTGAAAGAGGACTCGTGCATTATCATGCTAAACTTGTAATAAAACAAAAATTACGCATCTACAGTCAGTAAAAAATGAGATGCATGTAGCCAAAGGTTCAAGGTTTGTATACAGGTAGTTTATAATGTATTTAGAAGGTGAATAGATGTACTTTTCTGCAATAAAAGAAGCCCTTGCTCGGACCCGAGAAATCTCGGTTCCCGTTTGTACGTACCTCGGGACCCGAGAAATCTCGGTTCCCGAGTTAAACGGGCTAATTGAGAGTGATTGGACAGAAACCTACAAACAGCTGGCAAGGCAGAGCCATGTCATTGACCATGACAGGAAAAATGACAGGGCCTAATAATGTTCCTTGAGGTACTCCGCAAGTGAGATTCAACTATGTTGAGGTTTTTCTGATGCCTCACTAATTGAGAGTGATTGGACAGAAACCTACAAACAGCTGGCAAGGCAGAGCCATGTCATTGACCATGACAGGAAAAATGACAGGGCCTAATAATGTTCCTTGAGGTACTCCGCAAGTGAGATTCAACTATGTTGAGGTTTTTCTGATGCCTCACTAATTAAGAGTGATTGGACAGAAACCTACAAACAGCTGGCAAGATAGAGCCAGTAACACCTAAACTGGTGAGGTTTTTCATTGCTATTCTGTGATTAACCAACTCAAACGTCCTCATTACATTAATTGACTATGCAGAGGTTAACGTGGCATCACTGCTTGTCAAAAAGATTTTGTTGGATAATGTCCAACATGTTCATCAGGTACTTGTTAATTTAAAGAAATCAGCACTCATCTATTAAAGAGTCATGCAATAATTAGATTTAATGATTAGCTGTATTCTCTACTCTATGAGTATACCTTCCTTTAGTAGGACTGATCAAATATCTATTTTTTCCAGTTTTATTGTACCCTAAAACTGGACGACCAAGCAGAGAATCTGTCTATGAGACAAAGTTGATAATACAAACCTTCTCATGAATGGATCGTGGATCTCTTTCAGGTACTTCATAGTTGGTTTGTCAGCTCTTCTCCATTCATACACCTCTATACAGTCCCTTACTGTCTGCTGGTTCACTACATATACATAGGTTGAACCTATAGCATCGAAAAACACAAATCACAATGACCACTTTTACTTTCTGTATATTCAAAAAAGATTATAAAATGTCTTTCAACAAATTTGTGGTTCAAGTTGTAAGTATATTGTGATCACATGATAGTGTATCAATCACCAGAAACAATCTGTTCTGTATGTCCATGTACAGGGTTTTGTGTTGCGCTTAATGGGCTTGAAATATTACTTCAATAAAGAGCATGACGAAAAACTCTTTGTTTAAAATTGAAACCCCTCATTTGACTTTCAACACTACTAGAGCTGAGATAACATTGGTAAGCAGTAGCACTGTCCAATGTAATCCCTCCACCAAGACCTTGAAGGGGTGATGGAGAGGGAGAGAGGAAGGGAGAAAGAGTGATAGTTTTCAGAGCTAAAATTGTTGTTATATCGCCAATTCTTGGTCATTCATTTTGCTTCGTTAAGACTTTTATTTGGTATTCATATAAATTAAGAGTGACTTTTGGACATGAAAATATCTTAAAACAAGTAAAATATATATTTCCTACTTCTCATTTCCTTTCAGGCAGAGCCCCAGTAAGAGTTTGTTTACACTATAATGTAAGATAATGAAGAGTACAGCTGCAATCCAATATCATAATCTCTCATGCAGAGCTGCAAGGCTCTGTCCAAGTTTTAACGAGAGAAACGAAAGTGGGGTTGTGATACCCCACCTGAATTACATTGGTTCCTGTGTTGTAGTGGTGGGGTATGTTTTTAACCAGAGCTTTCAGTATAAATGGATAATGTGAAAAAAGAGACTTGTGAGTAAATCTACTTGATGCAACCGAACACACTCCCTTAGAATATGTCCGCATGGAACCCAGGACTTGGGTTCCGTTCATGCCATATTCTATTAGTATGTCATTCCTCTCTCCTGTTTGTCAAGTTAAAAAAAATAGGGTAACTAATTTCTGTCTTTCTCATTTAAGTGCCTTCTCCTTTGGGCCACTATTCAAAAGACATTGTACATCCTGGTAGTATATTGTTACAGGTCCTTTAAAAAATAGATCCTCCCAAGCCACAAATGGAACCAATTATATTTGAGTCATTTAGAGTGTTGGAAAAAAAGGGAAAAGCTGTACGGCACACCACCACAGTACAGTGACATTACCGATTCAGCAAATTTGTAATCCAAATGCGCAATAGAGATTACAACTTCCAACAAATTGTTTTCTTCTCAAAATTACTTAATAATATTCCAATTTCATTCATACTTTTCCCAGTCTGTTTCTCTGCTTTGTTGCTTGTGTTTTAAGTAGTTTACCATTACGGTTGGATTTTCCTTTAACCTGTTGACTTCTGCATTGTCAAAGTCCCATAGGCTTAATACAGGGGCCACCAAGTTCCCGTAGGCAAAGGGTTAAGAGAACACTGCTTACCTGTATCATGAATGCTGCTGAGTCCAACAGGATGAAAAGATCCTTGAGGTCTGCTGCTGATGGTAACTCTCGTAAACCCATCATTTGGACTGGATAGATTGAATGTATGAATCACTCCTATCTTAGGATTAGATCTGTAATAAGACTGAATGTAAGCATTGCTTTTAGCTTCGCGTTGGATCTGTAATTAAACTTAATAAATTGAATGAATGTAAGGTTCACTCCTAACTTAGGATTGGATCTGTAATTAGACTGAATAAAATTAATGTATAGTTCACTCCTAACTTAGGACTGATCTGTAATTATGGATCTATTATTAGACTGGATTGGATATAATGATAGCAATCTCATAATAATTAGTACAGGGAAACTGTTATGTTTACAATGCAACAACATACATTACTTGGTATTATGACTTACTAGAGTAACTAAGACTAGAAATACAAGACAATAATGAACTCACAGATGCAATGAGCACAAGACCATCGGCCATCAGTTCCATGTCTGCTACTCCATAGTCTGTGATGAGAAACAATATAAGTTCAGAGTTTGAAAATCCACTTTAAAAAAAAATATCACAGAGACTCAACGTACTCTACTACGTCTAGAGCCTTTTGTTTAGTTATAATAATAATAATAATAATATTTTATTTTTATATAGCGCCAAATACAACGATGTGTCTAAGCGCTTTACAGATAAATCATTAGCCCGGTCATACGATTCACACTTATGTATGCTCATTTTCCACTCCCTGGGAAGCATTCCGGCCAGTTGCTATTTTACAAGCAGACACTTGCTCATCCAACCACATTAACTTTTGCATCCTACCGGGTACCAATTTAACACCTGGGTGGAGAGCGGCTAACTATGTAGATCAACGCCTTGCCAAAGGACATTAGTGCTGCGGCGGGACTCGAACCCTGTACCTTGTGATCTGCAGTCGGGTTACTTATCCACTAGACCACAACACCTCTAGTGGACAAATAACAAATATAATTACAAAATTAACACTTTGGATGTTTTCTTCACCTCTCTGCTTAGTCAACAGACCATTTTGCAAAATAAAAATAAATACCAATCGAAAGAAGGATGGCTTTGTGTAAAACAATGACTTTGCAAAATTACTAATTTCAGGTCTTGATAAGCTCCATAAAGACCATTTTAGAATCCATATACTGAGTAGATTAATATTTCACTTGAAACAGCTAAATAGTCTTCAAGCCTTTGGTATAAATCTATCCCATGCTTACCGGTAATACAATGAGGCACAAGAAGCTGATTTGCATATATATATATATATATATATATATATATATATTTAAAATAAGCCTATCCACTGTCAAAGACATACTGCACAATTTATCAAAGATTTGCTCATTTACGCATATGCCTTTATTAAAGACAATAGATAAGATTTCAAGTGATCCAGATACTTAACAAGGAAGCCGGAGGATCAATTATCTGGTGGCTCAAAGCCCTTGATATCTTACCTATGTAATTCAGAACTTGACAGTTGCCTGGTCTGTGCTTAAAGACAAACTTGTGATATCCCATGATGTATCTAGAAAACAAGAAATATAAACACAATGGCCTTGAGTGAGATAATATTGCACAATATAAGGCTTCCAGGTACAATAAATCAGTGTATTCAATATCTTTAGCGCAGTAACCGGATGACTGACCAATATCTTTTTTGTATTGCTAAGTCATCCAGGAACTTCAAGTATTGATATCGATTATCATATCAATTTCACATGAAAACAAAGCCAGATTTACCAAGGTAAGTCAAATTTTTCTTTTTTGGTAGTCAGCCTGATATAGATTATAATAATTTTATTGTATCGCTTTGTTTTCGTGTGATACAAGAATATATTGCTCTCACTATGACAATATATTCTTTTATCACACTCAAAGCCATGCAACATTAAATAAAGATCAGGGGGGGGGGGTTTCACAAAACTTGTCATCAGTGACAAATGACAGTTTATGTTAAATAAGCTACTGAAATCCTTACATTATGGTAGATAACTTCACACAGGCACGCGCCCGCTGGCAACCCACCATCGGTATGCACTTGTATTGTGCAGCAGTTAATTTGCCTTGAAAGCTGTGAAAAAGTAAATATTAATATCAACGTTTTTCAAAAAAACTAAAAAAAACCACGAAAATTGACACGAAACAGGTAATAAACATAACGACTTTTAACTCGTGATCTTTATTTGGACATTTAATGAATATTAACTTTATTTCGGGTATGTATTAGTAGGGTATCTCCACGCCGGAGTTATGGGTCAAATTTTGGATACCTTACTGAACAAGCGCCAAAAATTTGATAACTGCATGTACATAGACCTACGAGATTTCTATCTGACTTATAAATCAGAAATTTAGATTTAAATTAGGAAAAACGGGGGAGAGAGTCTAGGTATAAAGTGGTTCCTAATCGGCTCAATCTCCCCCGTTGTACGAGCTGTAGTCTATGGGTCACTGTCTGTTTATGGGGAATGGGGAGTTTTATTAAAGCCTAATTGCCCTAAAGGCATCGTTTAACAATGTTAAATCTCAGATGGACGACCCTACGTGTTAGCAGTGACATACAGTGGTGTTGGAAATGTTGAGAATCAATGGCACAGCTTTTAATACACAGCCAGGATAGTAATGCAGCTATGTGTGAGCTCGGTGAACTCTGAGATAAAGAACCTCCTCAAGTCCACTCCAGAGTCAACCCCCATGTCTGAAGCCTTCACCTTGGATGAGGTTGAAACTGCACTGAAATCAATAAAGTCCGGCAAAGCGCCAGGCAACGATAACATCCACACAGAGTTCCTCAAGAACATGAGTCGCAAAGCTACTTCCTGGCTACAAGCCTTTCTCTCTACCTGCATGATAACATCCACTATTCCATCAAAATGGAAGACCGCTAAAGTTATTGCCATTCTGAAGCCCAAGAAGCCTGCAGACGAACCCAAGAGCTACCGTCCAATCAGTCTGCTATCGCACATCTACAAGCTACTTGAAAGGCTGCTACTTGCCAGAATCGTTGACACTGTCGAAGAGAAGCTACCTACTACACAGGCAGGTTTCAGGAAAGGTAAATCAACCACCGACCAAGTAGTCAGGCTTGTAAACGACATAGAGACGGCCTTCCAGAAGAAGCAGAAGTTTGGTGCAGTTCTTGTCGACCTTACTGCGGCATTTGACACAGTATGGCACCGTGGCTTATACCTCAAGACCCTGCAGACCATTCCAGATGTAAGAATCGTGAAATTCATCATGCTGCTTGTACAAGACCGGTCATTTGTCCTCGAAACATCAAACGGCGAATGCAGTAGGAAGAGGAAACTCCGCAATGGTGTGCCGCAAGGCTCTGTCCTCGCTCCGATACTTTTCAACATCTATGTCTCTGATATGCCCAAAGGGGAATGCATGCAGTACTCCTACGCAGACGACACCGCACTGGGGTTCAACAACCACTCCTTCGAAGCAATCGAAACATCACTGGAGAAGGACCTGAAAATGCTAGCCGAGTTCTTCAACAGATGGCATCTCAAGATAAGCATAACAAAGACTGTATCCTCCGTCTTCCACCTGGCTAACCGATGCGCCAACCGAGAGCTGAATATCTCACTAGATGGGTCTAGGCTGAACTTCGTCTCAACACCAAAGTACCTAGGTGTCACTCTTGACCGAAGCCTCACCTTCCACGAGCATGCCAAAGCCACAGCCCAAAAGACCCAAGCCAGAGTGTCTCTCCTAAAGAAGCTTGCAGGGACGGATGGGGAGCTAATTTCACCACCCTTCGCACCTCCACTCTAGCTCTTGCCTTCTCCACTGCCGAGTATGCTGCACCTGCATGGAGCCACAGCACCCATGTACACAAGGTTGATGTTGTCCTCAATGACGCTATGAGACTAATCAGCGGAACACTCACTGCAACACCAGTCAGCAACCTGCCAATATTATCTGGCATACCACCAGCTCAGCTCAGACGAGATGCGCAGTATGCTAAGCTTGCCCAAAAGCATGACAGAGATAAATGCCTTGTTCCTGCCCCCTCTGCCTTTGAAGGACAGCGTCTCCCTAGAAGACACTTTGCAACACAGGCTGCTGAGCTGCGGCCTGAGAACCCCCCCTCCACCTTAGCCACTTGGATAACAAAACGCTGGTCAGACCAGTGGAATTCGTCCACTACCAACCTGAAGGAGTTCATCCCAAAGCCCTGTGCAAAACCAAGTGGCAGCGACCTCCCAAGAAAAGCCTGGGTCAACCTAAACCGTGTCAGAACTGGAGTTGGCCGCACACAATATTTCCTACATAAAATTGGAGCTGAATCATCACCAAACTGCGCCTGTGGAGAGATCCAAACTATGGATCATGTCATTGATGATTGTCCGATCTACAAATCCCCCCACGGCGCTTCCGGACTTCGTGAGCTCGATGATGAGACGATCTGTTGGCTCAATAAGGATCTTCCTATCTAGATGATGTACTCCCTGATATTCTTTGCACGAACGAACGAACGAACGTGTGAGCTGAGCCAGGATTTGAACCACTCCAGCAAAGCATGGAGAGTCAATGCTAATGCGTATTGACCTTTAGCAATGCTTTACGTGTTAATATAGGCAGCATTTGAAGACATGAATAGTCAATACACTCACAACACGCATATACACACAATCATGCCAATGCGGCTGATCGGCAAAGTTGACAGTAGGTCTACTCACAATTTGAATTTTTAAATTATTCTTTCTAGACCTCTTAGGCCATGTAAAATTGATTTCATGTTGATCGTCCCCCGCCCGCTTCCTTTTTTCCTCCCGCCTCCTTATATTTGATATTTGATTTGATTTTTTTTTTTTTTTTAAATAAAAAAAAATAATAATAATAGATCTAATCGAGTGCAACTTGTTTTAATTCTTTGTCAAAAATAAATATAAAGTTGAAATTTGATCTATATATATGTGTTCTCAGTGTTTTTCTTTTCAGGGGGGCGTTTCATGAAACAATTAGTCGGTGGTTTTCACCGACTAATACCATTTCCACCGACTAATACCATTTCCACCAACAATTCTATTGTCACCGACTATTTTCCAGGCCTCTTATTGGTCAAATTTAGTCAGTGCTGACTAAATTCTGGGAAAATGATATTAGTCGGTGAAAACCACCGACTAATTGTTTCATGAAACGCCCCCCAGGAAAGAGAGAGCATTGGATTTTGCCTTTAACATTTGATACAGTCAACAAATCTTGGTAGTGGTTTCTGGCATATACTCCCATTCTGGCACTCCTTTGGTAGGGTATATACAGCATAGCTGGATTTCGATTTATACATGCATGGGTCATCACCCTTGGTACTTTCAATGTTGAAGTGAGGATTTAATACTTGTCATTCAATATCATGACGTGATGGTAGTATGCATGTCACTTAGTTGGCGTCCTCTGCTTGAGGCAGCTTCCTGTAGTGCAGACTTGGATAGACCAAAGCTAGCCTGTAGGTACGCCTTCAAGGCTTCCAATGAAAATGTTAAATATCATGTCATTCATGTAGATCTACATAAATGTTAAAACAACAATTACAAAATCAAAACAAAAATGACAATATATTTACAAATTACATATTTAAAATAAAGGCAACATTTAATATTTAAAAATAGACAAAAAGAAACCTGTTGAAGAAAGCCAACATTGATATTTTAGGGCAAATCAAACTCACTACAGCAACGTTGGTTGATGTACATATTCAATTATATACTATTTGTACACGCGGCAGCCATCTTGGGAAAAATATCAAATATCAAATAACATGGTACACCCTCCTCCTCTTTTTCAAAAAATCCGGACGATCAACATGTAGACCCTCTAGCTCTAGATCTAGACTAGTCTAGTCTAATAAATTTTACATGGCCTTAGCATCGGAAAGTTGAAAAATTGTATTTAACTGCTATTTAGGTGTCATCAATTGTTACTAAAGTACCGATTTTGAGTGAAATTAGTTGAGTTTTGTACAGTGGTGTTTGAAATGTTGAGTATCAATAGCACAGCTTTTAATAATACACAGCCAGGAAGCCCAGGATAGTGATGCTCCTATGTGTGATAGTAATGCACCTAGACCTATATCAGATATGACTGTGTGAGCTGAGCTGAGCCAGGATTTGAACGTGTTAAACTAAAATTAAATTATGCTTAGATTTTGCATTTAAATAGATAGCTCCCTGGAGTTATTAAATAGATTGGGCATGCCATAGATTGTATTGACTGAGTAGACTCACATGAAGGTCAGCATATGTTGTATAACAACAAGTCCAACGAACGAAATCAACAAGAATTTCCACATTTTTGTTTCAGTCTGTCTTTCTGCTAGCGATGCGCTGAACAAAAGATAAACATTACCTGCGTGACCTTAAGCCAAGTCTTTAAAAATAATAAATCAAAAGACGATCATAATGTTACGATAAATATTTTAAATAAAAACCTGTCAGTTATATTTAATTATATTTATTCTTCACTTAATATATATAATCTTTATTATTTCTATTTTTCAAATATATTTCTGGTAAAATCATAAATATATATATGTTTTTAAATATAATATAATACTACCAAGCCTGAAACAGACTTTGGAGTGGGCGTGGTTACCTTTTGTTGAAGAACGCTTTGTCGTAGAGGGCCTGCCCAACATTCAATGCTGTCTGCTGCTGCATGGTTGACTTTAATTGGTGCATTTCTTCCTTCCTCTTCCGTCCTTCCTTCTTTGTTTTCCTTCTTTTTCTCTTTTCCTTTTCCCCACCCCCTTCCCTATTCGCTTCCATTTTATTTTTTCTTTCTTCCGTTTTCCGTTTTCTCTTCTCTTTTATTTTCTTTTCTTCTTTTATTTCTTTTCTTTTTCTTTAAGTGCACCGGTTATTTTAATCGCAATTAATTTTTAATTAATTAAAATTAAGGCAAGTAGACGATGTGAGCATTTATTGAGATCTACACAAATGGAAAACACTGAATATTTATTCATTGTGGAAAAACCCGGCTTGACGGTCCCATGCAGCTGAGCCTCGATCGATAAGATTAAAGGGAGGCACATTTATTTTCTCTCATATCTTCAACCTGTCTGCATATTTTAAATGATATTAAAATAATGTACTCATCACCAGACATTTTCAAACTGGGGTGGGCCTAGTTTTTGGATTTTAGCAAGGGCGCATTTCTGAAAACTGAAAACGCCTGCAAAGGAAAAGTAAATAAGGAAAGAATGACTTGTCTTACCTAACAACAGTATGCAATTCATTATGACTATTGAAATACAATTATTCGTAACAGCTAGGTGAATGAAGTAATTTGTAATGGGCCCGGCCCCCTAAAAAAAAAACCGTGTAAAAAACACGTAGATTTTACCTATTTTTGGAGATGCCCCCCCCCCCCCTGGCGCTCAAGGGAGGGGGGGGGGTGCGATTTTTCAAATTTTCGAGGGCCAAACAAAAAATTGTACCCACTACCCCCCCCCCCCCCCCCCCCCCCCCCCCCCACTGAGCGAATTATTGGCTGGCAAGATTTTCAAATTTTAGCACACTAAATTTCAAATTTGGCCCCCCCCCCCCTCCTTAGAAATCCTTGATCCGCGCCTGCCCGGGGGGGGGGGGTACTCACAAATTAGGATATACGGGGATATGCCGCTCCAATAGATCACTTTTTTTACCAAAGCATAACGAGGCACGTAACAAAGACTTACAGTAATTGGCCGTTGATCACATTATATCAGATCTAAAGCGAGACGAAAACATGACTTGGCGTATGTTTGTACTATCCTTATTGCTAGCCTTAGTATTTCGACATGTATTCATTGTCATGTAAGTATATAACCGTGAATATATTGATAGTACAAAAAAGCAGTTTCGTACCATTGCAGGACTTGCCTTTAACGCGTGTAAAGTTCCTTGACTCTGGGGGTGCGACCTCCCTCATATTATGTAGACTAGTCTCATAATTCCATTAGGATAACACTGTGTATTTTAAATTCGCATACTTATTATGTTCGTGTATGAGAAGCCAACCCTGGTTTGTATGCGGCCTTCGTGATCTCCGAAGAAACTGCCCTTCATAACATATAGCATTTGTTCTTTTGTCACTTATCAAAGTCCCTCGATCCACCCCCTTGTGAGTAAGGTAATAGGGGCATCCAACCATTATGAATGTGGTCTTTCAGTATATTTGTCGGATGATTTTAGTCTCTTCTAATAGGTTGAGCGTTTTTCAAACTATTGTGAAGCGATTCAAGAGAATAAAGATGATTTGTATTTCATGTTACGTGTTCCTCTGTATGAAGGTACTAGATAATGGATGTATTTGAATTATTTTTTTCTTTCTTGGCTCCAATTAATATTTTACTTTTCATTAGATCGTATAAAAGCAACGACTGAAGATCGATGCATCAAATAATAGAATTTGATAATTGTCTCCCTATTTCTCCAACTGGAGTGTTTAGTAAAGTTGGTGAAGTCGTGTGACATTCAAACAGAGTGAGATTAGAAGTTCATTCTTTACCCCCCCCCCTGGTGCTCTTATCTTCACATTATTAGGACCATATGTATGTAGTACGTTCGAGGCATTTAGATTATTGTGGTCCCATATGAGCATCGCATCCATGCACCCCAGAAGCGCGTTATTGTGATTTAGAATGCAACTTTTCAGAAGAACGATTTGAAAAATTTGTCTCCCGCCAAGTTGAAGAATGATGGGGTGTGGAAAATTAAATAGTGATTTTTGCGTGACAATATAAAGGGAGGTATGATTGAAGCAAAGCCCCCCCCCCCGACGCCTTCACACAATATATAAACTGCAAGGCCTCATAGAAACTGTGACAATGGATTAGCTGAGTCTGTTTGCCTTACCGTTAGCCTTTAAAAACGAAAAGTCCAATGTCCAATTCAATGCATTAAAATTAAATAGACGGAAGAAAAGGAAGTTATCAAATGTAACTTGGGACACACGTTCTAAATATACGCACATTTCCCGTTTATTCAAAATGCCGTTGTGTACTTTGGAACGTCAGATTGAGTTTTATCGGGAGAGAGAGAGGGGGGGGGGGGGGGGTTATAATGCGCCCCGGTGAAAACGTGGCCCCATCCTCCTCCCCAATTCGTCTCTGGATGCACTACTGCAAGACTTATCTTTATTATTACCATATGATTATTATTAGTTGTAATTGTAGTTTAAGTATTAGCAATATTATCATCGTTAATTTTATCATTATTATTATTATTATTATTAGTAGTAGTAGTAGTAGTAGTAGTAGTAGTAGTAGTAGTAGTAATAGTATTATTATTATTATTATTATTATTATCATTATTATTATTATCATTATTATTATTATTATTATTACTATTATTATTATTATTATTATTATTATTATCATTATCATTATTACTATTACTATTATTAATCTCATTATTATTATTATTATTGTTCGAATCCCAAGTGGTTCCCCTAGACTTGAGTAGGTGTCATTATTTCAAAATTGATGACATTGAAAAAATAACAACGATCGAATACAAATAATGATGATACATGAGATCTTTCTGATCACACCGTAGGCCAAGGATAAAATTTGACGGTCTGTAATTAGTATTTGTATTCAGACAGTGTAGGGATGCAACAAAAGGCTGCATTTCCGATTACAAGTATTGAAGAAAATACACAGATATAATAAGAAACATGATTATAAAAGCAAAAAAAGAGAAGTTTCGATAAAATGCTAAGGAGGTAAATAAAGAAAATATAAGTAAAAATACACAATCATAAAAACATATTTGATAGCATGTATATGTGCAAATAAACAAATGTTACACTGGTACGAAACGCGATTGTTGTATTAATCCAGACAATTTTGAATAGATGAATAGATACATTATTATATAAAAAATAATATGAGAGAAATATCGCAATAGCATTGTTTAAACACAAGGAATAATATAATAACTTAATTTAAGTAAAATATTGATGTGTTCTTTTTTAGGAAGTCACTGGGATTTCACAAGACTGTATACAACCATCGACCCGGAGAATGTACACTCGTACCAGGGATAAGTGAGTATAGTTAGAAAGGAGGGGCCTACTAGAAATATTTTTAATTTAGAAAAAGGACAATCCTCCTCTAAAGCAAGATGCTCTTAAAGATATAGCGTGATAAAATAAGAAGAGCAGATTGGTGAAAGTTTGAACGGAAGTTGACAAACAATAAGGAAGTCATACATCTTTGAAATTTGTAATCACTATACGTGAGGGAATTTCAAATTGGCAGAATCGGTTATTGTCACTGTGATGTGGTGGCAGACAAATTACTAAAATGTACATGTGTATGTCTCATGAATGTCTTTTCGTTTTTAAAGGACCTATAATCAACGTGGTATCTATTTAGTATTTTGAGTAGTGCCCCAAGGGAGAAGGCGTTGAGAGGAAAAACAAAATTAGTGATATTTTCTTGACACCACAAACGGGAGACTTGTCTGTGACTACATCACACTCCACTGACCAAACACTACTACTACTACTGTAGTAGTAGTAGTAGTAGTAGTAGTAATTAGTAGTAATGATCTAGTAGTAGTAGTGGTGGTAGTAGTAGTAGTAGTTCTTGTAGTAATAGGAGTGATAGTAGTAGAAGTAGTAGTAGAAGGAGTAGTAATAGTAGTAGTAGTATAGTAGTAGAAGTAGTAGTAATAGTAGTAGTAGTATAGTAGTAGAAGTAGTAGTAGTAGTAGTATAGTAGTATTATAGTAGTAGTAGTAGTTGTAGTAATAGGAGTAATAGTAGTAGAAGTAGTAGTAGAAGGAGTAGTAATATTAGTAGTAGTATAGTAGTAGTAGTAATAGTAGTAGTAGTAGTAGTAATTAGTAAGCAAATAACTACCGTTGGTGAAGGTGATGGGACAAACTATCACTTCCGAGGCGATCTGGATTTAACTATATCTTTCCGAAGCGAAGCTGAGGAAGATAGCGTATACATTCTGATCGACGAGAAAGTGATAGTTTGCCATCGCCCGAAACCAAAAGGTGATTATTTGCTTTATATTCCACATCTAAAACAATTTAACTACAAAAAGAAAAGGACGTGTATGCATCTTGCCATCTACATAAAAGACACCATGCCCGAATTCACATCAAAATTTTTTAACCCACCCCCTTGAGGGTATGGTGCGCGCATGTGTTTGTTTTAATTGCGCTCATTGGTAATGCGCACTTAATTACGCCTGTTTTAGTGCGCTTTTGGATAATCTTCAGTGAAAATGCGTTGCCCTGTGTAGATAGTACCTGTATCTTCAGTGAAAGTGCGTTGCACTGTGTAGATAGTGGTACTATCTACACAGTGTAACGAACTTTTTGCTTTTCCCATCAATAATGGGCGAACTATC